CAGGCTGGTCATGAGGGGGGGACCTACCTTCACGTGTCTGTGAAAACTACCCCTGAGTTTTGTTGGACATACAGCTAAAAGGATAGTCCCTTAACTGCGTTCGGGGGCGCAGTTTACAGGTTGTTACAGTTACAGACTGTATTTCATTTGCTGATCCACTAGAGTAGCTGAACTCGAGATGAACTTACAAGCAATAGCGAAAGAAAATGGGGAGAAGGGAGAAAAGTAAGCTTACAGAATACTTTTAAACTTGTTTAAACCTATAAGGATTTTTAAACTGCCCTGTAACTTTGTCTTGAACACTACTACAGAGTAACAGTGATACATTAGTTTCGTTTTTTGTGCCCCAAAATGATACCGTAAAGGGTGTTGGTGATACTTGTGATGTAATCGTTTAGTTCCCATCAGTCGTAGTGGGCGGGTTAGTTTTACCATGTGCTCCATGAATTGTTTTTGCCCGATTAAAGCTGTTGTGCTGATGTAATCTCGCCTTTTTCGCCTCTCAATAACGTTACAATACTTTTTTTAGGCATCGATCAAAACAAAGACTTTCAAATCTTTATGTTCATGTATCGTTAAACAGTATGACATTCATTAAAAATTGCGAGCTATTGCCTTATCAATGGTTTTTTTTTAATGTGTAGGCTCATTCAGCTTGAAGAATTTCACAGGATTAAGGACAGAGAGATTGAGCGGCTGAGAGTGAGGTGCGTCGTATTTCATGACTCAAAGCTCTCCTTTTATAGAGCTCACAACAGACAGGCTGTTCATTTTCAGATAAGTTTTCAAGAAATGGTCGATATTTTACATTAAAACTTGGCTTACGAATTTGCCTTCTCATCGATCGTCTCTCATCTTGTAAACTAGCCTTTGGATAAAGGAAACAGATTCCAGCAGAGGAGTTTGTAAAGGGTCTTATAAACCCATGTGGATATACAGGTTACCGCAACAAGCTTACCTCCATTAAGGCGAAAGATACTAAGGATTGAATCACTCCGCTTTACTTAGCAATGCTTTTCGGAATACGAGTCATTTATTTCCTCCCTCTAAACAGATTTATATTCCAATAGAAATGAGTATTCTTGATTACGCAACACATTGTATTCTGTGAACGCTACATGAGATAAACTGAAAAGAAAAACAATTGTCAAACCACAAGCTGTAAACTAATCAAGATCCGAGGTGTGCAACATGCAATTGGTCGAGAAAATAGCACCACCGTGAGAACAAATTCTTCGCAACAATCCACAGAAAACGGAATATCAACCGTTTTTGAATTTTAAAGTTCAATGTTCTACTTTACTCGCACACAAAGAAGTCTAAAGATCGCCGCCTCGCGATAAAAATCTTCGTCTTTGAAGTAATAAAGTTAAAAATGGAAACAAAGAAAAAAAAACTAAAAACCTCTAGATATCTCAAGTCAAAGATATTTGTAGTAAATAATGTGTATAATATGTGATTAAATCAAGTTAGATGTATAGAAAGCCGTTCTCAGAACCTTTGCATGATGTATATATGCCTTTGCTTTTTCGTGAAGCATCTAAATTTCGCCTAGGATTAAAAATACAAATGTGATCTCAGCCTCTGAAAGTTACCAACTGCATTTCAAAAAAAACTTAGAAGCTATTTTCATATCCTTTGATAAAAATTTCCCTTACAACTTTTTCTGTCAACTTCTTTTGTAAGATGACGATGTGTCTATCATCTTAGCACTAAATGGTCTCTAATTATCACTGCAGAATTGCCGCTCTCAGTGAGAGAAGAGTAAAGCAAGATCAGTCAAAAGTGGAGAACACGCTTAGTGAGAACAGACAGTCAAAGGTGGAAGAAGATTTCACTAATTTCTTCGACGGAACGAGAATGGATGCATGGGAAAAAATGCAGACATCGTACTCGTTTAAAGAGCAAATAGAGGTCGACATTTATTGCCCCAGACTTCTTTGTCTTGTTTTTGAGGTATGTCTTGCTATTACGGATAAATTAACACCCATGAAATGTAGATGCATCGTTCACGGTATCAGTAATTAATTCTGAAGTCGTTTCAAAAATTGTAAGCCAACTTTTTTGATAAGACGATGGGCATCGGCTTCTTGCCAAAAAAATCAACTTTAATGTTACAATTTCAAGTCGGCAAGCGGTCGTCTATTGTTTGTAGCATTATGACTATGTATGTCCTACTAATTCTCATTCCGCATATTCTGACTGCAATATAATGTAAATCATATTATCTTTCTCTATACTCTCTCTCGGGTTTTTGTTACAATTTTCCATCCTATAAGTGGAACGACTATTGAAAACCACACTGATTTTAAGATAAATGGTTTGAACCAGTGGGTATAATGTTTTCGTGTAATCTGATCGTCCGGTGCGGTAGTCCTGAGAGGTATCGTTTTGTCGGTTGTGGTAACTGACCTTTCGACAAACTGAGTGGATGGTCACAGTCAGAGTCAAGTGAAGAGTTGTTGTCAGTCGCGTGTTATAGTTCCAGTCCGTGCATATAATATTTAGTTAGTTTAATCGCGATTATATTGACTGTAAGACTCATTTGGTGCACATAAGTCGGTCGTAATTGGTCAGTTTCGATCCGTCGGCAATGTTAGGACTGCATAGTCGTTCTGTTCGGTTCTATGGGGTTTACGGTCAAGTCGCCCGAAAGTCATCTCGCCCGAAGTCATATCGCCCGAAACCAGAGTCATGTTGCCCAAAATTCATAGTCATGTTGCCCGAAATTTCATTGAGTGTTTAAACTTGAAGAAAAGTAACATCTTAAGTAAATCACAAGGAATAAACTCGTAAAATGTTGACTCGTGAAACTCAGGTTGTTCGTTTCGCTTTCGTTTGATATCACGGAGATAGTAATCCTAAAATAGAACACGAAAATAAAAAAAAATAGTAATGTCAGTTACAGTATGGTTCTAACTGTTCTTGTTTTATCTTTGGAAGCATTCTGTTACGAACGAAGGTTCACATCACCACGATTGGAACATTGAGTGGAAAACGCGCCATCTTGAATACAGCATGTGCTCAAGAATCATCACATGGTTGCCAAGCAAGATTGTGACGTTGGCATAAATTCAGACACGTATTAATACAAACAAATTCATTGCTAGCAACTAAACCTAATTACACGCGAGGACGTGTGGGTTGTCCAAGTGACACCCGCCCCTTGAAAATCGTTCAAGATAAGACTTGGGCTAGAAAGGTTAAGTTCTTGGTGAAGAATAAAATTATTTCAGGGACAAACAAGGGACTTAAAATTTCCGTACCTTGGGTGAAATCGGTTCTTGTGCTCTCAGCAGCAGGGACTTGGTCACTTGGGTTCGATGCCGCAAAAGAACATGCAACGCACAACCAACTTATTCTTCCTCTGATTATTGCCAAACGGTAGGTGGCTTGGTGGATACCAGTCTCGCAGATACGATGCTGCCAAAAGCCGCAATCGTCGCACTGAAGGGCTTGCTTGCGTGGTCGAACTTCATTTCCGCACTCGATACAGGGATGAAGGCTCATTGTATAATTCTTTTGCGTACGCGTAACGATCTCGTGTTTCAGCTAGCTGATTATCTCGGAATAAGGTGGCTGTTATTAGTTTACCCTCTTTATATATAGTTAGCCGAATCAAAATTTACATCCGACCCGCCGAGGAAACAAGGAACAACTGAACAAGTCGCGAAAATTTATGCCGCGTCTGATCCTAAGGGGAATGATGCTAACGCGCTTTCTTCGCGTGGTTAACAATAAACAAAAAAAAACCGCTGTAGAAGTTTCAGGTTGTTTTTTATACGATAATTCAAACTAAGAGAACTTGATGTATTTTTCTGATATGTGTCAAAAATTCTGATAACTGAAAGTGTTCCGCTTATAATTACTAGAATCTGTACTGTAGAATGAGCAGTTCAGTTCATAGCAACGAACAACGCTGAAATGAACAGCGATATTTGAGTCTTTGTTTAACTTCATATTTGCATAGGTTAGCGGACGAAAACATTTTACGAGTTTATTCCTTACGATTGTTACTTTTTTTCAAGATTAAACACTAGATAAAATTTCGGGCGACATGACTCAGGATTTCGGGCGACATGACTATGAATTTCGGGCAGCGTGACTCTGGTTCCGGGCGACATGACTTCGGGCGAGATGACTTTCGGGCGACTTGACTGGTTACCGTTCCGCGGCGGTGCAAATGTCTTGATTGAGTCGTTTTATTGGTGCCGGTAGTTGTTGAAATCTATTGAGGGTAGTCTGCTTTAAGTAAGTGAACTAGCTTTATAGAGTTAGTAGTTGGGAATAGTTAGAGCTGTAGGTTAAGCATTAGGCAGAGTCCCAGTCAACAGCGTGATTCGTTACTAGATGACCTTCCAGTGATGTGATTTTTCTCATTACTGTTCCTCGTCGCTTGTTCGTGCTCGGTCAGTCTTGTATTAAAGTTTGTTATAAAACAACCCTGTCTTTTGTAACCGACTTAGTGAAATAATGATCGTTTTATGGGTGACCTGGATATTGAAGGGTTATAGCATGCGCGAGATGGTTTAGACGTGCATTCATTTATGGTTTGGTCGTTGTAGTCGTTGGTGTTGTCGCTGCTAAGTGTTTCGCCGAATCTGATTGTCGCTCTTTTCCGAAAAAACACGGTCAAAGTCTTTGTTTTCTTCAGATAGGCAGCTTGTCGAGCGCCCTTTCTTTTTCGAGCCCTGGGTGCATGATGGTAACGTCTTTGTTTGATTCCAGGTTGTATGATGATTTGTCTGGTAATATGTCGATACGTGTCGGTTTTCTTCGACTTGTTTGTGAACCGTTTGCCTGTGTTCTGCTCGTTTAGGTGGTGGTAGAATGTGTAGATTTCGTCGCGGTGTACGGCTGCAAATGTATTACGAGGATTTAATTACACAATAGAGATGTGTAATTTAAGCATAGGCAGTCACACGATTTCGAGTGCAATTTGGAATAAATAAGCACGGGTAAATTTTTTCAAAGACTACCAAAATTGCACGAGCCCGTCGGACGTGTGCAATTTGTGGTCTTTGAAAAAATCTGCAAGTGCTTATTCATTCCAAATTGCACGAGAAGAATTATGTGATTACGTATTAATAGCATACATGAAAAAAATGAGATCATAATTATGCAGAAGCAGAGCACGCATCAAGTGCAAAAATTATTTGTTCAAACCGTGCGTTCGGTCAAAGCCACAACGTAGGATCAAAAAAATATTATACAATGACATTGTCACATCTTTAAGGCGCAAAAAAGTTCAAAGTTCGGCTAAACAGTTCAAGGAATTGTTAAGTCTGTGTCCGAATCACTTTCGATGAAATGGAATCGTCGTTTGCAAGGTTTAACCATATTTGTTTCTAATTTCGCCGTAGAATCGCTCGAGCAAAGTGTTTTAAAAGCTGGGTCAGCTCGTAATTTTTAATTTACTCGGCAATTTCCTCCTCTAAACACCACTTTTTCCAAACTGACAACTAAAAGCAGAGCTTTTTACAGTTTTTTCGTTGTTAGAACTGTTTTTCAGCTGCTTTATTGTTATTGCGGTGGCCATTGTTTCGCTCGCAAATTTCCAGCGTATCCAACTGTTGCGACATCCAAGGCTCGCATTTGATTGACTATTTGTGAGTTTCTTTGATTATTGACCAATCAGAATGTCTGGTTTGTTACTTCTTTGCACTGAATTAACCCTCTTATGCATTGAATTACCTGAAAACTGCATTTATCTCAACCAATCAGTATTGAGTAATTTTTTTCTGTATTGTTAATACAGTAATTGTTATTATTATTATTGATTTTTGTATTGTTTTGTTTTGTTTCTTTTTCTAAGGCTGCCTACGAAAAAATGAAAGAGGCAAGAGGAGCAATTTTTGAGTTGGGGAAAGAAGTAACGAGAAGTTTTATTCAATTCGCCCCAGAAAATATCAAATCGATTACCGGCTCTAAAAGGGTAAGACAAAAAAGTTAACCCCTAGAGCAATTAATCTCCGACGAGGATAGATGAAAAGTGGTGGTTAAGATTAATATAAATAGAACAGTTTTCAGGATTTGAAAGTCGTCCTTTTTCCTAACGATATTGAGTAAAGGACGCAGACTTAAAACTTTATTTATAGTATTTAAACTATATCATCCTTCCTACTCCCCCCCCTCTTACTTGCGGGTCAATTGTAGCTGTCATTTTGAAGAAAAGTTAGACCTCACTAGACACGATCAACACGAACCTCTCTTGACGACAAAAGAGGCGTCCAGCCTCATATTGAGGAAAAGTGATTTGGATCGTTAAGTGAAAATAAATCGGTTCGGTCCTATTGCAATTTAAATGTAGGACTTGCTTTCAAATGAAAACTCTGATTCCAGCTACATTAATAAGGTATAGGCTCTCATTTAAGCCGCCAAGTTGTCTACAACGTGTGAGTAATTTAGGACATATATAAATTAAATTTGAATTCATTCGGATCGATAGATTAAAGATTCGGATTTTTTTTAGTTTTTCTTCAGCCGTTTCCATTTACTCATCTTTTTTAGCCCTCCATAGATATAGGCCGGCGGTTTTAAAATTGGTTCCCACAATATCGCAAGCCTTTACCGGCACATCAACAAACTAACTGCTTTTATGGATGAACAAACTTTTGAAATTCTAGCCCTTCACCAGGCTGTACAATTTATTTTACACTTTCAGGGTTAAAATTTGATTAGACTTGATAGAGATCGTGGTGGTGGTGGTGTATGTGCTTACATTCAAAGCTGCATAAATTATACAAGACGTTTGGATCTAGAACTCCAGTTTTAGAAATGTTAGCGTTGAAAATACCGAAGACATTGGTGATGGATTCAACAATCGTTTTACCTAAATTGGTCCAGGTGTTTCTAGAGACCTTTTCAGTTCATCCATAAATGTTCAAGAGGAATTGGAACACGAGCCGTCCTTGTTTGAACTTACTGAAATTAAACCGTTATCGGTCTTTATTTCTTTACTTTACTGTCAAACTGTCAATGGTAAAATTGCTAAGCTACTGCTCCATTAATCTACTAACAACGAACTAATGTACTAAAGTTTCTGCTGTTTTCAAAGCAAGTGACGAAAAAAAATGTAACCATCTAATTAGATATATAAATATATATATATATATATTTATATAAATTCGCAAATGCTCTAAAATTTTAGTCGTATTTTTGTAGTTCACAGCTTTTGGAAGAAAAAAAGTTCAAAATATTGTAATTTTTGATCACAGTCACCTTGGTTTAATAAGCTTTTCTATATATTCTGTTCATCTATCTACTATGACTTATGCATTTTAAATATTGTATTAGTTTGTAATATCGTGTAGCATACAAGTCTTTTGTCTTTACCAACAGAAAACATCGATTTCCTATTCAGTCTGCTTAAGGCGTCAAGAATCCCAGTATCCAGTAGAAGCTGTTGATGCCCTAATGATGATCTTGAAAGAAACGGCACCCAAATGCAACCTTGATTGTTTAGTGGAGGTATGTTGTCCTGCATATTCTATCTTCGTCCGAAAAAAGTTACTACAATGTGCTCTACCAGAGGTATTTGGGAAAAAATGGTCTCGGTTTTTTTGTTATGATTCTATAATAGTCTGTATTAGATTTAATTCAGCCTCTCAGTACGTATCTTGGTTGTGAACATCACTTTCATATAACTTTGGAAGGTTTCATGGTTAAAGCATCTTCGGGGTAAACAAGTACAAAAATTATTAGATGATATAGAATCTCATGTTTGTTGCTGCACTGTACTAGTATTATATTAGAAGCCGAGGAGAGCTAAGAGGAACTGTGGATTGTGTCTGTAGATATATGTACCGTGTCTGTACCGTGTCTGTCTGTTTATGTGAATTATGTTTGTTTTATGAAAAATGTATGTAACTCTGAATTAATAAAAATTAATAAAATACAAAAAAAAAAAAAAATCTTCGGGGTAGGAACAGTGTGGTGGATCTCGATTTGCATATTTCGTTTACATCACGCATTGCACTGCATAGAGGAAGTGAATTTGTCGCATTTCCCAAAACACTGAAAACTAAGAGTCTTCATGAAACGGTCAAAAAGAGATGTAAATTTGTGGCAAATCTAACAGAAGGCCCTAACCAAAGAAATCGAAGGCAGGAGATTTTGATGAAGCAAAAAGTCTGACCTTACAGATTGCTTTTCTTGATGAATTTTTCGGACTTCGTTTAACCTGCGAATTTCAAAAGTCTCTTTTTCCAGGGACTCGAGAAGGGAGCTAAATATTGCTTTTCATTGGTGGGCGGCATGACCGCACGGACACGCGCTTAAATGAGATGCGAAAACTGGGAATTTCTTCGGAGGCCAAAAACCTGAGTTCTATGCGAGTTACCTATACTTAAACGAATTAACAGGGTATGTATTTTTGTCGAATTTTGATGAAATTTAGCAAGGATATTTGTCAGGCATTAATGCACAAAATTATGTGAGGCTCTAACGAAATTCGAGATATCTTTCCTGCGAATTCCCGGCGCGTGATAAGAAATAGATTTTCTCGGGAACCAACAGAAATATCGAAAAAGTTTCGCACTGTTTTTAGCCTATTATCTGCTGAGTGATACGATCCAGTTTGTTGGGATGTTGTGATAACGCAAAGACTTTTCCTGGAACCACCCTTTTTTTTGTTGACGGAGACCTTAACCTTTATTTAGATATCTGACGAGTTGTGCTAATTGTCATGCTGCTGGTTGGTTTCATATGAGAACATCAGTCACAATCGTATATGATGATATATTTTGTTCTGATGATAGGTTTTCAAAGGCGTCACGAAGAACCCGAGTTGTAGTTCAGTCTTTTTGGATCAAACGCACACGAGAAATAAATAAATTAAAAAAAACGCAGTAACTTAAAGTTAATCATTATATCGACTCCACAATAATTTGAAGATCACTTAGAATTGGTTTTTTTTTCCGAACTTTTTAGAGGCATTTTTCTTTCTTTTTTTTTAATCGTTATCTTCCGATTAAAAACAGTACTTAGGTACGAGACGAGCCCACAGTTGCGATCTTATTTTCAACCCAAGCCAATCTATCGTACTTTTCCTGCTCTTTCCCCTCTCCATTTTGTCTTGTGCATCTTTCTCCGTGGAAAAAGGGGAGCAAGGATGAATGTCGATGTCCGATCTGGGAAGAAATTGTTCGCGATATTACTATCGGTAATAACATGATTTCGAGTAAAATTTGTTGTTGATAATTTGCATGGAAAAAGAAACTTAGAAAGTCAAGACAGACGAAATTTTGACAGCACGCGCTATTTATAATTTTCACTCGTGTTACAACCTTGCACTCGTGTAACAACTCTGCATTCGTGTGAAATGAAAAATGCTCTCTTTTTCAGCCAATCAGAAGCGCGTAATTTTTACCACATGCATCGTTTCTTTCATGAGCGATTATTTTGCAATTTGATTTCGAAGATAACTCGGAACGTATATACTCCTAACTTTTTAAGAAATCACCACTGAAACTTTTAGGATGTTATTCAAGTCGTTAAGGAAAAGTGGAACAGGTGGCAAGAAAAGGAGAAATTGGTGAGAAACAGCCGACTTTCACGCGCAGTGGGTCACCTTCATAAACCATTATTCCAGGAGTACATAAAAGCAAGTATCCGGCTGACTTGGAGAATGGTTACCCAGACACCACCACTGAAGCTAGAGTATCAATCCTTGTACCTACAACAGTGCCATAAGAAGACGGGTTATCATACGAGTCCTGAGGTTTGTACTTTGGTGAAAGGAACCCCTGACCAACATCAGGAAGAGGAGATAGCATGTTATCTTTGGCCGGGACTGTTTGATGGGGAAGGAAGATGTATTCGAAAAGGAGAAGTCTTGTGTAAGATAAGAGGGAATACTGAGTAAGCTTCTCTTGAATTTTTACGTTCCTCACTATGTGCATTTTGGAAATTGCTTTAATGTTCAAAATCCTGTTAAATATTTTTTAGTTTTGCCACGCTCTAAATGTAAATGTGGAGCATGAATCAGGTCGATTTATAATCGATATGATTGGCTTTTCTGACATAAAACGACCTTTTCTATTAAGTGTTACCTGTGAGGTTATTAGAGAAAGAAGGAAGTCTGAAAAATAATGATGAAACCTTATGGCAGTACTGGGAATAAATTTGCTACTATTAACACAACTTTAGTTTGAGGACTGCATTGCGATGCCAGCCAGCAATTCGTTTTAATATAGAATGCAGGCGATTAACAATGGGTGTTCTATTTGTTTATGTATATGCACGCACTATTTTATTTCGTCTACAAGTCAAAACATTGAAATGTCTTTACATGGATGTTTTTCACTGTTGATGTCAAATGAGAGCATTTGCTCAGAAACTGAATTACTTACATATTAAGTAATTGAAGCTTGTTTTAGAGTTTGGATGGTCAAACTAAAGAAATAGTCAAGATTGTCTTTGCCTAACCATCCATAATTCAACATCCATCTGAAAGACAAAAGCTTTCCTTGCAGTTGTTCTTGAGTAAGTGATTGAATATTGAGTTATTGAGTTCAAATTTAAACTACAGCATATCTTCTACTTTTGTAAGTAATTTTAATTCTGGTATCGTGAGTAACGCTAGGTTTTGCTGACTGTAAGTAATTTATTATAATAAAAAAAATTTCCTTCAAGATTTTAATGAAAAAATAACACACACTTTCACAATCAAAAATATTGGTCTAATAGCTTCAGATTACCGTGTAACTGGTTTGGTTTGCAAATCATACCCGCTTAGCAAGTAATCAATTAAAATATGTTTAAAAAACTTTTTTGAACGTCGCACCTATGCTGACTGGGCACTTGCCTTCTTTCCCTCTTGCTTCTTCCCGCTTTTTTCATCAAAAGTTTTTAGATGTTGTTTAATTCTGTCCGCAACAGGGTTAAAAAATTTCTTTCTCATTCCTGAACTTAGGCAAAGATACTCTATATTTTTCAGTTTCACGTCCTAGTTCCATAGCTTTCCATCACCGAACTTTGAGTTTCATTTAACATGGATACAAAGCTTCTTGGTAAGCGAATGTTTGTCATCAAACTGTCGTCTAAAATGCGCTTCCCACGCTTTTTCCCTTCAAACTCGTTCATTAACGAGTCAATCAGATGGACGTTGCTTTTTGAACTTTTGAATTCTTTGTACACCAAACAACTCTTCCAAAAGAGTTTCAAGCCGCTGGTTGACATACATTTCACCATAAGGTCCCCCTGTGACCCTGTAGATCTCTTTAATGTTACCTTCATCTCGTATTTTGTGCACTGTCACAAATAGTGTCCCCTCCGAGATAAAAAAAGAAAGTCAATTGATATATACTAACTTTATATCCTACCCAGGCTAATCTTTTTCAATTTAGACTTATTAATCTACATAACAAATGTATAATTGACTTCACCAGACAGCCAGTCACTTTCTTGGTGATTCTTAGTATGTTTACTGTAAGGATATATACCCTTGAAACGAGAGTTGTATTAAAGGAGGATGTTAGTTCCAACCACGATGATGATGATGATAATAATAATTATAATGACAGTGATGACTATAGCAATAATGATACCAAAAATATAGTGATAATGACACTGATGTAAAAAAATATGTGCTCATTTTTCATCGTGTTGTAAGATAGGAGATGAACTTTGTTCGTTTGTCTTACGCACGATAGAGTCACTTGTGATGTAGATCGCGTCGTTTCGACTGCAATACTGCTAGTCTTCATCAGGCGATTAGGTCGATTGTTTACGTGTCGCTATTTGTGACACGTTGTTACGCTGTTCTTGGTGCATTTCGATCCTCATTATTATTCCGGTCGTTAAATGGTATTCCCTCATAATTCCTCATAAATCAGCTGTTGTGTTGTTTGAGGAGTCAAGTTCCAAGTTAGTTCCAAGTTAGCAAACCAGCTTTCTAGGGTCAGTCGTTGAAAGTAGTTGGTGCTGTAACTGACGTAGTGTGTTAATAGGTTTGTGGGCGACGCGGATATTGAAGGTTTGTAGGATGCGCGAGATGTTTTCAGATATGCTTTTTATATATGGTATAGTTGCTGTGGTCGTAGGAGTTCCGTTGTCGTTAGCTTCGGTAGTAGTAGTAGGTCGGTGAGTGTTACGTTGGATGAAGTCTTCGTTGTAGTTGTTCTTTGAAAGCCTTATAGCCTCATAGTTGTACCGTGTAACTGTTTGTCGTGTTTACCGTGGATTGTGGTTTTTGTCTGGATTTGTCGGTGAGCGGTATTGTCGTCAGTAAAGAAACCTTTTTTCAATCATTAGTCTCGGAAATATCATCAGTTATAGTCAATGATGCGACAAATTTAATCAAAATTTGAAGACTTACTCTTAGTCAAACTACCCCTAAGCCTCAACAGATGATCGAGAATTGCTTAGGGTTAGGGTTAGCTCAAAAGTGTGACCAGTAATAATTGTTTAAGTTGAAGGAAGTCGCGTGGAGATAACAAAAGACTGGTAATTTAAACCAGTAGTTGGTAAGCTTCTGGTACTACTTACAATTTCCTGAATAGTGTGTCGATAAGTTTTCGCGCACTGAACTGGACTTCGTGGGAACGTACGAAACGGGGGAAATCAACTCGGTAGAGAACGGAAACTGGTCACGATTTCCTGGTACACGGAGATCTATTTCGAGTGAACTTATACGGACGTCAAGGATAAGACAGCGTTTTGGTTCCACAATAGACTTTATTCGAAGAGCACTCTAACATACATCATGCCAGAGTAAAAGCTAAACTGGTAATCGTCACGCGGTCGTCTATGTAATCGGCACGCCGTCGTGTATGTAATCGAAAAAGCTTTACAAAGTACTTGCTTAAATATGAACTGGTGTGAGGTTCCATCGTTACCCAAATCACAATATTTGAATAAGGACACAAAGAAGCGGAAAATGTCTCTTTGAAGTTGAACGAAAATATTCCATCTGTTTCTACGACAAAAAGAATTACAAAATTAAAAGGACGGATACAATAAACTCGAGGCCATTAAAAATAGGAAACTTAGGTGAGAAATCACAGCTCTGGTATAGAAAATATATCGATCTTAACTACAATAAAGCAGCTTAGGAAATAAAAGTGGAAAAGAAATTAAAAGTTTCTGCTTATCTATGCAAGGTTGGTGTGGAAAACTATCGTATGAAAGGAAATTAAAATTACTGGTATAAACTCAGCTGCCTACTACCATGAGTACCAATTTTCCAGGAAGACCATTAACACTTATATTTACCCAAAAATTTCACCAGTAATGAACAACAAAAGTACCGACATACAGGAGTACAATGAAAGCAAGCAACGAAGCAGAGCAGAAATCTCTTAGTTTACCATTCCAAAGCTACTGTGGTTTTCTATATATTTTTTGGATTTAATAGAATGAAAGAACTTGACTGAACTCGAATAAATTGGAAATGGTTAAATGCGAAAAGTTTAGGAATATATATGTTCCAAACAAACACACGAAAAAAATCAGTAAATTTTTTCGTAACAATAGTAGCTTGCCAAAGTAAATGTTACAGCTCTCCGTTCTGTCAATAGCACCAACTCTATGTATTAGGGTCACTTCACATCTCCCTAAAAAGCAGAGAACATAAGAGTTAATTCTTATCATCAATCTCAATTAGTGAAGAAATAAAAATTGAAGGATCAAGACATTTCTAGCAAAGTGAAATGCAAGTCAAACTGGTTTGAATACATTTAAACCTGCAATTCGTTTTTTAAAACACGACAGAAATAGTGTAGTCAACATTCCAAAGAAACAAAGAGTTCCAGCTCCTTAAGTAATAGCAGTTTGTTATCCCTAGTCTCATATTTTAAGAATCAGAGAAGTCATGAAGAAGCCATGCAGATCCCTAACATAAAGTGAGAACAAAATAGGCAATTAGAGAAATTTCCACCAGAACACAGCGAAAAAAATAAGCCAAAACCGGAGATGATTGAGGCGAGACTTAAACGTTGTTTAAACACATGCCTATGTACCATATACAACAGACTTGGAGAGCTAAAAGGCCAAAATGGTTGTGAGCCATGTCTTGGAAAATCGACATAGACCTCCCAAAAACGAGTTCGCTGAAGGCTGTAGTAAGACGAACGCAATCCTGAAACTGGAACATTTTTTAAAAGCCTTGTGTCATATGTGACCACAAAGAAAAAAAAAAGACGGTGTTATTTGAAGTGTTTTGAAGCTTGGGGACCAAATCAAACTTAACGCAAATTTACTTCGAAGTAAAATATGATCAAATTCTAAATTATCTTCTTTTATCATAACAAATATCTCACGATCGTCTCCAAATAAAACTTCATGATTCATAGAGGTGAGACATTAACATCTTTAGACTAAGTTTCAATATTTGTTGTCTCATGTGCACATATGTGGTAGTAAGGAAGACATCATGGTTGTTCCCGCCGGCCATATGCCAATGTTTTCAAGAAGTCGCGCTACCTCTTCCCAAACTATGTAGGTCCACCAGTAAATGGCAGAAAATCTCATTTCGTTTATTAGAAAAGTAACCAAAGCATTCTAAATGGTCAGGCAAAATTAGATGCAGTTTTATGAATGAACGCAAACAGAACACACTGAGTACCAACAGACAGTCTCAGTTAGAGAGCGATTACATCATTGAATTTAAAGACGGCATACGAGTTGATGCAATAGACGTCATGACAAGTAAATCTGGACGTCGAAGGGCAAGTAGCAGCACTTCAGTGGAGTATCTAAAGTGTTGTAGATTCGCCTGCTTCATATTTGAGGTACTGGCCTTCACCTGTGTCCTACTGAGTCAGTCTAATTCAAAGAAAGAAAATTTAAGCCTATAGAGAAGGGATCACAGCGACTGACGTCGAAATGATTCGTTTTGACGAAGTGCTAACACTCAAAACGTCAGCTTTAGGAGCTCATTACGGTGGCTAATTTACATCATCGACTCAGCTGATAAAACCAAGTTGTCTGGATATACTCCCCCACCCCCCACCGAAGTAGCACCACAGTTTCTTAAGAAATTTATCCCGCCCTTTATTTATTTGACTTTAGAATAGCCCATTAACTTAATAAGACATAGAATGAACAAGAAGCCTTTATTTTAAGTCCTAAACAAAAGAACTGAACATTACCTCTCCGGATCTAGGTAGCCTATGAAGTTGTTCTAAAGGTAAAAGAGTCATTCGTAAATTCACATCCTGCGTTATGGAAACCTTGGCCGCTGAGGCTCCTGCGTTAGGGTCAGATTCCACATCGTTTCAAAGCAAAGTAAGTTTGTTGGAGTTATTAATTTCCGTGGTGGGGTGAAAAAACTAAGGTAAATACCACATCGTACGTAAACGAAGTTTTAGTGGATCAATTTAGCGGATCTTGAGGCTTAGATACACGTTTGTAACAACTTGGGGTAAAAGTTGGCGGAGGGCCATTGTGGTCTGTTTTTGGCCCCTTTCTGTGATGCGTTTTTCATGTATGTCATTAACAAGATATAACATAATTTCCCCTACAATTTGGTGTAAAGAAGCACTTGTAAATTTTTCAAAGAGAATAAAATGGTACTTTCCCTACCGGCTCGTGCAATTTTGTGGTCTTTGAAAAAATTTACTCGTGCTTATTAACACCAAATTTGCACTCGAAATCATGTTGTTACCTATACTAACATAGAAACCAGAATGTTATTTCTTCAGTATAACAAGGTTTTATGCTTCACATTTTTTTATTGGATAGCTTTGGAAGAGGCAGTATAATAACCCAAAAAGCGGTCTGCATGCAACCCAGGATGTGGTCAGCGAGTTGATGATTCTCGTCAAAGAAAAAGCAAAGACACACGATTTGAATTCACTTGTTCAGGTAAATTCACTCCATATGTTATTAATAGGTATTTAGGCGAGGTTGAAGTAAAATTTGATCTGCTCCTTTTCTTTACATTTCTCTATTTATATGCTAAGAATGATCAAAAATTTATTTTAGTACATACTTGAATGTCAAAAAATTGTAATTTTCTCACCTTTTTTTTTTATTTGCCCAAGCCAAATGAATTCACAGCACATTCATCAAAACAAGTTGAGAACAGACCAATGACTGTTTAATGTCTCATTAAATACCATGGAAAGTGGGAAATAAAATTGAAAACCCTCGGTTGATCTGGTTTAAGTCTTGCTTGTTTTTCTTGTCGTCAGCTTGCTGCAGAATGGCAAGCCCGAAAAATCCTTCTTCACTCTCTTTAAAAAATTTCTCTCAAAACTATCATCACGTTTGTTCGTTGTTTCCATTTTCAGGATGTGAAAGTTTCTATTTCTGAAAAATGGTCTCGTCATCAGTTGCAAGGAGGATCTTTCCTTCTTGAATACGACTCGGATCTCTTGTATGTACTGAATGGCTATATTACATGTTGTACGCAGTTTGCACGGTGTGCTGTAACTCAGGTTCCTCCCCTGAAGATTGACTACAAGACCACTGATTATAACTCAAAGGTCCATAAAGTGAGTCAAAATTTCAGTCCCTCCGAAAAAAGGGGCTCGTCTCGTCGAGCAATGTACTCAGAGACACCCAATACCAGGTACTATTTGTGGCCTACTTTGTTAGACTGTGATGGAAAAGTTATTAGGAAAGGGGAAGTAATGTTGTCATAAAGCAGTAACGAGCATCTGCCATTTGAAAGAGAGAAACAAATTACTGGAAGACGAGTGTTTATAAATATACTAGAAAAGCGATAGCACCATTTATGCGTTACACATTTTTTCAGTAAGAATAAGTGGCCTTTTTGTGAGGAAAGAAGGCTAAGAGAAATTAGATCCTTCCTTAAACGAACTCTTCACAATTCCTTATCGGTTATAATGTGGAAGTTACCACAGGGGTCCGATGGAAATAAAATACACTGATACTTTGAGCTGTTTTATGAGAGAATACCTAGGGGAAAAGAAAAATGATGTGGATGCTCTTCGAGAATTTTAGATGTAACCCCTGTAGAAGACCAAGTAAGGCGTGTCTCTGAAACATGTCAAAACAATGGACAAGAAAGAACTACCTTTACTTTTGGTCATATAATATCTTGTGATGTGATTGTCGGAGTAAACAGTGGTCCTGGAAACGAAATTTTGTCGGTGTCAACAAAAACAGCAACAATGCTTTATTTAGACACGTAGCGTCTAGGAGTTGTGCAAGCTCGTTGAAAATACGAATGTGTGAGTTACTACTCCACAACCTCAGCTGAAGTCATCATCAAAAATGATAACGATAATGACTACTTAAACAACCTTTCCGCCATCAATATAAGCATGCTGCAGACCTACAGAGGACTCCACGCTGAGCTTAGCTGAGTTGACTAGTATTCGGTTCATATGAGACAAACGTCCTGCCAGGATCAGCAGGTGTCGTGTGAGGAAGGGGGATAAGAAAGATTGCAAAGTTTAAGTTCGATAAAGGGCTAGCTCGGTAGTGGCTTAACCTGCAATGGAGTTCTCTGTAGCTCTGCGGTAGAGCTTCAGACCACAGATTCCGGCTCGATTCCTCGTGAAGACAAATATATTCTCTTTATCTCACATTTGAAACAGGTCGAACAACATCTTTCTTTGTTCCACTACTGGGCACAAAATTTGACATATTTCTTATCTGCCCATTTTCAATGTTTGACAGAGAGAACCTTACAAATCTTAAGCTGTTACCGGAGCTACCTTGACTTGGTTGTGATCCCCGAGATATTCAAATTAAGCGTTAGTCACGAGAAGTTATTTTCTTCAGTGATTTTACACCATGAATCTTTGAAATTGAAAATTAAAAAAATTAGAGCTCGCTACGGTTTTGCTAGTTTATGAGTAACGTTTTTCCAACTACTCCAAGTAGCGGTCTTCATCACTGACAGAAAAAGTCCAAGGTTATTTGTGCTTTGTTCCCACTTGAGACGTCCCACGCTGTGGCGGTTATTTCTGTTCCACCAAAGTGCATGTTGACCTCAATATCTCAGTCCCTGCCTTTCGAGGTATCAGGGGTCTGAATTATCATGTTTCCAATCTTAGTTACGCCAGGATCGGTGACAAATTTAGCATTTGGATTGGTCGTTACGTGGAAGGCGATAATGACCGTTGTTGTGGTGGGTGTTGGATTATCTATTTTTTTGATTCTCTGTCCAAGTTTTACGACGTTATTTCCTTTTACAATGCAATCAAATACATCCTAGCACCACTCACTGCCATCTATGACTGTTTTCTTCCCTTCCGGACGGACGCCCGCTATAAAGTCGAGTAGGCAATGAACACCATACGTGGTACTTATCATCCTTTCAGTTATAACAGTGGGCGCCTTGCCAAAGATTACGGCACCCTGGGCCACTGCAATGTTTGCGTGGTGAGGGACGAGGATTCTGCACCTACGGGAAAACGTCCTCTTTATTTCCTCTTGGAGGAAAACCGATTCAGCAAAGCCACCAACAAGGAGCATTGTTTGTACTTTTGAGAGCTGTCATCATTCCAGAACCTAAGGAAAGATATTCGTTACTTTTTCATTCAAACTCATTCATCATGCGGAGCCAATCAGATGGAAATTGCTCTCTATAGCTTTGAAGCATTGTGGTACCAAACAACCTGTCCAATAGGCTTTCGAACTGCTGGTTTACGTACATTCCACCTTAAGGACCTCCAGTGACTTTGTATATCTCTTTTTAAAATCACAGTTTAAATCTTAATTACCAATTCTTCATATTTAGATTAATAACGCCGTAATTATTATTATACTTAGTGTATATATATTTTTAGAATTAGAACTTTATGAGTAGTATCATAAAACTGACGTTAAACACGCAATTCAGCTCCCGGCTGCCTATGTATTTCTTTATAAATAAACTATGTAACACTCATCTACCACTTAGAGATCAAAACGTACTTTCCGAGTATAGACTGGAGTAGAGCAGAGAGTTAAAGCGTGACCTTCCTTTACCAAAAATTTCAAATACTAAGTCAGTTTAGTGGCCTCGAAATTTCACCTCTTCATATTTCACTTTTTGAGTCCAGTGGCTCACAACCACTTCAATTTTTTTGCTCTCACTGGAGCATGTAAGCTTATGGTAGATACAATTTGCGTTCTTGTTAACCTTAGTTCAATATTGTTTTTTGCTATCTTACAGGATCTCTGAATTGTTCGGCCATTATAAAACGCAAGAAGAGCGTTGCAAATCAAGGTAAGTAATAAATGTATTTGACTTCGAGAAACCATGATGAAACATACTAAACGCTAAAATCTAGAAAAAGAAGTCGTCTAATGTAACCAACAGAGAATGATTAGTCAACTGGAACTATGGTAGAGCGTTTAAATAGCCAAATGGCGTACACGTTTGTCTTCCAAAGCGATTTTTTTCAATCTTAACCTCGTGGAGATTCTATCGAGACCGAAGTACGTACATTCTTGCATACAGTTTTAATGATAGTTCCGCTCAATGTTTTACCTAAAAAGGGCAAAATTTCGTGTTGATCTGTGCTTAAGATACCGTTTAAATTGTTTCGTAGTAACGACAAGTACATAGCAGAGATCAGAGCCAAGGAGGATGAACTTAAAGAGTCTCAGGAAAGGCAAAAAGGATAATCAGGAACAGACAAAAACAAATATACATAATTATGTAGATCGATTACGCACTACTTAAACCATTTTAACATGGCATTTTTCTTTTCATTAAAAGAAAATATAACGAGTTAGTGAAACTGCTATGAAACACGTTCGTTTCTCACGCAACTCACATCCCCATTTGGGCCAGCTTTTGAGGTCATGGGCGACACAAACACCCCGGGACGCAAAAAATGAAACTTTAAAGAGTCTCTCTGGTACCTTTCTCTCGCAACTGCCTGTCTTCTTTATTCACATCAGGTTTAATCATTGCCATAGCACCAGGCTACGTCAACGTTCTGCCTATGCATCAGCCAGAATAAGGGCCTTCCGTTTGATTCCATTTCTACTGAGAAAAATCCTTTTACTGTCCCGTGAAGATGGGTAAAAATGTAGTTTTTTCTACACACTGACTTTTTTTGGTTCACCATGTGCATTTATTGTTTTTTTCCCCACCGATTAGTTTATGGAAAAATGTCCTTGTTCTAATTCTACAAAAAACTCATTTGAATCGGCAGTCTTGAGTGCTCTGTTGCTTTTAGATTTAACAGTTTAATGAAGGATAACTATACAACCATCAATGCCTCAATCATTAAGCTCATTCCATGTTCTATACTGTAAAATTAAAAGAGTTGATTTGGCCCCAAAAATGGGGCCAAAACGAGTGAGTCCAGTTTGGCACTCGCTTAGGATCAATTCGGCCCCATTGAAATGGGGCTGTTTTTGGCACCAATTTTGGGGCTGAATTGACCCCGTTGTAGGGGCCAAATTGGACCATGTGAAGGGTGAATTTGAAAAATACAGGGGCCACTTTGAAATTTATAGGGGCCAAAACAGCCCCCGAAATTTCAGCCCTCTCACAAATGGCCCCTTTAAAAAGAGCCAATTTAGCTCCAATGTGGGCCACTTCAGAAGTAGAGGGCTCTTTCCTCTCCATGCTGATTTTCCCCCTTACATTCAAATAATGAAAATACACCACATACTTTATCTTTCAAACACTCATTTATTAGGTTCTAGATATTGTTTATGTAAAAACCTTTTACGCTACCTGATTTTACAGTTATTACAAATCTTAATTGTGGTATAAAACAGACAAACTTTGAAACATCATGTGAAAGAATATAACATACATACATATTTAACATTAATTCAACCATTTTCTAAAATAGATCTCTTCCCTAAATCAGTATACTTCTTAACAGTGCAAGCATTGCAAGAAATTACACCCAAGAGACACTTGTGAGTAAAGCTTCCCTTTTCAATGACTTAGCAAATGTGGTAATGTAAAGCAGCTTATAATTAAGACTGATTTAAAGTACAGAAAATTATCAAAATCAGACAGAGGCAACAAATGGTCCAGTTCCTGCACAAGAATATAGATCTTGTTTGATTTGTGCATATGAAAACAAAGAGCCTTAGAGCAGCAAAGAGTATTCTTCCAGTGGATGTGAGAATACATGCACTCATATTGCTACTTTAGATATTATCAAAATATAAACTATCAGCAAGTACTACCACAGGCATTTGCCAAGTCATTGAAAATAGAGGAAACAGTGACAAGAGTCTGCCTGTGCCCAATTTCAAGCAATGCTTGCTCTAAAAAAAAGTCAAAATTGCCTTTGACCAATTGTAAGAAAATATAAATGAGCCAAGTAACCCAATGAGAGCATCAAGAATCTTTTCTTGTGAGAAGTGACAAAATTACACTTCCTTCTGTTACTATATTCAGGTGATTGATGTATTGAAGATCTCCAACAATTAAAATTTGTGATTATTTTGCAATTTTTAGTTTAAGGCAAGAGATTCAGCACCACAAAATTGTCTCTCTTCACTGCAAGCAGAAGAGGTGAAGCAATAGATTTTTAGACCATACCAATCCATTCAGTTTCCAAGTCAACTTAGTCTAGTATCCTGCTAACCATACAAGGATACTCTGCAATAATTTTTTTTTTTGCAATCCACTGTTGCTCAGAGTACTTTAGGCTGCTGATGAGATATCCCTTCTGGATATCCAACTCTACTAAGGCAGAGAACTGTACAAAAAAACAAACAAATGAGCATATTAATTTGTTGTTGGAGAACAGTAAATTTTTGCAACTACAAAGTTGCAAAATATTTGTAAGCAAACTGTGCATAAGAAGTAAAAACACAATAATGGTGATCATCAATGATGTATTTTCACCAAACTGTATATGTACTTATCAAGAAAAGAAATCATACCTCTATGCACTTCAGTTTTAGTTCAGTATTCATGAATAAATAAGGATTGCTTGTAGACTTAAAAAACAAAACAAAGAAAAGTTTCTTACCCTCGATGGTAGTTGGAATTTTGAAAGCCATTCAGGAGGAACCTGTAGGTAAATATTTGTTTTCAAAAAAATTAAACTGTCTGATAACATCCTATCAATTCACTAATTTTTTAATTTACCAGATTTAAAAATTGGGTTTACTTTGTTTTATGCATGGTGCAAGTAAATACATATCTAATATATTTCAATAAAAATAAAGCAAATCTCGCCATTTTTGTAGGTGCAATCCCCGAGATTTGTCATCTTTAACTGACCAACTGGCACCTTGTGTGTTTTCCTTTAGGATATAATCGAAAAGAAAGTAATCGATAATGTACTCTTCACCATCCTGCTAAGTTTAATATACAAGAACTTACTTAGACAGTGCTCAGTTCTGTCGCCTCGTCCGTAAAACAGAGATCCTTGGGCGATTTACCCTTTTCTTTCGGTGCCAATGTCACCTTTAAATTTTCATAATCGCTGATGTTATATGAATCATCTATCGACGTTTGAACGGTCTTACTCGAAGGACTTGATTCTGCACGCTGAAAGAGTGAGAGCCAAAAAATCAGCTTAAGTGGATGCAAACAAAGACATAGACATAAAAATATCAGTTCATCTTTTCAAGAAAAAGATTAAGAATTCAGAGTGAGAGATCCTAAAATCAGAGAATCTTGAAATAAGTTAAATCCACCTTGTGCAAATGCAGTATTCGAACTGTAACTGTCTCTATCTCTCGGCGCCAAAATTTGATCACATGACTTTAGTTGCGAAACCGCTGAGACTCAACAAGACTCGGGAGAAGAGGCGAAGCATTCATGCGTCAAATTCTCTGGTGGGAAAATTAATTATCGTACCGACGAAGAACTCGTGTCATCTCTAGGTTCAGCGTTCACTGCAATCAATTTCTTGAGCTTTAGACGCTCTTTTATAATAGGGATGTAGTGCCTTGGTACGTCTGCATCTTGGGCGATGGCAAGGAGATCTTGGCCATCGCAACCGTCTTTTTCTGCAAGATAAGATACGAACAAAGATCAATGGAGCGGTCAAGTTTGTGAATGTAAAGTTGCAGTAAAATACGTTGTTAAGAAATTTCTTTTGCCTACCTTTCCTTTCTTAAGTCTCATTCCATGCGACTGTAGCCAAGAAACAGCCTCTTCAGTGACGAATTCGCTGCTATAATTCATTATTGTGTCCGACGCACGTGGTCTAGGTTCGACTAATGCCATCACAGGCAGCTCACGCTCACGCTCACGTCTCGAGAAAAAGCCAACGATTAATTCGTTGTGTGACTCGGTGTTCAGTTACGAGAGGAACCGTTGAAAATTTGAACACTTTATAAGGAATAGTATAGGGAACGAAATATGGTCGAAAAAAGAAAATTATTTTTATATTTTCTTTTTTTTTCAAAAATTGCACCTCGTTGGGGCCAAATTGGTCAATCCTACTTGGCTCTTGGAAGGGCCAAATTGAAAAAAAGTTCCAAAGTAGAATTCATAGGGGCCAATTCAGATTTTGGAAGGGTCGAAATGGTACCTGTCCCGCCCGTTTTGGCTCAAATAGTCCAAAACGAACCTTGATGGGCCAAACTGGCCCTCGAGAAATTGGGGCCAATTTGGCTTTTGGGGTCAATTTGGCTCTTTTCATTTTACAGTGTACTATTATTACATTTATCACCAGGATATCTTGGCTTGAAAGCAATCTAAACTCAAGTGAATGAGTGTCGACTATGACAAGGTAATAGGCATCAGTCTTTACCTGAACCGACTAAAGAAACGAAAATTACTCTGAGCCCAGACTTTCAGTCAATTATTTTGTGTATAGCACATAGTTAAAGAACAAGTTACTTTGGACCAATTTTTAAACAAGTCAGAAGTAGGTCGGATAAATTCATTTATATTGTGCAAATAAATGGTCAAGAATTGCTCAAATTGTTGTCAAAAAATATTTTGATGTTGTTTTTCAAGATTTGGTACTTTTCATCAGTCCAAGTTTTTTCATTTTGTAACGCGACGTTCCGAGATTCACCTGAAATTTTGAGCTTCAAAGGGGGGACATTTTGGCGGAATTCAGTTATTATTGATTTTCTCGAAAATAAATCGATATTCAGCCAAACGAAGTATGCAGTGGTTTGTTTCTCTCCAAGGCTTACCCAACTTTGAAATACGTGCGAAATTGATTTTTCAGCTGTTGCCACCAAATGTTCGACCGTTGGTAACATTCGCTCTTAAATAAAGTTTTTGTATAATTTTTATTTATAATATTATTATATTACAGCCCAATTGAATTTTTAACATTTTACTGGTACTTATTCCCTTCAGTTACATCTCACAATAATAGCGAGCAAGAAAGAATCTTGGAAATAAGTTTGCATCACGATGTTACTCGTAAATTGTAAATTTTGAGCAGAGAAACCAGCCCAGAACTCCCCGTTTCAATGTACACAATGTTTTCGTTTAGAAAACAAAAGAATAATGTTTACTGTTAAGTAGCTTTTTACGCAGAAGTATACACTAACCAACAAAGACAAATGCGTTGTATCTTTAACTTCTTTGTGTTTGATGTCGGTTCCACTGGTATTATAAATTGGCTGCTTATTACTCTCCACTTCACTCTATTCACTTTAAAGTTTTAAGTAGCCAAGGAAGAACTGACCAGGGATTGAAAGTTGTTCATCAACCGAACGCCTTACCTGATTTAGGCTTGCGTAATGCCTTGAGCAGTAGGTCAAGGTTATGATGAACATACTGACTACGTAGTGTTAAAATCTTTTTCAACCCAAGTTGTCACTATCGTTCTTAAGATGTATGGTCAAAATAAACCAACCTGAACAATTTTTAAAATTATTTACTACAATCTTTTATTCAAGTTAAAAAAAAAACATATTTAAGTTCAACATTAATACGTTTTACAGAAATTCAGGTTAAAGGTCACCACGCAGTAGTAATCTTCAACAAGTATAAACGGTCTATTTCTGGACCGACGGTAACACCCACTTTGTCGGATGCCAGCTAGTATCCCAGTTACACTAATAAAATAACAACTTAAAAGTTGTGAAACAATTACCAAAATTGAGTTATCTAGAACACAAGTTGAAAAAAGAGAAACATAAGAAATAACTTACATAAGAAAGTAAACATAGAAGAGTGAAGGAGTAATTAAGAAATTAAGAATAAATAAACAATCAGAAAAAAATCAAATAGAGGACAACAACGTGGCAGGGATATCTCGGATTAAGCCCCACTACGAGAACAATCTGAAAGCGAATAGAGAGGAGCTGAACAGTATTTATTGGTATCAGTACGTTACAGGCTGCAATTGAGCAACATCTCTCATTCTGAACCAAAATAGCATGGAACTGCAGTACTCAAGATGATAACGAATAGAATAATTGTATCTTCTATCGCCTAATTGTAATTTCTTTTGTTTGTATCGCCGCTTACTCAGTTTTGTTTCTTATATTCTTCTTTCAGGGAGAAAGAGCTGAGAGAACAATGTAAAGCTCTTTTGGGAAGCAAAGATGAAGAATTGAGGGAGATGAAAATGAGGTATTTACGATTTGCCAATAGAAGCGATCTTTCAGGTCAAATGCATACCGCAATTCAACGTTGCTTACTCAGTTTTGTTTCTTATATTCTTCTTTCAGGGAGAAAGAGCTGAAAGAACAATGTAAAGCTCTTTTGGGAAGCAAAGATAAAGAATTGAGGGAGATGAAAATGAGGTATTTACGATTTGCCAATAGAAGCGATCTTTCAGGTCAAATGCATACCGCAATTCAACATTGCTTTTATTTTTTAAAATAGGAACGAAGAAGTAGCAAATTAATTAAATATCTGACATTCTAAATAAATAATCCGTAATTGTATCGCCATATTGGATTCATAATTATTCACTTCCTCCTAGCGAATACCCGCATACAACAATTGTGGCTGTCTGTTGAAATTCCAACACAGAATTCTCACACAGCCCTCTGAGTTTTCTAATAATAAATGTTACTAGCTCAAATGTAAGTTCTTCTACGTGGGGTTACTAAGTAAAAAACTCTACGCTAAATCCTAGCAAACATCTTAGCTAAAGGGAGCAGCAGAAATTAAGCCCGGGCGTTTCAGTTTTAAACCAAAACCTCCTTCTTTTCCTTCGCTACTTACACGTTGTCTACCATCGCGCTTCCCAAAGATTTGGTTAAGACAAAATTTCCGAGATTTCTGATGGATGCAAAAATATTTTGTCAAACTAGTGCGACTGAGTGCTGGCTATTTAACAATGCAGAGGCAATGGGAATTGATTTACTTTTCCCACCTTGCTTTTTCTTTTTTCCAAGACTGGCTCATCTCAGTGAAAAACTGGTGAAAAAGGATCAGAGAAAGGTGGAAGACACGGCGGCAGCAAATAGACCCTCGGAAGTGGAAAAAGACTTCGCTGCTTTTTTTGACAACGAGAGAATGGACGCCATAGAAAAAATGCAAACCGTTTATGGATCTGAGGAAGACAATGACATTGGTATCTCTTACCCTCGACTAGCCTGCATGATATTTGAGGTGAGAAAAATCGAAAAAGATATTCATTTTGTTCTCTTTTTTTTGACAGCTGGAAAGCTGCGATATTTTAATATTACTGATTATGGCTGGTTACTGTCGTAACCCTTCCAATCAAACATCTAGTAACATATATTAAAGTTCATCCTATTTTCCATAAGAAGTCTGTAGCCAAAACTTTACTTAGGAGGGCTGACTGTCTACCATCATCACTCGATTCGAAGGCTGAGGAGAGGAAATTATGTTTCCAATGTCCTAAAGGAAAATGGCTATACAAAAACTTTTCTCCGTAACTGCCAAAAACCAGTTACAAATAGTAACGCTCTTGATGAAAGGGAACCAGCGACTGGTTTTGCTGTTATTCCTTACATACAGGGTGTTACTGAACCCATCAAGAGAATTTTGAATAGCCACAACGTTAAAGTTGCTCAAAAACCTTTTCAGACTTTGGGGCATATTTTCGCCAAACCTAAGGATCCTGTCACGAAAGAACAACGAACCGACGCCATTTATTCTATTCCTTGCAATGACTGTGACAACGAATACATCGGACAGACCAAACGCCAGTTTGGTACACGGTTAAAAGAGCACCAAAAAGCGGTTTTTCTTTGCAAAAAGGAAAATTCAGCTTTATCGGAGCATACTTGCCTAACCAACCATACAATTGCGTGGGATAATTCCAAAATTATCACCACTAATCGGCGTTACCACCAGCGCCTTTGTTTGGAGGCTTGGCACATTAACTCCGCCCACGCCCCTTTAAATCGTGACGATGGTGGTCTGCTTCCTGACGCCTATTTACACCTCGTCAGAAAAAAGGCCGCTAATTAGTGATCATATAAAAGGACCTCTTGTTGTAGCATTTAGATCACCCCTGATGAAGGCACTAGACAGGAGTGTGGAAACGTTGGGTCTATGAATTGTAACTTCTTCGGTTACATTCATTAAATCTGCAAACCAGTGTAGCATCAAACTATGTCTGATCTAGTAACACTTGTGAAATATTTTTCCTGAAAGGCGGCTTACGAAAAGACGACCGAAGCAAAGGATTCAGCACTTCATGTTTTCAGAGAAACAATCAATGAAATGATTAAGAAAGCTCCAGAACTGGGAGAAGATTACTTGCTTTCGGAAAAGGTATACAATAAATTCTTACACTAAAGCTGGCAAAAATAGCTTTATCTCGCTAATCTGAGATTATGGCTATAACTTGTGTTCCTTGTCAGGTTAAATCAGAAAGGGAACCAAATCTAAAATGAATGGCTTTCGGTGCCTTTTCCGAGAATTACTGTCATGGTAAGACTGAAAGAGTGATCCAGTAGTTTGGAAAACTCGGTGTTGTTGTTAAAATTGTATTTTGATCCCGAAATTTGAACCTCTCATTTCACTGCTAAAGGAATTACACGGAAGTTTTGGAAGACCACTTTGCCACGATCTGAAAATAAATAATTAAATCGTATGAACTGCACACGCGTTTCGTGATTTCTGGTAACTATTGATGTTTTGATCAGTGGTTTTCAAAGTTTTTAATGTTTCTGCTGGTGTTACAATATTATTGCCAAAACACGAAGAAAAAACCTTGAGACAATAGACTTCTAAATGCACTCGTGTTCGTGCGATTTCCCTGCCGAAGGAAAAATCAATGTTAGTTTCATTTCTCAGACGATAAATGAGAATTTGATGACTTAGGACCTTAACTGAGTATTGCTTTCAAAATATTTATTAAAAAACTTATTGAAAGCATCCGCTTTTTTGATTGTACTTCACAATTTTTAGTTTAATTCTCATCTTTTTTACTCTTTCCTGTGATGATCAAGTACAAGCTATCGTCACACAGAGTCACTTTGAAGATATCAACATACAGCCAGGAACTGAAATACCCGACCGAGGTTCTAGATGCTCTCATGCTTTCCTTGAAAGAAACTGCGCACCTTTGCAGTCTTGAGTCCATGAAAGAGGTATGTTAGTAATAGCTATATAGTTAACTGCTTTGAGTTCCCATTCAATTTTTACAAAGCCTCCTATCATCTCTTACAAAAGGGGAAAATCCTTTAAAGACATGCTTGTGAGAGCAAAAATTTACTTAGAAGGCGATTGTGCGTCGCGACTATAAAAGCCATATGGGGAGTCCGTGCCGGTCTGTCTTTACCTTTATTCTCATGGCAATATCAAGTGAATATCCAGCATGTCAGTTAGCGATCAAATTCGCCGCGATCGGCGAATAAAATCGCAAAGTGCAAAGTCATCGGTTTAACTAACTTCGTATTCGTAGTCCGCACTGTAAATTACGAATTCTCGTTTTTGCTGCCCTCATTAGATTTGAGTGGGAAAAGATATGTTCCTAACTCACTGCACTGACCTCGAACTTGGTTAGTAAGAGGTAGTTTCTCTTTACATTTGTTTGGTCCATTTCGCTTGCAATGAGGGCTTAGACCTTCTAAAAGTCTCGAAAATTGACCTGAAACTGGCTTTTTCAATTGGAAAGAGCTGGCCCCTCCAAATGAGAAATCAACTCACCGCCCGTTCGGCCAGGGCTCTTAGCAAGGTCAACAGAACTAAAACTTGAAATACAAAGTGCAAAGGAACCAGATTGTGCGATTAATGAAATAAATAGCCCAAAGAGAGATAGAAAATTGTATTTATTAATGGAACATTGATAAAAATGGGGACTTTAATATTTATGCTAATCATACAAAGTCGAGCATGGTGGAATATTAGGTAGCCATGGTGACATAAAAGATAACATACGAAACAAACATTGCTATTTAGTAAAATGACTAACATGGGTTGGATTCTACGTCAGTGTTTAAATGAAGGAATCGAAAATATCCTAACCTTTTCAGCCACTTCAACTTGAATATCTATAATGGTTACCAGACAATGGGGTTGATTCGACTTAACTACTTTTTTCACATAAACGCTCGAAAAGATTGGATTGCGAAACGGTTACCCATGTCAGCGATTCAAGCCGATTAATAATCGTCCTGAGATCGTAAGGTCCTCTTCACATATACGAACCAGAGCCGATTTGTAGCCCGCGTAAAACATCGCAGAGAGTACTTTTTTAAGAGAAGACACTTTAGATATTCTTGTATGGTTAAGGCCCCATTCAGCAGGCTGTTGTGGACCAATGGTTTGAAAAGTTTGCAGAGTAAGTAAATCAAGTGAATATCTTTTGTGCAGCTTTTCTGTTACATGCAAGAAAGATCACACCATGATCCTATTTTTTAATTTTGAAGAAGTTTACTTCATTCGTCTATTCGGCCAGTGTGAGCCAGGTTCCACATGTAATTGCGTCTTTTTCAGGATGTTCGGCGAAAAGTCACGGAAAAGTGGGCATCATGGCTCGCCAGCGAAAAATCGTGTAAATTCTCTTTCTCCAATCATTTGCTGATTCAACTCAAGGACTACGTTCAGGCGTGCATCCTGCTAAGTTGGCGTATGGTCGTCCAGGTTCCACCCATGCAACTGGAGTATAGGTGTACCACTTTAAAAAATTTCCATAGGAAGGTGGGATACCACAGCAGTCCAGAGATGTGTTCAAGGCCCCCTCCGAGTGGACAAGGCGCGGCCGGTGATGAGATTGCATGCTATTTGTGGCCTGCACTTTTAGACGGTGGAGGACGAGTCATTCGACCTGGAGAAGTCCTTTGTAAAGTGGAAGCTGAGGCGATATAAAAGCTGAATTGAAATTGGTGTATCAAGGGTAAATATTTGACACTGATTGGCGGAAAAACGGGGCTTCTATTTCTTACCCTCCAAATATTTATCGGATGGAAAAAAAGCAGCGCTGTCCTTTATTCAAAATGATTTTAAAATGTCAATGAGAGTATTTTTTACGTAAAGTTTTAAAGCTCCTCTGACACGACGAACGAATTAAATTTTTAGTGGAGAATGTAACCGTAATACGTGATCTTACCTTGAAGGAAGAATTTGCTTTAAAACGTTGGGTTTGATGATATCATTCTAGATCTTACTCAGGAAGTGTAGGAGCTGTTTTCTTACAGGTTATTAGTAGAGTGAAGAGTTATAATAATTGAAGCAGAAAATCCGATATTTCTTTTGTTTTTGAAATAGCCTAGTCCTCCGTGTGAACATGAATGGACTTTTATTTTAGCAGAAAAGTGTTCAGTAATTTACATCCAATTTATCAGCCTCACTTAAATGCTAATAGATTACAAGTTTACTCTTGCCCAATAGTTGTGACTGAGGCTTGGCGGGGAACTTACATGTAGAAAGAGGGTTGAGTTTACGGACAAAGTTAACTAAGTGCATTCTCGGGAGGAATTTCGGGAAGAAATTTGTAAAATTTTGTTCCAATTGCTGCTTTCTCTAATTTCCATTAAGAAAAGTACCATATATTTGGCTTTTTCAAAGCAAACTGAATAAAGTTCATTTAAATTTAAACCTGTTTAATACTAAATAATAAAAACAAAATAATTGTGATTCAAGTGCATCTTCAGATCACAACAAAAATATCAGCTCACGTCTACATTCCCTGACACCACCATAGCCGTGCGTGACAACAGCAGAAAAAAAATAACATATACGCTATCACGTGCTCACTGGAGGCCGCACGGTATGTTAATTGAATGAAACTAATATAGCAACTGTTAATCGCGCATATAACAAAAGTGGTCTACGAAAAACAGAACTTAGGCTTGGGAGGACCAATGCGTAACCACAGGACAAAAAAAACCCACCACGTTCGTTGCGGTAAAAATGGGAGAAAAACTCGCGGCCTAATGTATAGAACCCTTCCAACCTGCTGGGAACGGTCTAAAATACAAAACGTGTCAGTCAGATTCCTAAAGAGTGTGACATTAATTATCGAAAATTTAAATTGTCTTTGTCATAGCAATCCTCAGGTAGGCCGGTCTGAGTCTAGTATTTCAGTTATATAACGAAGTTCAAAGATGTTTCATAACGTCAGGTTTAGCTTCGATATGCTGGAGTTGTTCATGATGGACTCCATACACACGGAGACTAAAGTAGAGGTTTACAAAAACTTTAGGGATAAATCAGTTCTACGCGATCCAATGATAACATACGAAAATATTGTCCCTACAGGTGTACAGGTGTATCACATACATTCACTCGTGGACTTCATATCTTCTCAGGTGATTTTCGGTGATTTTTAATCCTTATTGCACAGGAAGTCAAGATATACCGTGGCAGTGTTCCCACTGCTCTTGTCTATTGCAGTGGCTTTAATCTCAGTTCCGCCAAACTCTATCGCCAGGTCAATCATTCGGCTGGTTCCTTTTGTAACGTCAGGTGATTTGACGACAACCTCCCCTATGGACTTGCTAACTGAAGCGTCTGTTGAGTATTTGGCGTCAGGATTGGTGGAGGTGAAAAAACTGAACCTAACTGCTGTTTGACTTCCTTCCAATGGGCTGTAATCAGCGAAGACTTTCTTTTCACCTGTCCTCACAATGTCATTCTCTTTAACAAGAACCACAAAGCAATCTTTACAGTAGGCTACGCCGTCAACAAAGCGCTGCTTGTCAATTGGGTGAAGACTGGGGTTAAACGGGCGGTACGTATCGAAGCCGTAAGTCGTAGACATTATTCTAGAGTCGACAATGTCAGGTGTTTGGCCAAACATAACTGCACCTTGAACAACTGCAATGCTAGCGTTGCTTGGAACTAAAATTCTGCATCTGTGATTAGAGAAAAAATATCAAAGATGACAGTCATTTTACATGTCATGTTTACATGGGAGGTCAATTGTTCTTTAGGCATGCTTCTTATACCTTTTGATTGCAAAACTGCCCTTTTGATTTGATGAATCTTAGGATAACTTGCAACTGCATACTTTGACTACGACCCTTCGTTCCGAAAATCTTCGAACGTCGAAACACATCTCAGTGCGTTTGGTTCAGATAATGCGACCTAACTTAGGATTCTTCTGTCCCAAACTTCAACCTATTCACACGTTTACGTTAAATTTACCTTACCTCCGCTGAAAGTTTTTCTTTATTGCATCCTGAAGTATCGCTGACTCGGCGAAACCTCCAACAAGAAAGAAAAATTGCAGCCCACGGAGCTCACGATGCTTAAGGAGGTTGTTCAGGTGTTTCACTATTCCTTTCAGAACCGGTTCAAACAACTTTTTCATGGCCGCTGGTCCTATACAGAAGTATTCATTTCTCACGAATTGGACATCATCAGTTGTACAAGAACTTGAAAATCGTCTCGCCAGATCAGGCCCACCGTGCTCTGAAACCAGTGCAGTAAAGGTGCGAGGAAGGCGAATTCTGGTTGTTTCACCCTCGTAAGCTCGGCGCCCTCGCTTCTTCATCTCAAATTCATTCATCATCTCCAGCCATTCTGCTGGGTGGTTTTCACGGAAGATTTTCACCTGATAAGTTCCAAAAAACCTCTCAAGTAGGGACATGAACTCCTCGTCAACTTTGGTTCCACCATAAGGTCCTCCTGTCACCTGATGGATTTCTTTAATGTTTCCATTCATTAAGATTTCATGAGCTGTGACGTCAAGAGTCCCGCCTTTATCAAGGAGTAACAGATGTAACACCAATTAATTTACAGCTTCAGCCCTTGCATTCATACGAGTCAAACATAAAACGCATTACGAGCTCGATCGATCTCATTTAGTATATTAGTGCTGATAAAGCTTGAAGCTAATGAAGCCCGTTAAAGCTAAAACAACTGTCCATGGCTGCTTGCTTGTTTCTATTTTTGATAGTTAAAACCTTGTGTCATTAACATTGTCGCTTACCTGCGAATTCAACAGCCTTCTAGATTATTGGCTATAAAATGATCCGTTCCTAGCCGACGAATTTTTCAAATTTTTTGAAATTTCAGCGTCGTTTTTGTTTGACTCCGTTTGAGAAAGGTTATCATCACAAGCTATTAGCCTATTTGCTTTGGTCAGTATCAAACGAGTTACGACGATGTCCCACCACTCCACATAGTTCAATTACCATTACAAATTTGCCTCATATTAAAAAAAAACCTTGCGTCTTCATAAACACACGGAAGCTTTTAAATGATTTAGAGGAGACATTACTGTTTCCAAATTAAAAAATAAGAAAAGGTTTTGATACTTTGTAGCGTGACATGGTCAAAACGGTCCATTTTTCTAAAAGTTCAGTCTTACCTCCGATATCAATAACAAGGTATTTTGACCCAGGTCGAGCAAAGACGTCTGACACAGTGGCATCTCCTTTCTCATTGGCGAATTCTCTCATCTTCATTTCTCTGCAGTGTATAGAGGCTGCTTCTGGTTCCAAGGAAATAAGCAGCTGTTCAGGGTTCTTATTTGATATCATCTCCGCCTTCCAAAGTAGAAGCAAAAAAAAGTCAGTTATTGGAGACAAAAAAGTTTCGTTTAAACAACATTGATAATCTCAAACTTAAATTTCTCGCTTTCTGCGAACACCTCCGAGGAGAAAAAAACAAAACTTTCACATTTGTGATAACACATTCTTTTTTAGTAACTGACAGCATCAGAGTAACCTGTATTCTAGCTCGTCCTGTATTTCCTTTCCTTATTTCATTTTCACCTCTTAACTCATCGTAAGGGGGTGGGGACAAACAAATTTAACTTCTCTACAATTACCTTACATGCAGCTTCTCTCATGAATTGCTTGGCAGCGGGTCTCCAAATGGCAGGCACTGTTATGACCCACCGAATGTCCTTTTCATTATACTTTTCGTCTCCAGTTCTCTCGCGAATGATTTCGATAGCTCGATCTTTGAGATACCTCAATGAGTGGGCAAAAACAACCAAAGCATCAATTTTTTTTCCATTTCGAGCTGTCAGCTTTGTATGTCTGTAATAGGAGAAGACAAATTTACAAAGATTATGTCTAATACTTTTGATGCGAATTAACTTCAGCGGAGAACTTATACAAAACCCAAAACGATGCGTACTATCTAGTTTAGTTTTGAGGACCCTGAGAGACCCTTTTAGTTTTTCATGCAATTATCATTTAATATGAATTAAAAAATCTCGTGATCTGTTTTTTCTTATCAAACTCAGATGTAGATGTTATGTAAAGATTACAGATCTGATGAAATCATGAGCACTGTTAACTTGGTTTGTTATGACCATTTTGCAATGAAGTGTTATTGTTTTCAGTAATTGCTTTCAATTTTTTCTCTCGGCTTTAATCGCTAGGGTTCCTCTTCAGCAACCGCATACTCCCATGCTTGTTCTTTTTACGGTGTTTGTCGAGACAATCAGCAGTAATTTAACCTTTTACTTCCTCCTATGACTATTCGTTATGAATTAGTTTTATAGGTGTTTCGAGTTGATTTCAAGATTAGAGTTAGTGATAGACAGTCCGTCTATGGAAATTTCGCTTCAGGCGTGGCAAAAAAGAAAAAAGGAAGAAAAAAAAAGACGAATAAATGAACTGTACCTCTGACTTGTGTAGTGCCATTTTGAAATGTTTGAAGTAAAGATAATCTCGATCTTCACCATTAAAGAAGTTGGCGTACTTTTCTTCCGCTTCGTATCCGAATGAATCAAAGCTACCATCAGGGTGAAGAAGCAGAGAGGTAGGTGTTTTAAGGGTAGCAGTTCCCTGGTCATGTCCCCAGGCTCTGTTCATATGAATGCCTCCTTCTCCCTTCTTGTGGTTGAAAGCAAAAGCAAAACCACTGTATGTGGTCCCAAAATCAATAGCAACCACGGCTATGTAGGATGAACTTGTAGAGAACAACAAACCTTCAGACGCTGAAGAGCAAAGATGAGCTTAAGAAAAGCGAATATTTCCTTGTTCACAACTACACTGGAAAACACGAACGGCATGCATGACCCTAATTGATAAGTGGCTTTATTTAGGTTGAAAGGTAGGCTGAGAGTAAAACAGCTGGATCTCGCCTCTATGCAGAGAAAATGACGGGTGTGGGTGCTTAGATAATTCAAAAAAATGATACAAGAACATCTACGAGAGAAATTAATGTCAATAATTATATCATGCCGAAGAATAGAGACATGCATTTTCTTTCTTGAGGCCAAAAAACTCCGTATTATAGTATTCATTTTGAGAAAATCTGTTGATTAACAGAGAAGATTTCCAGGCTTCCCCCCTAATCTGGTAATAATGCTCTCCAAACTGACCAAACTCCTTCCTCTTGTAATTCTTTGTTTAGTTCATTTACTCATACGTTTGGCGTCGGAGAGGAGGATCATGGTTTCGCGCTTGTTTGATGATAACAAAATCCCTCTTGACGAATTTTACTTGCTTCTTGCTTGCTTCTTGCTTCGAAGGTGAACAGGCCAGTTTGTATGATCTTTCATCAACAGTCGATGCGTTCGATTGCAGAAACCGAAAGTGATTAACTTCCGGGCTAATATGTTTATCCTATCCTCATTTCAAACTAATGTATCTTTTACGTCTTTTTCGATGATTCTTGTAAGCAATAATTAATACATATTTGTAACGAAGTAGGAACAACTTACAATAATCGAATGCTTTGAAGAGTTGGACCCAGTTGTAATTCTAAGAAGTGTTCACTCGTTAACCTGTAGTAACGCTTTCTGTTACATGATTTATAAAATTCGTTTCGCTCGAATAGTAAATGTCTGTACTTTTATAACTTAAATAAGGATTTTGATACGTACCACTCATGCCGCTTTCAAGCTAATAGTTCCTTAAATGATGAAGAATCTTTATGTTGGATAGTACGCGTCGTTCACCCTAAAGAAAATGCTTATGTGTTATACCATAAATTTTTCATTTCCCCTTTTTCCTAGAATTCCTTTTGTCGGAAATTTTAAACTGTTTCCGGTTCCGGTCGCACTGTTCCGGAAGTAATCATGTACAGAATTTTTCTGCCTGCTTGTTCATTATCTACTTGCGCAAAAAGACAGTGCAAGAAAAGTCTCTTTAATCAATAAGTAGTGAGAGCCATTATGTTATAACTCAAGATTTCGCAAAGAAGTGGCTTGTTACTGACACACAAGCGTCCGTTTTTGATACTGAAGGTTTAGAATTTTTGTGTTCATGGAAAACATGAATTTTTTAAGTAAAGATAGCTCGGTTGCTTGATCATTACGTGCCTTATCGTCAAACCAAATGGGAAAAATTAAAACCATTTACAAATGTAAGTCTTTAGTAATACATCTGCTCCAGATATAGGCCCTAATACAATTGGTGTGGTGTATTCGACCGCAAGGGTCAAGAAAGAAAGGAGTCTTCTGTAGTCGGATTTTATATGTATGTCGATTAAATATCGTTACGATGATATCAGAAGTTTCAGTATTTATTTGAGCATAAACACCACATCTGGTGACGAGGATCAAGCATAAAACCCAGAGAGCGTGTTCTAAAAGGATCTGAAGGGATTTTAGAAGCGATTTCCAAAGAGATTTCCGAAGTAATTTTTCCTGCGCAATCAAAACATTATGGCGATCTCTCTACAATTCAAAACTTCACACAGCTTGAAGTTCACCTCGATGGGATGCAGACCCGAGATGAGAGAAATGGCCAGGACGATTCGAGAGACTAACCATAGGAATAAAGATTGATGAAGGCAAGAAGAAAAGAGCCCTTTTTGTTCTTGGGAAATAATCTGATATCAGGGCAACACTATACTTAAAGCTGTTTTCGCAAACGAATATATAAATTCATCGAAATAAACGAATAAACTGGAGAATATAGAATAATAAAGTACAACTAAAACTTAGCTCCCGAAACCATTTATTTTTTGCGACAATCACCTCTTCCTTCCACCAAACTTACCTGGTATTACTCAGAAGCACTTCGGCATAAAATTAGGATATCACATGATGTCACATGACTTATTTCCGGTCTTTCCTAGAAATGCGAATTGAAACAAAATAAGCAGTGCAAATCGACAGCAGTTTTTCATTGTTTTATTCTTGAGGCGAAATAAGCTGGTAAGATTAGTAGTGAAAACAGAAATGGCACACTATCAGCCTGCTTAGTTTGGAGATCAAGCAACAAAGGAGGACACTCAGGCAAATTTGTAAGGCAGGTAATCGCTGTGCTTAGAGACAATCGAGAGGCCCAATGCCTGATCGAAATGCAACATACTCTTGAGGCAAAGTACGTCAAAACAGAAACACCGGAGACAGCCAGGTAGAAAACGTAAATGTTCTTAATTTAAATTTTCATTTCATCAAAAGTTTGCTGATCAATGTCGAGGGTCTGACTGATGCAAACATGCTGCTAGATGTTAGTCAGATACAAACAACTGCTCCCATTGCTACCTTTGAATTTGACATGTTCCGTGTAATCTACGAATACTTTTACCCCTAAAACGCTCTTAATTTGTTTCACATGAGGTTATTAATCTTACAACCGTTTTTGTGTAACGTTTTACAGACTCGTTAATTCTACTATTTTACATTTGCAAGTCAACGACTCGTGGTGGATGCAAATTATGGGGGAGGGGTGGGAAGGATTTAAGCTTCCTTCTAATACGAATTAAATGCTGGCGTCGCTTTAAGTTGTCAGGAGAACATATTCTTGAAACAAAGGCGGGAAAGTAGCCTTTTCCCCTACAGAATTAGTGCTATCAGAGGTAACAATGATCAGTTGCAAGTGTTTTTTATGGTACTTACAGCTTACATGTTTACGTCAAATAAAGGCAGTGATTGCGGCCACTTACTGTATGTTTTCCCACTCTCTCATTTTATTTTTCAGCTTACATCATAGAGTTTTATTTTTAATATACCCGAAAGTTGCTTTTGAGCGTTTGGGTTATGCCCTTATGCAAAATTAGCGGGTGCGTTTCGCAAATAAATCACACATCGCCGGTGTTATTCAGATCCATAATTCCTTACTGGAAACTGTAAAATATTTTTACCTTAGTTCATGTTAGATTTTTAGAGGTTTTATTCATTCATTTACAAATTTTTTGTACAGCTTTACAGGACTATTACATTTATAAAGATTGTATTCGGTTATCTTTTGTATTATGTCGGTTTGCGGTAATACGCAAGACAGTTATTTCTTGTAACAAACATTTAACCTTCAAAATATTGTTTTAGAGACAAACGGAAGAACAAAAAATGGTAGGCCAGGTTGTTGGGGGACCCTTTGGTTGGAATTTATCAAATAAAAAGGCCATTACTAAAGCAGACAAAGCATCAAACGAATTCGCAGTAAAGTGTAGAAATTTGGCACGATGCAACTGGGATGAGACCGAGTTTTACCGAGGTAAATTACCTCAGGGTAATTTTGTTTAATGGGGCGTTGGGTGCGCCAGGAGAACAAAAGGTTTTCCCAGCTACCCTTAAGCAACAGAGTGGGAAACTTGAAATCCCATGCAAAAGAACCAATCAGCGCTTGTTGGTGGGTACGTTAATGACAGATGTTGGTTTACATGTCACGTTGTGAACCCTTTTTTTAACTCATGTGATTTTAGGTAACGTGGTCTTTTTCACGTCGCCGTATTATGGCGCGATTTAAAACTCTCATTTGATTAGAATTAGTTATTGCATCCCCAATCTTTGGGATACTCTACGATTTTCTTTCATTATCTGAAGTTTTTGTGATGTTTTCCCAATCCAAATACACAGTTTTGTCCTAGAAATAGGCTACATCCCGAACAAGGCACTACGATACCGCTACAAACTTGATATGCACCTTCACTGGCATAATTAGAATACAGACTTCAATCCCTTAAAATCTCTAAGTCTCTAACGACGACATAGCTCATTATGAAAAGCGATTCACTGCAAACAACTCGGAAAATGACTTAATCAAATTCCAAGAGGGGCGAAAAATCTTAAAAGTTTTTCTAAGCTTGATCTGCCCAAAAATTTCCAACAAATTCGAATAACTCTCCTTGTAATTAACTTTACATCGATCTCCGAAAAAACGTCACTAAATAGTGTTTATCCGGGTTACGAGACTTCAAGTTAATGTTTATGTAATGATAACAAATTGTCAACCATTTTCCTCTAATAGTTTTATTACACACAATAGATACCTGGACTCATGGAGGTTTGTACTCCACGATAAACATCAATCTTGATGTGTCTGATGACATCATATTTTACCTTTGTTCTCTACCTTTGCGTTCATTTCGCAGTTTAATTACCAATCTGTTGAACACTCAGGTGTTTTGGAAGTGCCATTATTCAAAAATAGAACCAAAAGATGTTGAGCACTACTCATACCACCACTAATATTACTGCTGCTACTATTACCACCACCACTACTGCTACCACAACCACCACTACTAATACAACCGCCACTACCATAACTCCCACCGCTATTACCACTACTACTATCACCACTACCACTACGATCACCACACTTACCATCACCACCACTACTACCATTACCACTACTACCGCTACTACCACCTCTGCTACTACCATCACCAATACTAACACCATCACTAATAACACCACCACTACTGCCACCACTACTACCTCCACTACCACACCACTGCAATACCACTGTCACCCCATTACAAAATAGGATTTACAAAATAGTTTTGGATTTTCCCTTTTCGGCTTCCGTATAATTCTCCACAATGTCGCACTCTTTGTTCTGATGAGTGCTTTACCATCTTAGATCACGCTTTCACAACTTTTCAACTTAAAATCAAAGAAGCTATCCGCATTCAATGGGAGAAACCTACACTTTATCACCAACTTTACCATAGTAATTTAAAACTTTCCTTGTAAATGCATACATTATTCTACTACTATTGTTTGTTTTTTCCAGTCAGCATTTTGTTACACACTTTAAATTCAACTTTGTACTTTGTATTACTCAGAACTGAGGATGACAGAAGAACTGTCGAAACATGTTTTTGAACATTACACTAATTACATTTAAAAATCCATGCGTGGTTCAGTTTTCTTTTCCCTTTTTCATTCTGTCCAACTTTCTTGTGTTCCGTGTAACATGAATGGAGAAAATAGAAGTCCAAAATAAATTTTGTTTTTTTACCCATAGTTTTTCATGGAGGAAAGCATTTATTGTTCTCATCCCTTTTTACAGAATCAAAACATCGGAGATAACCATCGAAGATCAACAGGGGCTGATCAGGGCCTTGGGGAACACTGGAAGTTCCAAAACATCGAGCGTCATCGGGTAACCTCTCGTATTACAATACATACGTAGTGTCAAAACACTGAATACCTTTTTTTTAGTTTGTTTCCTTTAGCGATAGACCACGATTGATGTCTTCTAGATTAATTCTAACTCAAAGAAACTTTGGTCGTTAAGTAAGGACTGTTAGTGTGCAGATACAGCAAGGCAACAAAAAAATATTTATGTTAACTCCTCTCTTTGTTCCCCTTAAACTCAGCTGGACAGTATTGTTTTTGAGGCGGAGATATCTAAGGTTTTATTTATGAGAGAGTACTCTGTTCATTTAAATGTTGCATCATGAAATAAATGATTTAAATGTGACATAGCTACATCTAGTGATGTATACCATCTTCGAATTTTTACAATAACACTGAAAGTGATACATAACACGCCACCCCGAGGGCGGCATAAAAATCTGCTGTATATTTCTCGATCGATGAATGAAGGCGGAGTACAACTTACTTTTTTGATGCAAGTGCGTGTCTGTTTTAGTTTTGTAAATCAGCATAAAAACTTTTCTTCTTCAATTTTGGAATTGTTGTTCAGGTAAGAAGAACGATGTGAGGAAACGTCAGTGAAATATACGAGCAGCAGGCAAATCATCTCGCTGACCGCTAGCGCCAAACATTTTGTAACACGCTAAAAGGCGTTATGCAATCTTCTTTAATCTGGTTTATTTATGCTCATTTTACCGCATCGGCAATCTTTTCAATTCTCTAGACATAGGATGTTCAAAACTCTGTTCGTGGCTTTTCCTCATATTTTTTTACTGAATGTAATTTACTCTAATGATCATCAAAATAGAATAAAAATGTTCTTTTAATGATCAAAAAGGGTCGAATACAATCAAAAATAATAACTTTAAAGTTGCTCTAAAAGTGAAATCTCGTTTAAACTGATTCTTCTTAGAACATGTAACCTTAGAAGATATATTGTACAGCAGGTTAAGTGGCGGATATTAAACCGAAAAGCAATGCTCAGTGGGAAATGAATGCTGAAAGTTAACCTGTTGAGGTCAATCCTCAGCAAGTCAGCATAAATCTATTAGTCCGTTCCAATTTTTTATTTTTCCTCTTTTGCTGTGTGTAAATTCCCAGCAAGCACTTCGCAAAAAAACAAAAAGAAAAGAAAACAAAAAAAAACATGAACCTTTCCTGCCTATTTCCTGTGCTACAATTTCTCATCAAATGGTGAGTTTTTCCTTCTTTTTTAAAGGTTGTGTACTCACAATCTACTCGTGCTCCTGTTTTAATATAAAAATGTTGGCAGCGTGGGATGTTTACTTCTCATTTTTCTCTGACACGACTTTATAAAAAAAAAATTCCCTTCTTATGTACCAATAGCTAAAAGCTCTTTGAATTAAGTTTCAAACGAACGCTCTCATCATAGCAGACGTACGTTCCCTTTTGTCAAGACACTCAACACGATTTCTATCTGTGAACTTCCTTACATCTATCTGCTACATGAAATTTACTATTTTATAACTCCAGGGCCTGATATGACTAAATGTTTTCTACAGTTTGATTATTATAGATTACTTCCTCGTCTATCGATATGACCGTGAGATTGATGAGTGCAAAAGAAGGGAAAGGTTTCTTGCCTCTTGATTGATTCTTCGGCCCGACAGAAAAAAGAGGGAAAATTTTCATCTCAGGTTCCTTTTCTTATTAAATTGCAATTTATTGTTGTATAGGTGGTTATATGATAGGTTTATCGCCTGGTGGCTTCCCATCCCCAGTGGAAACGAAGATCTCCTCGTAAAGATCGCGGAAAAGGAAATGAAACTTGAACAGCAAGCAAAGAGGTATTATTTGAAAACCAGTTCTTGTATCTTCTCTCTTAAAAGGATAACAAAGAAATTATGCAAATAGATTAATATTAGACCATTTTTCCCCGGTATGCTCAACAAACCTTTCGCATTGAGGGATAATTATAGGTTATTACACGGTTGGTGCGCATGTACGATTTTTATTCACAGCGAGTGAGTTAAAATCGTACAAGCGAACCAATCGTGAAATAACTTATTTATTATATACATACCAAGATTCATAAGCGAACAGAACTCAAAGATAAACATATCTTTATTTTATTTCAAAGGAAAACAACGCGCGGTCAAGCTGCCGCATAGTTCGAGAGTTGCACTGAAATGGCTTCCTTGTAAAATACTTTACATTTAAATTATCAAGCAAAAATGCCATCAAAAGGCAGAAATAGTTAGAATAAAATAAGACATCCTAAAAATATGACGAAATAACTCTACGGAAGCTCAAAACTTGAAATACAGAAGTGAAAACCCGAGACCTCATTTTTTGTTGCTTATCAGAACCCGCATGCCTGAATCGCCTCGCCATTGAAAACAAGAAATTCATGGAACAGAGCAACATCGTGTTTGGTCTTTTTCTTGGCGTTTTCATTTTCCTGTCCGTCTATGAACTCTTCTACTGATGAATCTAAGCTCTGAAAATGGTTAGTTTGATTTGAAGCCATCTTTCTGAAGAAAAATGCGCTTAAGCTTAGAAGTGTGCTTTTTGTCAGTCAAGAGGAGTTTCGAACGAGCGACACGGTTTTGTTCACTAGTGAAAATAATGATATAGCCAATCAGAGCGTCGAAAGGTTTGTATGACCAATCAGCTGGCTTCTCTAGCGCGAAGAGACTATTTTCATTTAAATGCTTTTTGGCGCGTAAATCTCGGTATGTATATAATAACGTCGATTTATCGGTAAGAACCAAATTTACAATAAGAACAGTTTAGACTTATATAAAAAAAGATAATTGGAACCTTTAAAGTCATCTTTGCTAAAATAAAATTTTTTGGCGTCAAAAGTAATGTGTGCCTAATTATAAAACAAATATCCAGGTGAATTTTCCGAAACATACCCCTAGGCACGAGGTCTTCAGCAGACTTCCCTACAGCTACAGGGACAAAGCCCACTGGTTGAACTGTGACGTAAGCCCAAGTATCAGTCAAAACAGCACGTGACAAAAATATGCTATGAGAAAATTGAAAACAAACCCTCATTAACGTAGGTGTTCAAACCCTACCCACTCCTAATATTGGGAAGCACCACCCAAAATTAGGTCAGTCCCCGGGCTGCACCTGGATGCTCGCCCAGGCTGGCTTCAAGGCGAGGGGTACCTGCCTTCAAGTGTCTGTGAAACTACCCGTGAGTTTTGTTGGATATACAGCTAAAAGGCCAGTCCCTTAACTGCACCCGAGGGCGCAGTTTACCAGAGGAAACAGAGCTATAGCAGTTCAACAATGAAGTAAATGGAATATATATTTTTTTCAAATTGGGTTGTTTCCGTTGTTTGTTCAGTTCCTAAAAGTTGTAAATCTGACTCGTTAATAAGATGGTAATTATTTCGTTTGCTGATCCACCAGAATAGTTGAACTTGAGATGAACTTACAAGTAATAGAGATAGAAAATGGGGAGAGGGGAGAAAAGTGAGCTCACCGAATACTTTTCATCTTGTTTGTACTTAGAGTGACTATTAAACTGCTCTATAACGCTGTTTTGAACACTACTGCAGAATAACAATGATATATTAGTTTAGTTTTTTTTTTGCCCCAAAATGATATCGTATAGGGTGTCGGTGATACTTTGTTTACATCGATCAAAGAAAAGCCTTTTAAATCTTCATGTTCATGTATCGTTAAACAGTATGCTTTATCAATGTTTTCTTTTTTAAAATGTGTAGGCTTAATCAGCTCGAAGAATTTAACAATAGTAAGGACAGAGAGATTGAGCGACTGAAAATGAGGTGCGTCTTATTTCATGACTTAAATGAGTTGTCCATCCATACGGCTCACAACAGACAAGCTTACGAATTTTCTTCCTCATTGATCGTCCTTCACCTCGTAAACTAGCCTTTGGGTGAAGGAAACAGGTTCCAGCAAAGAAGTATGTAAAGGCTCTTATATACCCCATGAGAATATACGATTACCGGCAACAAGCTTACCTCCATTAATGCAAAAGATACTAAGGATTGGATCCCTCTGGTTTACTCAACAATGCTTTCGGAATATGGGTCATCTATTCCCCCCTTAAATAGATTTAATCATACTAGTAAAATTCCAATAGTGATGAGTGTTCTTGATTACGCAACATAGTGTACTCTGTGAACGATACATGAGATAAACTGAAAAGAAAAACATTTGTCAAACCACAAGCTGCGGATTGACGAAGGTCCGAGAGCAAAGTTCAACGTTTTCCTCTACCTGCACAGAAAAGAAAAAGTCTAAAGATCGCTGCCTTGTGTTAAAAAATCCTCGTCCTTGAAGTAGTAATGTACAAAGACACACACACATACGATTGTACATGATCAGAAAGTGTGAAATGACTATAATGTAAACTGCTTGCTGCTGTTTCCAGAGTTTAACTCGTGACGTTTCGATTTTCGGCCTTCATTGGGTTGCACATACAAGTTAAATGCGAAAAAAATGCTAAAATCCCAAGATATCTCAAGTCGAGGATATTTACATTAAATGAGGTGTACTATATATAATTAAATCAGGTTAGATGTATAGAACCTTTGCATGATGTACATATGCGTTTTGTTATTTTATCGAAACGGTGTTGCATGAAGCATCTACAATTCGCCTAGGATTAAATATACAAACGTGACTTCAACCTCTGAAAGTGACTAACTGCATTTAAAAAAAAATTCTCAGAAGCTATTTTCAAAAAATTTCCCTAATCATTTTTCTGTCAACTTTTGTTTGACGATGACGATGTGTCTATCATCTTAGCACTGAATGGTCTCTAATTACCTTGCAGAGTTGCCGCTCTCAGTGAGAGAAGAGTAAAGCAAAATCAGTCAAAAGTGGAGGATATGCTTAGTAAGAACAGACAGTCAAAGGCGGAAGAGGATTTCGCTAATTTCTTCGACGAAACGAGAATGGATACACTCGAAAAAATGGAGAAATCGTACTCGTTTGAAAAGCAGATAGAGATCGACATCTATTGCCCCAGACTTCTTTGTCTTATTTTTGAGGTATATCTTGATATTAAGAATAAGCAAACACCCATGATACCTCGTTCACGGTATCAATAATTAGTTCCAAAGTCGTTTCAAAATTGGGAGATAACCTTTTGAATGAGACGGTGGGCATCGGCTTCCTATAAAAAACATACTTTAGTTGTGCTTTTTTCGAGTCGACAATCTGAGTGGATGGCCACCATCAGAGTCAAGTGAAGAGTTGCTGTCAGTCGACTGTTATAGTTCCAGTCCTTGCATAATGTTCAGTCAGTTTAGCCGCGATTGTATTGACTTTAAAACTAATTTGGTGCATGTAAGTCGGTCGTAATTGTTAGGACTGCAAAGTCATTCTTTTCGGTTCCGTGGCGGAGCAAATGTCTTGAATAAGTCAATTTATTGGTGCTGGTAGTTGTTGACTTCTGTCGAGGGTAGTCTGCTCCAAATTAGTGAACTAGCTTTACACAGTCAGTCGTTGAGAATAGTTAGAGCTGTAGGTTAAGCATTTGGCAGAGTCACAGTCAATAGCGGGGTTCGTTACTCGATGAATTTAAGCGTTGTGATTTTTATCATTACCATTTCTCGTCGCTTGTTCGTGCTCAGTCTGTCTTGTATTGAAGTTTGTTATAAACCAACCCTGTCTTTTTTAACTGACGTAGTGTAATAACGATCGTTTTGTGGGCGAGCTGGATATTGAACGGTTACAGCATGCGCGAGATGGTTTCAGACATGCCCTCCATGTACGGTCTATAGTCATTGTGGTCGTAGGAGTTGTCGTTGCTAAGTGTTTCGCCGGATCCAATTGTTGCTCTTTTTCGGAAAAACACAGTCAAAGTTTTTGTTTTCTTTGGATAGGCTGTCTGTCGAGTTGCAAACCAGGCGCACTTTTTAGAGCCCTGGGTGCATGATAGTAACGACTTTGTGTGATGTCGGGTTGTAAGATGACTTGTCTGGTGTACGGCGATACGTGTTGGTTTTCTTCGACTTGTCTGTTTACTGTTTGTCTGTGCTCTGCTCGTTTAGGTGGTGGTGGAATGTGTAGATTTTGTCGTGGTTTACGGCGATAAATGTATTACTAGGATTTCATCACGCTATAGTACAGTAATTGCCATTTTCACAAGTGTTCAATTTTTGTATTGTTTTGTTCTGTTTCTTTTTTTTTTCAAGGCTGCCTACGAAAAAATGGAAGAGGCGAGAAGAGCAATGTTTGAGTTGGGGAAAGAAGTAACGAGAGGTTTTATTCAATTAACCCCAGACGAGATCAAATTGATTACAGACTGTAAAAGGGTAAGACAAAAAATCAACCCCTCTAGCAGTTTATCTCCGGCGAGGATAGATGAAAAGCGGTGATTAAGATTAATATAAACAAAACTGTTGTAAAGATTTGACACTTGTCTTTTTTCCTTACGATATTGGGTAAAGGACGCAGACATTGTATATAAACTATATCATCCTTAGTTCTCCACCCCCCTTACGTGCAGATCAATTGTAGATGTTTAGATAAAGCGTCGTGATGAACACGAAACTCTCTTGACGAAAGAAGAGGCGTCAAGCTTTATAGTAAGGAAATATGATTTGGATCGTTAAGTGAAAATAAATCGGTTCGTTCCTACTGTGATTTAAATGGAAGACTTGCCTTTCAAATGGAAACTCAGATTCCAGCTGCATCAACAAGGTATAGGCTTTTATTAAGGCTGGCAAGTTTTCTATAACGTGGTGAGTAATTTAGGAAATTAAATTTAAATTCATTCGGATCGCTAGATTAAAATTTCGGATTTTGTTACTTCTTCTTCAGCCGTATCTATCTAATAGAAACGGCTTTTTAGCACCTCCATAGATATCGGCCGAGGGTTTTAAAACCTGTTCCCATAATATCGTAAGCCTTTATCGGTCCATTAACGAACTAGCTTTCATGAATGAACAGACTTTTGAACTTCTGACCCTAAATTAGGCTGTACAATCTAATTTACACTTTAAGGGTTACAATATGATTAGCCTTGATAGAAATCGAGGTGGTGGTGGTGTTTGCACTTACATTCGAAGCTGCATGAATTATACAAGACGTTTGGATCTAGAAATCCAGTTTTTAGAAATGTTAGCGTTGAAAATACCAAAGACATTGCCGATGGTAATAATTGTTTTACCTAAATTGGTCCAGGTGTTTCTACAGACCTTTCCAGGTCATCCATAAATTTATAAGAGGAATTGGAACACGAGCCGTCCTCGTTTTAATGTACTGAAATTAAACCGTTTAGGGTCTTTATTTCTTTACTGTACTGTCAAACTGTCACCGAGATGTCAACAAAGCAACCGGCCTTGACCAAATTTACGGTAAAGTTCCTTAGCTGGCTGCGCCATTAAGCTATTGACAACGAACTTATATACTGAACTTTCTGCTGTTTTTTAAAGCAAGTGACTAAAAAAATTGTAACTATCTATTAGAGATCTTCATATAAAAATACAAACTCGCAAATGCTCTGGAAGTTTAATCGAATTTTTGTTGTTCACGGTTTGTGGAAGAACAAACGTGGAAAATATTGTAGTTTTTGATCACGGTTACCGTGGTTAAATTAGCTTTTCTATCTATTCTATTCATCTATCCATTATGGCTAATACATTCAAATATTCTTTTTGTAATACGTGTAGTATTCAAGTCTTTTGTCTTAACCAACAGACGGGCGTCTCTGAAACATCGATAACCTATCCAGTCTGCTTAGGGCGTCAAGAATCACAGTATCCAGTAGAAGCTGTTGATGCCCTAATGATGATCTTGAAAGAAACGGCACCCAATTGCAACCTTGATTGTTTAGTGGAGGTATGTTGTCCTGCATACTCAGCCTCTCAGTACGTATCTTGATTGTAAACATCACTTGTTCATATAATTTTTGAAGGTTTCATGGTTACATTGTAAACCTTCGGGGTGGGATGAACTGTGTCGTGGATCTCGATTTGCATGTTTCGTTTACATCACGCAATGAAACGTACAAAAGAAGTGAACTTGTCATATTTCCCAAAACATTGAAGAATAAGAGTCTTCATGAAATGGTCAAAAAGAGATGTCACTTTGTAGCAAATCTAACAGAAGGCCCGACGACGGCAGGACAGTTTGATGAAGCAAAAAGGGTCTGACCTTACGAATTGCTTTCCTTGATGAATTTTTTGAACTTCGTTTAACCCATACGTTTTCCCGCGAATTTAAATGGCCTCTTTCTCACGGCACTCGACAAGGGAGTTCCATATTGCCTTTTATTGGTTGGCGGCATGACCGCATTGGCACGCGCTTAAATAAGGTGCTAAAACTGGGAATTTCTTTGGGGGCCGAAAATCCGAGGTTTGTTTTTACGCTAGTTACCTAAACCTGAACGATTTAATAGGGTATGTATTTTTGTCGGATTTTGATGAAACGTAGCCAGGATATTTGTCAGATATTAATGCACACAATTATGTGAGGCTTTAATGGAATTTGAGATATCTTTTTCCTGTGAATTCCCGGCGCGTGACAACGCAATTTTGTTTTGTCCAACTTTAAAATAGATTTTCTCGGGAATCAATCGGAATATCGAAAAGCTTATAATCTGCTGAGTGATACAATCCAGTTTGTTGGGATGTTCGTGGTAACGCAAAGGCTTTTTCCGGAGGGCACTCTTTTCTGTTGACGGTGACCTTAATCTTTATTCAGATTTCTAACGATTCGTGCACATTGTTATGCTGCTGGTTGGTTTCGTATGAGAACATCAGTCACAATCGTATCTGATTATTTTTTTTCTGATAACAACTTTTCAAAGGCGTCATGAAGAAATCGAGTTGTAGTTCAGTTTTTTTTTTTATCAAACGCACACGGGAAATAAATAAATTAAAGAAAAAGCTAAGTAACTCAGAGTTAATCACTATATCGACTTCACAATGATTTGAAGATTACTTAGAAACCTAGTATTGTTTTTTTTTTCGAACACGTTAGAGGCACTTTTCTTTTTTTTATCATTATCCTCCAATTAATAACAGTACTAAGGTATGAGACAAGCTCACAGTCGCAATCTTATTTTCAATCCAAGCCAATATATCGTACTTTTCCCGCCCTTTCTCCTCTACATTTTGTCTTGTGCATCATTCTCCATGGGAAAAGGGGAGGAAGGATGAATGTCGATGTCAGGTCTGAAGGAAAATTGTTCACGATATTAGTATCGGTAATAACATGATTTCGAGTGTAGTTTTGTGTAAATAATTTGCATGGAAAAAGCATCTTAGAAAGTCAAGACAGAGGATTTTTTGACAGCGCGCGCGCTATTTGTAATTTGAACTCGTGTTACAACTTTGCACTCGTGTGACATGAAAATTGCACTCGCTTAAAGCTAATCAGAAGCGCGTAATTTTTATATATACATTATTAGAGCTTTTACTGATGTCAGCGTTGTCGGCTTTCTTAATTTTTGACCACACGTATCATTTCTTTCATGAGCGATTATTTTGCAGTTTGCGAACCCGTACGCCTAACTTTTCAAATAATCTTCAAAAATCTTTTAGGATGTCATTCGAGTTGTTGTGAAGAAGTGGAACAGGTGGCAGGAAGAGGAAAAATTGTTGAGAAACAGCCGACTTTCACACGCAGTGAGTCACCTTCATAAACCACTATTCCAGGAGTACATAAAAGCAAGTATCCGGCTGACTTGGAGAATGGTTACCCAGACACCACCACTTAGGTTAGAGTATCAATCCTTGTACCTACAACAGTGCCATAAGAAGATGGGTTGTTATATGAGTCCTGAGGTACGTACGTTGGCGAAAGGAATCCCTGACCAACATCAGGAAGAGGAGATAGCGTGTTATCTTTGGCCGGGACTGTTTGATGGGGAAGGAAGATGTATTCGAAAAGGAGAAGTCTTGTGTAGGATAAAAGCGAATACCGAGTAAGCATCTTTTGAATTTCTACGCCCAACAACTAAAGCAAAAGGTTATGTGTAGTTTGGAAATTGCTTTAATGTTCAAAATCCTGTTAAATACCTTTTATTTGTGCCACGCTCCAAATGTAAATGAGAGGCATGAATCAGGTCGATGCATGATCGAAATAAGTGGGTTTTCTGACATGAAACGACCTCTTATATTTAGTGTTACCTGTGACGTTGTTAGAGAAAGAAGGACCTCTGAAAAATATACGATAACAGATGGAATAGAATGCAGGCGATTAACAATGAGTATTCTGTTTGTTTATGCAAGCACTATTTTATTTCGCCTACAAGTAAAAACATTAAAACGTCTTTACATCGACATTTTTCCTTATTGATGTTTAATGAGAGCATTTGCTTAGAAACTAAATTGCTTCTGTATTAAGTAGTTAAAGCTTGTTTTAGAGTTTGGGTGGTCAAACTAAAGAAATAAAGAAAACTGTTGTAAAGATTGTCCCTAGTTTAGCATCCGTACTTAACATCCATCTTAAAGGCAAAAGCTTTCCTTGCAATTGTTCTTGAGCAAGTGTTTAAATATTGAGTAATTGCACGTCTATGGAACTTGTTTTTGGAAATAAATGCTTAGGTTATGATCATGGTCTGATTATTGTTTTAGATCCGTTTAGATCTCTGTCTCTTTTATTACAGAAAAAAATTCATTAATGATCGAAAGAAAAAGTCCTAAGGTGGTTTGGGCGCTATTTGTACTTGAAATATCAGAGGCAGTGGCAGTTATTCAGTTCCTCCGAAATATATACTGACTTCAAGTTTTCTATCCTTATCTCTTCATGTATCTGGGGACTAAACTTTGACACTTCCAATCTTTGTTACCTCGGGGTCAGTAACAAACTGTTATTTGGGATTGCTTGTGACGTAGAATAGTTTGCTCAGGGTAATAGGTTTTTGTTATTCGCTCTCCGAGCTTTACTACGCTGTTTTCCCTTACAAAGCATTTAAATACTTGACCGCACTTTTCAATCCCATTTGTAATCAATTTCTTTTCTTCAGGATGAACTCCTTCAATAAAATCTATCGAACGATCGGAGCCAAAAGTTGTGGAGACGACTCTTTCGGATATTTTCGTAGGTTTTTTTCCAAAGATTACTGCTCCTTGAACAACTGCAATGGTTTTATAATGAGGAACAAGTATCCTTAGACTTCTTGCGAACTCCGTTTTTAATTCTTGTTGTAAGAAAGCAGAATCAGCAAAGCCGCCAACAAGGAGCATGCTTTGCACCTTTGATAGTTGCGGTTTTTTCATCAAAGTTGTTTGTTCCACAGCTGTCCATCACCGAACTTTGGGTTTCATTTAACATGGATACAAAGCTCCTTAGTAAACTGATATTTGTCCTCAAACTGTCGTCTAAAATGCGCTTCCCGCGTTCCTTTCCTTCAAACTCGTTCATTAACGACAGCCAATCAGATGGATGTTGCTTTGTGAACTTTTTGAACCAAATAACTCTTCCAAAAGATTTTCAAACTGCTGGTTGATGTACATTCCACCATAAGGTCGCCCTGTGGACCTCTTTAATGTTACCATCATCTTGTATTTTGTGAACTGTGACATCTAATGTCCCCATTGAGATAAAAAAAATGAAAGTCAGCTGATATATACTTACTTTATATCCTATCATGGTTAATCTTTTTGCGATTACTCTACATTGTAGATGTATCATTGACTTCACGGGACAACCAATAACTTTCTTGGTGATTCCTAGTATGTTTACTGTAAGGATTTTTACCCCTTCAAACGAGAGTTGAACTTAAAAAAAGGGTTGGTTCCAACCAGGATGATAATAATAATGATGGTAAAAGTAGTAATAGTAATGATAATAGTAGCAATAATGATACCGAAAATATAATAATAATAACACTAATACGATCACTAACAAAAATGATGATAATGGTTAGCATGCTAACATCAATTATTAAAAAAACATAGCCTAAGAGATTTGCTAATACTTATTTACTACCAAGCTTTCAATAATCACCTCTGAAATTAATTTTTAAAGAATGGTTCTTACTTTGAGTTGATAAAAGTCTCTCCTCTCATTGATTTGAGACCTTCTTTAATCAAATACGTCAGTCATGCTTTTTATATATGTGAGTTTAGTATAATTGCTCCGGTGATTATAGAGATGCACGAGCTCAGACTGGTCGAGTATTGCGTCATTTCTTGCTAGAATCACTCGCGTGAGGTGATTAAAGTAGGGGTGCAAAATTTTTAAAGGCTCCCTCGCGTTTTATTAGTGTGTCGCAGAAAATGATACACGTGATGAAAGAAAATACAACTCTAAAGACCACAAAAGATGCTACTAAGTTTGGCGTAACACTTTTCAAAAGAAATATGAGAACTTTTTTAATTAAATGAACCTGTTAAATTCTAGTGTAAACTGGCTGCTTATCTTGATACGAGTAACCAAAACAATTGTAACAGAATGGTTTCAACATCAAAACGAATTTACCGCAGAATTCGAAAGCTCCTGAGCAGTTATACCAAAGCAATTATTCGCCTCAGGCTGAATGAATATTGTTGAATAATACTCTCGACGTTGTCTCGGAAATTATTAATCATGATATTTACCGAGCCTGAGGCGAGTAATTGTTAAATATTCTATGGACAAAATTTGCGGCGATCGATTTGGACCTTTCGAAGGTGTTCTGGCAGGTTGGCTGGCGAGGGTCAATAAACCGAAAAACAGTAGTAGAGTTTGGATAGGACTCTCAAGTCCTTGTAGAGTATTAAAAGAATCTACAAGCCTTTTTGCCCATGCGGTGGTCACAGTTTGTGCAGTGTTCGCAGAATATGAGGCACTGGCAATACTAAATACCTATTGCTCCCATTTTAAGTTTTCGTGTATTCCAAAGCTATGCAACTTTTTGTGATAGATTCTTTTACGTTCGCGGTTGGAAATTCCAGCGCAACCCTAATTCATAGGGGTATGACTCCGAACCATTTGGCTTGTTGATAATCAACAGCATTGCTTCGCTTAATGATGCATAATTTTTAAGCTTGGTGGTTTACGTGAAGAAAACTGTTATTCAGTGAATGACAAAAAAAATATTCTAAAAAAAAAAAAAGCTTGGAGTGCTCCCACTGGGCGTCGAACCGACGACCTTCTGATAAGTAATTCGAATTTTCAACCTACTACACATTTCGAGGATAGGAATGTCGATATGTGATACTTATGCGCAATAATGATGTAAATAAATATATTTACCTGAATGATGTCTAGGACCACGTATTTAGCTTATTCAGGGTTGAATTAAGCTCATGCGGTCTTTGTGAAAATTGTCTTATGGGCAGTGGGCAGATAGTATTTTAGTCCTAAAAAAACTCTTTCCCTAACTACCATAGAGGATGACGATATAATGTAGCAGTCAATTAATGGAATCTTTGCATTTTATCTACTCGTGTCCTTAATCTGTAAGTTAAAAAAATTATAGTGAACGATGATGTTATACGTTAACTGCTACGTTCTCAGCGTGTTAACTTGAGTTACATAACTCCAATGTCCACGACAACGTAGTGTGTGTTAATTTGTGATAGTATGCCATCCGCAGGTCTACTACCAACTTCCGCCTGAAAATCACTGAAATGTTTCTCTTGACAGAAAATTGCAGCCGCTTCTGGCTCCAAAGCATCATCAGTTGATCAGGATTCTCTGGTGATCCCACACCAGCCTTTGAAAAAAGACAGACTTTTTAATTTAGATAGCAAACCTAAATACAAACCTGAAAGATGTAGTAAAGCCGATGAAAATAAACATGCCCTATTAAATGTTATGACCATGTTTGCCATGAGATTGGCTCGCCTAAATACACATGTAAAGTTGTGAGCACGCCCAGATTTCAAGATTTGGGGGCATTTATTTCAAACTGGATAAGATATGATAAGCTGCTTCTCTCATAAACTGCTTTGCACTTGGAGTCCATATTGCCGGAACAGTTAGAACCCATTGGACATCGTCTGGACTGAAATGATCATCTCCTGTCTGCTGACTGCTGTCAAGACTCTAGAAGAGAATGAACCCAGTGTTTAAAGGGAAAAAAGGCCGCCATATTTTTTTGCAATCACCTTAGCAAAGAAGCGATTCTAAGAAACTTCAGATGAACCAAATATTTAAGGATGACGAAGATAAATGCGTATGATACGATTAAAGATGACGGAATTGAAATTTTATACCCATGCTTTCGCCATGACAAAGTCCTTCAAGATCAGCAATTGTACGGTTGAACCTGACAGCTATGGTGGACTTATAGTCTATCTATCTATCAGGGCTAAGGTCGAGCCAGCGCTTCTTACGTTGGCATTAAGTAAGCATCTTGTAAACGTCTTTGTGGAAATCAACGAGATCAAACGATATGTTCAATACTTTGTTCAATACTAAATTAAAAAAAGAAAAAAAGAAAAAGAAAATTCTTTCAAGCAACTCCTTTCGGGCTTTTGTGTGCTCTCTTTTTCGTTCTAGAACGTGAAAAGTATCACTGAGATACTACAGGCACCCTGGTTTGTCAAAAACCGTTTATTGCACCGGCTAACCCATAGAATATTAAAGTCTATCAAAATGTTTCAATGGAAATAGACTGGCATCCAACTCGCGATTCACAAACGTTCCTCGTGTTTTCCCAACATCTTGCGCGGGTAATCACGCCTTAAACCAATAGGAAGTGCGGTTTATGTCTTTAATAATTTATCTTTGAAACTAATCAGTGGGGCTCATTCTTACCTCCTCATTTTGAAGAGTCATTTTAAAATGTTTGAAAAAGAGATGATCTTTCTCTTCTCTTTCATCTTGAAGATTGCTGTACTTTTCCATCGCTTCATAACCAAATAAGTCAAATGACACATCTGATTTGAGTAGCAGGCATGTTGGGGTTTTGCTTGTTTGAGCGCCTTGTTCAATCACCCAGTCTCTGTTCATGAAGATGACGTCCTCTCCTTCATCATTGATGAATGGAAAAGCAAATCCACCGTCGGTTGTTCTGAAATCAATGGCAATGACTGTCAGATACGAACGCTTTGAAGTTTAAAGGAGTGAGCCTTCCAGCGCTGTAAGAGATTAAAACGAAAATTTTTTTTTTTTTGACGGACCGAGTTTTATGACCCGTGCGCTTGGCGCATGGGCCATAAATCGGACGGAAAACGAGGTTCCGTAACTTACAGTTCAAACCGAGAAAAACGAGACAGAACATTTTATTGGCTTCCAATAAAAACTGACGTTGAGTCGTTAAAAGCTCAAAATATTCGTTTGATACTCATAATTCTCAATAATGCAAAATTACATAAAAAGAACAGGTCAAGTATACAAAGGTTTTCAGGAAGGGACTGTGGTACAAAGTTCTGTCTGTAACTCCAGATCGTTTGTCGAGAGTTTTTCAAATGCCTGAAATTTGTAAAAAATGGCGTAGAAAGTGCGAACTAACGGCTAACTTTCTTCAATATCAACGTCAAATGAATGAATGAATTTCATGAATGCGATGGAAAACTGTACAAGGGTCTTTTCAACGACTAGCATCAAATTTTTGGTGTTTTCTGGCGTTTTCATGGAAGCTGCTGGGTGCACTCGATGCAGACCGAAAGGGCTAACTCGTCAGAGGCTTTCTTGTCATAATCTTTTTTTAAGCGAAATAATGATGAAAAATAAACTAGTGAAAGCCATTCAGCAAGTAAAATAATTCTTGGAAGTGAAAATGAACAGACAAATGAAAAGTTTAAAAATAGGTTATTATGAAAGAGATCGAGGATACTTGTTGAAATCGGCCAGGACCTCGCGAGTCCAACAGATACCGGCCTCCATTCGCATTTGAGATCATTATCCACGATGGCACTCTATCTACTTGATTTAAGATTGGACTTTCTGGCTTTCCGTGAAACCTCGGCGAAACAGTGAAGGATTTGATTTCAGGTATATTGCCATTGAGTCTGAGTACCAGCGTTCTTACCTTTGTAGGCCATTTTTGTGGCTAACCACCTGGGTAAAAGGATACCCTCTCAAGTTATCTGTTAAATGATTCTCCTCAGTATCGAAGCTAAATGTCATCAAAATTTTCTTGAGAAGAAACAATGCACAATTTCGTGCTTTTTCTCGGAAAACGGCCGAGTTATCGGTGCCAAGGACCAATTGCCTATTGGTGGGTGCAGGAAAAGGTCAAGTCGACGTAAGCTCCCACGAATTCTTGGGAAAGCACTTAAGCTAAGAGGAAGTAATATACTCCATTCTCCCTGTGATAGTGTGTATTTTCTCGGAAAACAGCCGAGTTTTCGATGCCTAAAATCAATTTCCTATTGGTGGATGTAGGAAAGGTTAAGTTGTCTTAAGTTTCCGCGAATTCTTGGAATGACATCCGAGCTAAGAGAAAATGAGTTATATATTCTTTCGTGCTGAGTATAGGATCATGAATATTATATAATTCGCATCAGCCACAACAACCTGCATGTAAGTGTTGATAAGGAGGGACTTTCATCGATAATGGTGAGTCAATGACTTTTTCTTTCCGGTTTTGTTTTAGTTCCAGTTTTTACTCCTTGTAAGCAGAAAGTTTTTACTTTTCAACTTACTCCTCCTCTTAACCGTTATTGCTATTCTTTTCAAGGATAATTTTCCACTTTAGTGTGTCCTGTGGGATTTCATAAAACATACTTGAATATCTGACTAGCAACATCAGTTATCTGCGTCATTCAGATATCAGTTAAATAATATACATAGCCCGCCCGGCCATTACGTTCTTGTGATCGATACTAATACTGTCACTGTTCGTCTTTCGATTATGAGCGGTGTACCGGCATAAAATCTGGCAGACTGGAAACTTTGGGCCAACGGTTCGAAAATCATCTCGGTGAGGGGCTGATGTAAGTGCGTAAGTGCTCCAACTGCAAAGGTTAGCTGGAAAATGAACACGAAATACAAGAACACGTACAGAAGCAACTAAAATTTTCGAGTAAAGAAGGAAGAAGACGAGCCGGGAATGGAAATCAATCTAAACTAAGTTTTAGTTCATGCGAGATTCTCTATTCCAGAGCCATAATCACTATAGGATGTAAAACTAGCAGTATCTTTACCATGGATGATACAAAATCAATATAACAGATGATGTGCGTTTTTACAGGATGAAGAAACTAGTAGAATAAGTCTTAAGTCTTATAGGCTGTGAGGCTTTCATGAAATGTTGACTTAAATTTCATTATGTAGACAGCTTCATAAAAATTTAGCTGTGACGAATTACGCGAACTGAGTATGAAGGATAACTCGCCCATCCTACAATCTGCAATATGCAAGTTTAGTAAGCAGCTTTTAAATATCAAGAAGAGTAGGGAAAAAATTAAAGATCATTATTTACTAGAGAAATACCGACGTATATACCTCAAAAACCATGGAAAAAAAAATAATTGTTTTGGTAAAATGACAAATTTACAGGTAGTTTGGAGGGACCGGTGTTGCCACCGGTAAACCCATACATCAATTTCTAAAGTCATTCTCTGACACAAATTTCTGCAATTGTTTACCACTGTTGAACAATTGAAAAATGCCTAAATCTACTAACTGCTGGCCAGAAAGTCTAGATGAACCGTGGATTGTCGGTTGCTAGTACGATTAACAGCCGTGACCTTTATCTCAGTTCCACCAAAGAGCAAATGGATCTCAATATCTTTCGTTTTCCATGCCTCTGGTGTTTCAATCACTAATCCACGACCGGGGGCCTTGCGCACCTCAGGATCTGTAACAAACTCCACATCTGGACATTCTGATTGGTAGAAATCGAGCTTCACTTGTTTCTCTTCGCCTGTCAAGGGTGCAAAACCAGTGAATTGACGTTTTTCTCCAACTTTAACGACTTCATCGACTTTAACAAACTTAAAAAACACATCTTTACAGCGTGGGATTCCAGCTATTATTTCCTTTTTCGATTCAGGATGTAACCCGTCTAGGAAGAGCCTATGTACACGGATGCCATAGGTGGTAGCCATTATTCTGGACTCGAAAGTGTTAGGTTTCTGTCCAAACATCACAGCACCTTGGACAACTGCAAGGGATGCGCAGTGCGGTATTAAAATGCGATAGGCGTGGCCAAAATGCCCCTTGATTCTTTCCTGTAAAACAGCTGAGTCAGAAAAACCGCCTACGAGGAATGCAAACTTGACCTCAGACAATTCTGGTTTGGCGAGAAGGTTGGATAAGTGGGAAATGATGTCATCCAAGACTGGGTTGAACAGCTGCCTCATGACTTTTGGTTCAAGGCAGAGGTACTCGTTACGAAGGACTTTTATTTCATCCAGGTTGTAATGCTGCCGAATGGCTGTGTTAATATCGCAACCTCTCTGGTTGAGAAATTTACTTAAGAAACTACCAGGCAACCGGATTCGTGTTGTCCCCCCTTCACAGATACGTTTTCCGCGTTTCTTTACTTCGAAATCATTCATGAGACAGAGCCAATCCACCGGATTGTGACAGGCATAATTATCAAGGAAGGATTTGGTGAAAATTTGTTCAAGAAGGATCCTGAACTGTCTGTTGACATTCTGTCCTCCAAACGTACCTCCTGTGGCTTTATAAAGCTCTCGGATTGCACCGTTTTCCATAAGTTCATGAACAGTCACATCAAGAGTTCCGCCTACATGAATACAAGAGTCAAGATATTTTAGAATAACGTTCTGGCTCCGTTTGTTTGAAAGTTGGATAACGCCATCCACTGGATAAAACTCTATACGGTGGATAACGCGATACGTTTTGCTACCACTTATCCACTGGATAGCAATTTATCCGTTTAATAGCATTATCCGACCCTTATATAACTGGACCCTGCAACTTTGTTATAACAGAAAACATTTTATGAAAATGATAGAAAATTGATCACTTAAAAAATGAGGTGTCTAGCTTTACATGTGTTGACTATTTCTGTCTCGAGATTTATACTTTCTGTTTACTCTGCTGATCATCACGGTAAATCGAAAAAATTAAAAAACTAACAGATATGAAATAAAGCATTAAACCGCACAAGGTCGATGTCTTTGTTCAAGTCATGAGTTTCGAGTGGAAAATTTGCTACTAGAAAAATTGAATTTACCTCCAATGTCAATTACCATGTACTGTGATTCTGGTCGGGCGATGGTGTCCTCAACCAAGTCATCGTTGCTACCACTCTCAGCAACAAACTCTCTCACCTTTTGCTCTCTACAGTAGACGGAGGCCGCCTCTGGCTCCAAAGCGATCAGTATCTGCTCTGGGTTGGAGGGATGTGCCAGCCCTGCCTGAGATAAAAGTAAAAATACTGGATGTCAGTATAGTCAATGAAGATGATGTTACAAAGACTTATTGCAGAAAATGGATGTAGGAAAGAAGTATTTTCGCCCACTTTTTCCTTGTTGCGCTTTTGCGATTTCGTAGAGCGAGCCCTAACCAAGCATACTGGTTCAGTAATGTTTCACCATTTTGTTCTCGTATGGTGCAAGAATTTGCATTCTTCAAAGCAACAGCTTTACCCTTCTTTGCGCTGGCAATTTGAAAGTTAGTCAATAATACTGATCATTACACGAATTTGCTGATGTTTGAAATGTGTATATAATGACAGCTCACTTGATAAGCAGCCTCTCTCATGAATTGTTTTGCCGCTGGTTTCCATATTGCTGGGACGGTCAAGACCCATTGCACATCATTTCCTCCGAAGTCTTCGTCACCAGTTCTCTCCTTAATCACCTCTAGTGCCCGTGTGTAAAGATATTTTATGGAATATTTAAAAACATCCAAGGCCCTCATGTGCTTGCCATTCGCTGCCTCTACAGTGGTGTTCATATTTAAGCTCTGTAAGGACAAAAACCACGTTTGTTTCAAAAGTTTATTAGTTTTATGTTTGCAGTAAGTTTCTGCGCTCTCATTCTGTTCGGAATTAATAACCTAAACAATATTAGAAGTATCTGTTTATTAACATTTCTGAAAAAAGTACAAAACTTGAAAAGCACCAAATTTTGAGGAAAACCAAATAACCTTTAAATTGACCTAAGCTTTGATATAATAGCTTGGCTTTACCCTGATCTCCTTCAAAGTTAATAAACAAATTGCCAACATTTATCAGAATAACACAGCTTCTTTCTTCCATACCAAAATCGACTAATGTTTATTAACATAAAATCCGTTAAAGATTTTCCAATATTTCTTCTAAATAAGGAAGTTTCATGTATTTGGAAAAAAAAAAAAAAAAAAAAGAATTTTTCTCTCACCTCATTGTTATGAAGAATCATTTTAAAGCAATCAAAGTAAAAATATTGTCGAGCCTCCTCTTCCTCCAAATCAGCAAATTTATCTTTGGCCTCATAGCCAAACGAATTGAAGCTCTGGTCTGGATTAAGCAACAAACATGTAGGTGTCTTCATAGTGGAGTAGCCTTGGTCACTTCCCCATTCTTTATTCATGTGGATACTTTTTTCTCCCTCTTTGTTATTGAACGCAAATGCAAACCCACTAAACGTTGTGCCAAAGTCAATTGCTACCACAGCGATGAATGTAACAGGAGAGGAGAGGAAAAGTTCACCTCCCTCTTGATCGTCTGTTGAACAATAATAATATTCAACAACTAAATAATTAAATGAGCACATGCTTCAGAAAGAAATGTCAAATAGATGAGAGAGGCAGGTGATGACATAAAACTTCAGTTTGACTGAAAGGAATGCAAAGTAATGAAACGTGGTTTCAGTAAATGTATTGGCAGTTAGTTGAAAAGCAATGTTTTATTCAGCAGTTGATTTGAAGTTATCCGAATCGTAGAAAGCTTCAAACGCTTGAAATATGTCATCATCGCCAAGCTGAAATTTGCAGAAGAAATCCGAGAAAGCGGAAGAGTCGTCGACTTCTTGATATCATAGTTTTAGAGGATGCCAAGTTTGAAGAAAATCACGAGTTAAAGTTCACTGTTGTGTTTAATCATAAACGAGACGAATCACTGAGGTCTTATTTTGGCCTTCAAAAAATATGTTATGGTCCATTTAATACTAGGAATGTTTGTTTGAGCGACTTTCGATTCTGTTTTCGATTTCATGAGCTCATGTAGCGGTCGGTCGTAATAAGATTGGTTAGTCATCGCCAACTCACCTTCCGAGGTTCTCTGCATCTTGAAGACAGTTCTTGTTCATCGAACATGAAGATTTGTAGTCGAAACCACTCGGCGGTGAATTAATCGCCTTCTAGGAAACTAGGTCATTATGATGTCTTACAGGGGATTTTGTCTCTTTCTTGGAAAGATTACGTCATAATTATAATGGCCTCAAAGATGTCGATTTCTTTGATTAGAGACATCAGACGCCGTTGAAATCAAAACTGTGAGGGGGACTGTAGTATATGAATTATGGCTTTAGCGTATCTTCGATTAGTTTTTCGTCTGTTTTAAGCTTTCGACGTGTTGTATGTTATGCTCTGCTTAAAACTCATTTCTCAAAATTGCAAAGTCAATATAAATAAATAAATAAATAACATGACACTTCCGGTTTTTCTCAGAAATCTTGTAACATCCCGGCGGTTTGTGTCATTTTCAAGTTCTCACTGAGACACGAGAACGAGGCAAAGTGCAAATTAAGAGTCATGGCATTTCAGCATCGGATCTCTCAACCGTGAGAATTCGGAAATGACCTACCGATTTGGGTTATCAAACCTCTGTACAAGAACTCGATATTTCAAATCGTTGCTCTTTATTCACTGTATTGTGGCGATGACAGATATACATTCCGCCACTACCGAATCACAAGCAACGATCGACGACGCTCGAGCTCGTTCAAGGAGGTCGTTCATCGCTATTTTGAAAGTTAATCGCGATGTGTTCTCCAATTTGCCGGAAAGGATTGAACAGTGGCTTGAGAAGGAAACAAGTGCTACAAATCAGCCCGAAACGACCGAACACAGATTCGTAAGACCACATTGACGAATGAATCGAACATTAGAATATACCGTGCGCATATCTTGCCTCAATTGTTCACACATCTTAAAGTTCAAATGTCACATAGTTAAATACATAAGGTTTGGTGTTGACGAGACAACTTCATCATCAGATTTTTTCTTGTTAAGCAGGAGAGGTGAATCAGACATAGCACGATCAGACATGGAAAAGCGATTGGAATGTTTTCAAGCAGAAATAAAGGCGAATACTCAAAGGCAAGTCGGGCTTTGATACATATGTCCCTGGTACACTGACGGGGGTAGGGTCAGGCATATGTGTTTAGGGAGAAACTGAAGATACTCAAAAGCCACTGACCATGAGTAAATATCTAGAATTTTCTTGAAGGATCCTTTTAATGAACCTTTTTAAAAATTATATCGAAAAGTTCTGCTGTGCTTTGCTTTCTGCGAAAAATTGAAAAGAGTGTATACGACAACGCAATACATTCCCTAAAGATCATTTCAGTAATTACTAGATTTGACGAAACGATATAACGTAATCCGGACAAGAGTCGTTTGCGGTTAGTTAAGTCTCATGTACCTGTCGGTGGAATCTCGATATTTATAGTCAGTGTATTGTCAGTGCTCTTAAAACATGATTCAGTCTGGCATTGATGATTTAATCGCTCTGCTGTCTCCGGAAAGAACTGAATACATTTTGGTGTACATCATCCGTTACGGACGATTTCACGGGCGAATTCGATACGATAAACGGTAGGAAAACGTTAACCTTTTATCTGATGTATTTTCCCCACCGATAATTCGAGATAAGAGATTCGGCCATGTTCGAAATTAATTCGAAAAGGTCAATTTCTATCCTGTAACGCAACAATAACTACATGAAAATATCACGCGAAATTGTCACGACTCAGTTCCGAACTGAACGTTACTATAAACCTCAGTGGGGTTTGTAATTGGTGACTTCTATATAGGCTAATTCGATTGACACTCCTCCCCAATTCATGGGAGCAAGTGGTTTTATTGCTAAAGATCCTTACAAATTGGAATTAACAAAGGGAAGCCGCGATGGACATAGCAGAAATGATTAAGGCTTAGAAAAGCCAAAGTTTTGAAACTGTTGGTTACTTGGTTTTTCCAGTCCACATTTTCTTCTCAGTAAGATAAGCCAACTGTTTTTTCACAGGATGTGGACCGAGATCATGTTGCACTAAATGAATGGCATTGTGAACTTCATCCCTGACGTAATAAAAATTACATTATGTCGCGATCATTTACTTGTAGTAACTACTCTTCGATTGCCTTGCGACCAACCAAGGAGTAGGTACTGATAGGTTCAGTCAACGGAAACAGCAATAAGTTCCGGTAGTGTGGGCCTCTTGGCTCGAGTTTCTAACCTTACTTATTACCATCGATGTAGATGATAGTAACAATAATGGACGAATACTATATCAGTATTACCATCATTATCATTACCGTGATTATAGTGTTCAATATGTTAATTTATCCTATTTTTTTAATCATAATATAAAAATTTTAGATGTGTTAGTGTCCTTTACAGTTTAGTGACCCTGGGCCAAACTGTCAGAGAGATGACTGACGCACCTGAGGCCATGAAAAGCGAGCACAGCTCAATGGTGTTTAGCAGCGAAAGCTTTACCCGTTTTTGCATTTCGTATATTTTTATTGTGATTATTAAAACTCTTAGGACTGCAAATTACATTGTAGGTTTTCTAGCATGTACATACTTCCGTAAACATACATACATGTATATGTATGTATATATATATACATACATACATAAATACATACAAACGAAGCTGAGATCTAAATTGACCCTTTAGCTCCAATAGACAAGCGAATGCGACTAAAAATTGAAGGAGACTTCACAGCAAAATAAGTAGATGTAAAATATTTGACAAGATGATGATAAGGAATGTCACGAGACTGCTGAGGTCAGCATTTTTTGTCCTATTCTAATAGAAATATCAAGTAGGTAGCTAGCTTATTATTATTACCACAGTAAATTGATCTTATTTGCATCTGAAATCCCGATATTTTTTAAGCTTTTTGGAGCAGACTCGAATTGATAACGAAGCAAATGTTCAGAGAGGTGTATCTTTGTTAAAATGTTAATAAGACACAAAAATAAAATAGATTGAAAACGAAAGGAATTACAATCTGCTTAAAACAAAAGACTTTTTAATTTGCAAAGCATGTTGCGATATTATGAATGCCATCTTCATTTGTAAGAGGGTCTCATTGAGACAGGGTAGTTTTGATAGTTGACGGTTATTTTTTCTTACTTTGACGGCTGACAGCTAATTGGATTGTTACGTTAGTATCTCACGCACTTTTAGAACTCTCTTTCATTCGATTTTTACATAAGTATTTCGTGAATTTTTTAGGATTCTTTTTCATTTAATTGATACGTTAGTATCTTGCCAGCTCTTACGGTCCTCTTTCATTGGATCATCCACCAACTGCTTTGCTGATTGAAACCGACTTGATGGAGTCACAGGTGTTGTGGGAGATCCTGCAGAAGTCGGCAGCGGTTGAGAATCAGGACATGAAAGTGGAGTCTGTGATGGGTAACTATCTGTGTCTGGGGTTGGCGTTTGAGGAAGGTTAACATTAGGAGAAGCCGAAGGTGGAAGTAAGGTCAGCCGTAAAAAAGGAATTTTCTTAGTTCCTTGGTCTTCTTTTCCGCTCCAGGGTATCTGATGACTAGCATCACAAACGAGGCATAGCTGATATATTCCCTAATCCGCTTGTTCTTGTTGAATACAAAAATATCATAGATTTATAAGATTATGGAAAACAATGAGGAAACTTATTTTTACATTACACAGGACTGAAAATTATGGAGATATACTTACTGGTCAAAATAACTGGCCAAATAAATTTCAGCTTCATAATTCTCAAACAAATACATGTATGTATGCCGGAGGTTATAGCTAAAATTTGGAAATAAATGAGTTTAACTTTAAAAACTGTTCAGCCCAACACTGTTTCAAAAATATCATTTTCCATATTTATAACTCAGTTTATTTAATGCATATTTACTCACCATTTTCAACAAAGAACTTAAATTTAAATAAATTTAAAGCCATGATTCTTGACCTGATTTTCAAGCCCCAGGTAGTTGATAACAGCTTGAATGTTGAATAAGATATTGTCACCAAGTTTGTAAACTTTTAAGGAGACTGGCCAGCCAAAGCCATTGCTGGTATCATATTGTTCCTCCTCCATTCTTCTAGATAAAAAGATAAAGGTCCATTAAGTACACCAAATTATAAACCATCAGTGTCTGGGATAAAAGTAACTTGGCATGCTAGAATTTTCTTTTAACTCAACATGTATGCACTGATTATCAAAAAGCAATCAATTTAATCAATTAAATTGTTATCAATAAAAATCAGTGGTCACAAATCTTTCAATTTTTAACTTTCGTCGCAGATTGTGAAACATGTCCGTACCCAGGATTATTTTCGCCACAAGCACAGAAATTATAAGCTTAAATTAGAATACAGAACAGTATGAATAGTTTCAAAAAGTGTCCTATAACTTCCTTTTCCAAACTGGTGTAAAAGAAAAAGACCCTGTTGACAGCGTGTTTTTCGTGTTTCGTTTTTCGTGTTTTTAAAGCCCGAGGGTAAGCCCCTCTCAGGGGTTTTAGGGAACAAGGGAACATGGCCATTTAACTTTTTGGTAACATAGGAACAAAGGGAAAATAAAACTGGGAACACGGGAACAAAAGCGTTATTTGGGGAACAGGGAAAACCAAAATCAACGAAATACTTTCAGGGAACACTGCATGGAACACAAGGGAAATTTTGTTGGGAACAAGGAAACATGGAACCCCATGATTCTGTTTATGTATTTGCACGCACTATTTTATTTCGTCTACAAGTCAAAACATTGAAATGTCTTTACGTGGACGTTTTTCCCTGTTGATGTTAAATGAGAGCATTTGCTCAGAAACTGAATAACTTATATCTTAAGTAATCGAAGCTTGTTTTAGAGTTTGGATGGTCAAACTAAAGAAATAGTAAAGATTGTCTTTGCTTAACCATCCTTAATTCAACATCCATCTGAAAGGCAAAAGCTTTCCTGGCAGTTGTTCTTGAGTAAGTGATTGAATATTGAGTTATTGAGTTCAAATTTAAACTACGGTATATCTTCTACTTTTGTAAGTAATTTTAATTCTGGTATCGTGAGTAACGCTAAGTTTTGCTGACTGTAAGTAATTTTTTATAACAAAAAAAATTTCCTTCAAAATTTTAATGAAAAAATAACACACTTTCACAATCAAAAATATTGGTCTAGTAGCTTCAGATTACCGTGTAACTGGTTTGGTTGGCAAATCATGCACGCTTAGCAAGTAATCAATTAAAATATGTGTAAAAAACTTTTTTAAAACGTTGCACCTATGCTGACTGGGCACTTGCCTTCTTTCCCTCTTGCTTCTTCCCGCTTTTTTCATCAAAAGTTTTTAAATGTTGTTTAATTCTGTCCGCAACAGGGTTAAACAATTTCTTTCTCATTCCTGAACTTAGGCAAAAATACTCTATATTTTTCAGTTTCACGTCCTAGTTCCATAGCTTTCCATCACCGAATTTTGAGTTTCATTTAACATGGATACAAAGCTTCTTGGTAAGCGGATGTTTGTCATCAAACTGTCGTCTAAAATGCGCTTCCCACGTTTTTCCCTTCAAACTCGTTCATTAACGAGTCAATCAGATGGATGTTGCTTTTTGAACTTTTGAATTCTTTTTATACCAAACAACTCTTCCAAAAGAGTTTCAAACTGCTGGTTGACATGCATTCCACCATAAGGTCCCCATGTGACCCTGTGGATCTCTTTAATGTTACCATCATCTCGTATTTCGTGCACTGTCACATCTAGCAGTCAGTTGATATATACTAACTTTATATCCTACCCAGGCTAATCTTTTTCAATTTAGACTAATTAATCTACATCGCAAATGTATAATTGACTTCACGAGACAGCTAATAACTTTCTTGGTGATTCTTAGTAAGTTTACTGTAAGGATGTATACCCTTAAAACGAGAGTTGTATTAAAAGAGGAGGTTAGTTCCAACCACGATGATGATGATGATAATAATAATTATAATGACAGTGATGATTATAGCAATAACGATACCAAAAATATAGTGATAATGACACTGTAATAAAATATGTGCCTATTGTTCATGTAAGATAGGAGATGAACTTTGTTCGTTTGTCTCACGATAGTCTCTTCTGATGTAGATCGCGACGTTTCGACCGCAATACTGTTAGTCTTCATCAGGCGATGAGGTTTGTTTACGTGTCGCTATTTGTAGCACATTGTTACGCTGGTATTGGTGCATTTCGATCCTCATTATTATTCCGGTCGTTAAATGGTATTCCCTCTTAAGTCCTCATAAATCGGCTGTTGTGTTGTTTGGGGAGTTTGTTCCAAGTTAGTAAACCAGCTTTCTAGGGTCAGCCGTTGAAAGTAGTTGGTGCTGTAACTGAAGATGGTATAGTTACTGTGGTCGTAGGAGTTCCGTTGTCGTTAACTTCGGTAGAAGTAGTGGGTCGGTGAGTGTTACGTTGGATGAAGTCTTCGTTGCAGTTGTTCTTTGAAAGCCTTATAGCCTCATAGCTGTACCGTGTAACTGTTTGTCGTGTTTACCGTTGTACTGAAAGTAAGTTGATGCCAAGCAAAGTTTTAGTAAGTCCATAACGTCCTCTGTCGGTAGATTATTGGATAGCAGTCTCGGTACATTGTAGTGCCAGTTGAAGTGGAATACTTGTAAAAAGCGATTTCACATCAAATGACACTAGTTTGTAGTCGTCAGGTATCTGTACAGTCTTATTGGCTTTAATGAAGTCCTTGGTGGATTGTGGTTTTCGTCTGGATTTGTCGGTGAGCGGTTGTAGTATTGTCGTCAGGTACTTGGACAGTTGGTATGTCGAAGGACCACGGTATTGCAGTCGAAACGTCGCGATCTACATCATAAGTGACTCTGTTGTGAGACAAACGAACAAAGTTCATCTCCTATAATGACACTAATGCGATCGCTAACAACAATAATGATAATGGTTAACATAGCTAAAATCAATGATTAAAAAAAAATAACCTAAAAGAACAAAGCCCAAAAAAACATAGTATAATTACTTCGGTGATTAAAGAGATGCGCGCGCTCTGATTGGTCGAGTATTGCGTCATATCTCGCAAGAATCACTCGCGCGAGGTTAATATAGTAGAGGTACAAAAAAATTTAAATGGCTGCCTCGCGTTTTACAGTGTTACGCAGAAAATGATAAACGCGGTGAAAGAAAATACAATTCTGAAGAGCACAAAAGATGCTAATAAGTTTGGCTTAACACTTTTCAAAACAAATGTAGGAAATTTTTGCTGATTGAATCAAATAAACCTGTTAAATTCTAGCGGAAACTAGCCTCTTATCTTGATACGAGTAACCAAAACAATTGTAACAGAATGATTTTAGCATCAAAACGAATTTACCATAAAATTCGAAAACACCTGAGCAATTATACTAAAGCCATTAAGCTCAGTGAATATTGTAGAATATTCCTCTCGAAGTCGTTTGGGGGATTATTTAACATAATATTCACACAAGCCTTTGAAAAAGAAAGACTTTTTAATCTAGTTAGCATACCTAAAAAAAAAAACCTGAAAGATGTTGTAAAATCGATAACAATAGGCATGCACTATTAAATGTTATGATCACGTTTTCCAGAAGATTGGCACATCTAAACAGACTTCATGTTATGCTGTGGGCTATAAATAATATAAAACGGAGGAATTATTTCTCGATGAGAAGAACTTGTGACTGAAAACAGGAAAATTATGTAGCACGCCCAGATTTCAAGAGTTTAAGGCTTTAATTTCGAACTGGATAAGATATGGTCTTCTAACATTACCTGATAAGCTGCTTCTCTCATAAACTGCTTTGCGATTGGAGTCCATATTGCCGGAACAATTAGAACCCACAGGAAATCGTCTGGACTGAAATGATCTCCTCTTCGCTGACAAATTATTTTGATCGTTTTGTCTTTAAGAAACGTAATGCACCTTGCAACCAGTGTCTTGGCCTTAACAGGTTGTCCGTTCGCTGCTTTTATTAGAGTCGTACTGTCAAGACTCTAGGAGAGAATGAACCCAGCGTTCTCAGGAAAATATGTCGTCATACCTTTTTGCAATCACCTTAACAAAGAAGAGATTCTAAGGAACTTTAAATAAACCAAAATATTTAAGGATGACGAAGATTAACGCATATGATACGGTTAAAGATGACGGATGCTTCTTACGCTGGCATTCAATAAGCATTTTAAAAGTCTTTATGGGAATCAATGAGGTAGCACGATATGTTCGATATTTAATTTAAAAAACATGAAAAGATTTACAATACTCTTTCAGGCAACAACTTTCGGGCCGGACGGCTGGGGTAATTCTGGATCGATGTTAATTAAGACAAGGCTCTTTCTGTGTGCTCACTTTCTGTTCTTGAAGGTGAAAAGTATCACTCAGATACTACAGGCGCCCTGGTTTGTGAAAAACCGTTTATTGCAACGGCAAACCCATAGAAAGTTGAAGTCTATCATTTTCATAAAAGCAATAGAAATATACTGGCATCCGACTCGTGATTTGCAAACTTTTCTTTTCGTGCGTGGATAATTACGCCCAAAACCATTATAAAGTGCCGCCTATTTCTTTAATAATTTATCTTTGAAACTGATCAGTGAGGCGCATTCTTACTCCCTCATCGTTAAGAGTATTTTAAAATGCTTAAAGAAGAGAAAATCTTTCTCTTCTTTTTCACCTTGAATATTGCCGTACTTTTCCATCGCTTCATAACCAAATGAGTAAAATGAAAGATCTGTTTTGAGTAGCAGGCATGTTGGGGTTTTGCTCGTTTGAGCACCTTGTTCATTTGCCCAGTCTCTGTTCATGAAGATGGCGTCCTTTCCTTCGCTTTAATGAATAAAAAAGCAAATCCACTGTAGGTTATCCCGAAATCAGTGACAACAACTGCCAGATATGAACGCCTGGAAGTATATTGTTTCTTTACCTCTTACTAACCGAGTTCGAGGGCCGTACTGGAAGTTACGGACCGAGTTTTTTCAAAACGAGGTTCAGTAACTTACAGTACGAATCAGGAAAAACGAGGTTATTAATATATTTATCATGTCTCTCGGTTCAAATAGAAGAGGAATCCTACGCAAGAGAACATTTTATTGGCTTCCAATAAAAAACTGAATGAAAATAAAATATTCGTTTAACACTCATAATTCAAAATAATGCAAAATTACATAAAAAGAACAGGTCGAGTATACATATGTTTTCTACAAGGAACTGTGATATAACGTTCTGTAAGTAACTCTTTTGTCGAGAGTTTTTTTGCCCAAATGCCCGAAATTTGCAGAGCACAACGCGTTTCTTCGTAAAAAGTGCTTAAAAAGTGCAAACTAACGGCTACCCTTGTTCAATATCAACGTCAAATGGATAAATGAATTTAATCAATGCGATAGAAAACAGTACAGGGATCTTTTAAGCGACTAGTATCCAATTTTTGGTGTTTTCCGGCGTTTTGATGGAAGCTGCCTGGTGCACTCGATGCAGACTGAACAGGATTAAAGAGAGATTGAAACCGAGCGAATTTTTTTCGACGAAGAAAGAAGGATGTGGCATTGCTCGGGAGCTGAACCCTACTTTGTAGAGTTTTTGGAGGAAGACAAACGACAAATAGAGGGAGACGAGCAAGACGAAGATAACTCGGGTATGCTTTTTGAAAGCTTGAAATACTTTGTGGTTCATACTCGCCACCATTTTGCTTGCCGACTTCTTTTAAGAAATTGCCAAGGAGCTTGTCGAGAGCAGCAGGAGGTATCTTTATTGCGCTAAAATTTCCATCAGTTTGCTGTTCGAAAAACCCTTTAAAAATTTTTCCACTCGTACTTGACGACCTTTCGGCGGCGATGGAATCATCTGGTTTGGACTCGAGTTTTCTTCTCTATTTTCCGCTTGTCTTCCTTCTAGAATTCTAAGTATCGAACTCGAAACTTTGGGATATCTGCTTCTGGGTTTTGCTCTTTTCCCTCGTTTGCGTACTTTTCCTTAAATCTGTTCAAAATTTTTCTTAAAGAGACAATTTGGCGATCAAATAAAATTTTTGAATTCATCGGGCCATACAATAAAATACGGCCTGCTGAATGGGCCAATCGTAGCGCACGCACGTTAGCTTCCGCGAATACTTGGAATAACATCGAGCTAAGAGAAAATCACTGATATATTCTATTCTCCCGACTCAATATAATCTTTTGTGATGAGTATTATAGGATCATGAATATTATTTAATTCACATCAGCCACAACAACCTGCATGAAAGTGTTGATAAGAAGGGAATTTCATCGATAGTGATAAGTCAATGACTTTTTTCTTCCCGGTTTTGTTTAAGTTCAGTTTTACTCCTGGAAAACAGAAAGTTTTTACTTCACAACTTACTCCTCCTATTAACCTTTATTGCTATTCTTCTCAAGAATACTTTTCCATCAATATGTCATGTGGAATTTCATGAAACATACTTGATTATCTGGTAATTTAGTGTTAACAACTGAGTTGAAAACGTAAATTAGCCACCGTAAAGGGTAGAAAAGCTGACATTTCGAACGTTAGCACTTCGTCAGAGCGATTGGATTGACGAATAATCGCTCTGACGAAGGGCTAACGCTCGAAACGTCAGCTTTTTTACCCTTTAGGGTGGCTAATTTACGTTTTCAACTCAGTTGTTAACACTAAATTACCTACTATACTCTCCCTCCGACGCAGCACCACAGTTTCTTTAGAAACTTATCCCTTTATACTTGAATATCTGACCAGGAAGATCAGTTATCTGCGATAGTCAGATATCATTTAAATAATCTACACAGCCCGCCCAGCTAGTACATTGCGTTACTTGTGATCGATGCTAATACTGTAACTGTTCGTGTTTCGATTATGAGCGGTACACTGGCATAAAATCTGGTAGACTGGAAACTTTGGGCCAGCGGTTCGAAAATCATCATGGTGAGGGAATGATGTAAGTGCTCCAACGGCAAAGGTTAGCTGCAAAATGAACACGAAATACAAGTACACGTACAGAAGCAACTGAAATTCTCGAGTAAAGAAGGAAGAAGGCGAGCCGGGAATTGAAATCAATGTAAACTAATTTTTAGTTCATGCGACATTCTCTATTCCAAAACCATAATCACTTTAGTGTCACAAGGATATTAAACTAAAAGTATTTTTACCATGGGTGATAAGCGAAGTACAAAATGAATATAATAGATAATGAGCGTTTCTACAGAATGAAGAAACTAGTAGAATAGGTCTTATTGTTAGAGGCTTTGAGGCTTTATTAAATGTCGACTTAAAGTTTGTTATGTGGAAAGCTTCAGCACCTTGAACAACTGCAAGGGATGCGCAGTGCGGTATTAAAATGCGACAAGCTTGGCCAAAATGCCCCTTGATTCTTTCCTGCAAAACAGCTGAGTCAGAAAAACCGCCTACGAGAAATGCAAACTTGACCTCAGATAACTCTGGTTTGGCGAGAAGGTTGGATAGGTGGGAAATGATGTCATCCAAGACTGGGTTGAACAGCTGCCTCATGACTTTTATTTCATCAAGACTGTAATGCTGCTGAATGGCTGTGCTAATATGGCAACCTCTCTGGCTGAGAAATTTACTTAAGAAACTAGCAGGCAACCGGATCGTTGTCGTCCCCCCATCACAGGTACGTTTTCCGCGTTTCTTTACCTCAAATCGTTTATGAGACAGAGCCAATCCACCGGATCGTGATGGGCATAATTATCAAGGAAGGATTTGGTGAAAATTTGTTCAAGAAGGATCCTGAACTGTCTGTTGACATTCTGTCTTCCAAATGGACCTCTTGTGGCTTTGTAAAGCTCTCGGATTGTACCGTTTTCCACAAGTTCACGAACAGTCACATCAAGAGTTCCGCATACATGAATAAAAGAGTCAAAAGATTTTAAAATAGCATTCTTCACATTTATAATAACAGGAAACATTTTATGAAAATGATGGAAAATTGATCACTTAAAAAATGAGGTGTCTAGCTTTAAATGTGATGACTATTTCTGTCTCTAGATTTATACTTTCTGTTTACTCTGCTGATCATCATGGCAAATAGACAAACTTAAAAAACTAACACAAATAAAATAAAGCTTTTAACCGGACAAGGTCGATGTCTTTGCTCAAGTCAAAAGTTTCAAGTAGAAAAATTTGCTAGTAGGAAAATTGAATTTACCTACAATGTCAATTACCACATACTGTGTTTCTGGTCGGGCGATGGTGTCCTCGACTGAGGCATCGTTGCTACCACTCTCAGCAAAAAATTCTCTCAACTTTTATCAGAATAACACAGCTTCTTTCTTCCATACCAGAATCGACAAATGTTTTTTAACATAAAATCCTTACCAATATTTCTCCTAAATAAGGAAGTTTCGTATGTTTGAAAAACAAAATGAGTTTTTCTCTCACCTCATTGTTATGAAGAATCATTTTAAAGCTTTCAAAGTAAAAATATTGTCGAGCTTCCTCTTCCTCCAAATCAGCAAATTTATCTTTGGCTTCATAGCCGAACGAATTGAAACTCTGGTCTGGATTGAGTAACAAACACGTAGGTGTCTTCATAGTGGAGTAACCTTGGTCAGTTCCCCGTTCTTTACTCATGTGGATACTTTTTTCTCCCTCTTTGTTATTGAACGCAAATGCAAACCTACTAAACGTTGTGCCAAAGTCAATTGCTACCACAGCGATGAATGTAACAGGAGCGGAGAGGAAAAGCTCACCTCCCTCTTGATCATCTGTTGAACGATAATTATAGTCAACAACTAAATAATTAAATAAGCACATGTTCCAGAAAGACACGTCAAATAGATGATAGAGGCAGAAGATGACATAAAACTTTGACTGAAAGGAATGCAAAATAATGAAACGTGGTTTCTGTACATGTATTTGCAATTAATAGATAAGCAGAATTGTATTCAGCAGTTGATTTGAAGTCATCCGAATCGAAGAAAGCTTCAAACGCTTGAAATATGTCATGATCGCAAAGCTAAAATGTGCAGAAGAATTCCGCGAATGCCGAGAAGTCGTCGACTTCTTAATATCATCGTTTTCGGAGAATGCCGAGTGAGTTTGAAGAAAATCGAACTCCATTTTTATATTTAGTCATAAATGAAACGAATCAATGAGGTCTTGTTTTCGCCTTTATTTATACTAAGGATGTTTACTTGAGCGACTTTCAATTCTGTTTTCGATTTCATGAACTTATGTCGTGGTCGGTCGCAATAATATTGGTTATTCATCGTCAACTCACCTTCTGAAGTTCTTTGCATCTTGAAGAGAGCTCTTGTTCATCGAACATGAAGATTTGAAGTGGAAACCACACTGCAGTGAAATAATCGCCTTCTAGGAAACTAGGTCATTATTATGTTTTACATGGGATTTTGTCCCTTTCTTGGATCGATTACGTCATAATTAGAACGGCCTCAAAGATGACGATTTCTTTCAATAAGCGAGATCAGACGCTGTTGAAATCAATTTGGAGGACTGTGGTATATGAATTATGGTGTATATTCGATTGGATTTTCGTCTGTTTTAAGCTTTTGACAAGTTGTATGTTATGCTCAGCTTAAAAATCGTTTGTCAAAATTTTAAAATAAAAATAAATGAACAAATAAATAGCAATAAGTACATGACACTTCCGCTTTTTCTCAGAAATCTTGTAACATCCTCCGAGCGGTGGACCATTTTCAAGTTCTCACTGAGGCACGAGAACGAGGCAAAGTGCGAATTAAGAGTCATGGTATTTCAGCATCGGATCTCTCAACCGTGAAAAATGGTCTATCGATTTAGGTTATCAACCCTTTACATGTGCAAGAACTCGATATTTTAAATCATTGCTCTTTATTCGCTGTATTGTGACAATGACAGATACACAATCCCCAACTACCGAATCACAAACGACGATCGACGACGCTCGAGCTCGTTCAAGAAGGTCGTTCATCGCAGTGTTAAAAGCTAACCGCGATGTCTTCTCCAATTTACCGGAAAAGATTGAGCAGTGGTTTGAGAAGGAAACAAGGGCTACAAATCAGCCCGAAGCGACCGAACACGGGTACGTTAGACAACATTGACGAATGAATCGAACATTAGAATATACCGTGCAGATATCTTGCCTTAAATTTTCACATATCTCCAAGTTTAATGTCACATATTTAAATCTAATACATAGTTAAGTGTCTGGTGTTAACGAGACAACTTCATCAGCAGATTTTTTCTCGTTAAGCAGAAGAGATGAGTCAGACGGATTAGCACGATCAGACACGAAAAAGCAACTGGAATGTTTTCAAGCAGAAATAAACGCGAATACTCAAAGGTAAGTCGGGCTTTTCACTTGTACACTGTTATGTGCGAGCTTCCATATGACGGGGGTAGGGTCAGTCATAAGTGTTTAGGGAGAAACTAAAGATACTCAAGAGCCACTGACCATGAGCAAATATCTAGAATTTTCCTAAAGGACCCTTTTAATGAACCTTTTTCAAAATTATATCGAAAAGTTCAATTGAGCTTTGCATGCTGAAAAATCGAGAAGAATATACATCACAACGCAATACATTCCCTAAAGATCATTTCAATAATTTACTAGATCTGACGTACCGACATAACGTAATCCGGGCAAGAGTCGTTTGCGGTTAATTAAGTGATAATTCAATGAATCACACAAAACTTGACGCGCATTCGTATTCATAGCAAACCTCACATGTACCTATCGGTGGAATCTTGATATTTATAGTCAGTGCTTTGTCAGTGCTCTTCAAACGTGATTCGGTCTGGCATCAACGATTTAATCGATCTGCTGTCTCCGGAAAAAAAAATACATTTTGGGGTTAACCATCTGTTAAGGACGATTTCACGGGCGAATTCGATACGATAAACGGTAGGCAAACGTTAACCTTTTATCTGATGTATTTGCGACATCGTAACGATAATTCGAGATTAGAGATTCAGCCGTGTTGGTAATTAATTCAAAAAGGTCGATCGCGATCCTGTAACGCAACAATAGCTTCACGAAAATATCATGCGTAATTGTCACGATAAAGTTCCGAGCTGAACATTACTATGGACATTAGTAGGGTTTGTAATTGGTGTAATTGACTAATTCGATTAACGCTCCTCCCCAATTCTTGGGAGAGTGTGGTTTTAGTCCAGAGGATCCTTTCAAATTGGAATTCACAAAGGGAAGCCGCGATGGACCTAGCAGAAACAATTAAGGACTAGAAAAGACAAAGTTTTGAAACTAGTAGTTACTTGGTTTTTCCCGTCCACATTTTTTCCTCAATAAGATAAGCTAACTGTTTTTTCACAGGTTGTGAACCGAGATCACGTTACAATAAATGAATGGCATTATGAACATCATCCCTGACGTAATAAAAACCAAAATTACGTTATGTCGCGATCATTTACTTGTAGTAAGTATTCTTCGGTCACCCTGCGATGAACTAAGGAGTAGCTACTGATAGATTCAGTCGACGGAAAAAGCGATAAGTTCCGGTAGTGTGGGCCTCTTGGCTCGAGTTTTAACCTTACATATTGCCATTGATGTAGATGATAGTAATAATAATGGGCGAATACTATATTATTATCATCATCATTATCATTGCCATGATAATAACGTTCAATATGTTAATTTATCTTATTTTTAATCATCAAATATCAATTTTGAATAAGTGGTAGCGTTCTTTACAGTTTAGCAACCCTGGACCAAACTGTAAGAGAGATGACTGCAGCACTTGAGGCCATGAAAAGCGTACACAGCTCAATGGTGTTCAGCAGAGACAGGTTTACTCGATTTCGCATTTCGTATATTTTTATAGTGATTCTTAGAAAACTGTTAGGACTGCAAATCACATTGCAGGTTTTCTAGCATGTATATCCTTCCGTATACAAATATATATGTATAAATATATAATTTTGCTCAATAGTCAGGAAGCAGATACCGAAAGAAAGTAGTATCGTTCAACCATCGCCACAGAAAATTCTGACACTTGATTCTGGTAGAGAAAGATCTCCTGATCAACGTGTGGCAGTTCGTAGAGTTGAATTGAACAGGAAACGAAGCTGAGATCTAAATTGACCGTTTTGCTCCCAATGGACGAGCAAATGCGACTAAAAAATGATGGAAATTTCACAGCAAAGTAAATAGATATGTGAAATATGTGACAAGATGATGATGAGAAACGTCACGTGATTGCCAACGTCAGCATTTTTGTCTTATTCTAGTAGAAGTATCAAGAAGGTAGCTAACTTATTACCATTACCTCAGTAAATTGATCTTATTTGCATCTGGAATTTCAATGTCTTTTTAAGCTTGTTAGATCAGAATTGAAAACGAGGCGATACAAAATAAAGAGAGATGTATCTTTGGCAAAATGTTGATAAGACACAAACATAAAAATAGATTGAAAACGAGAGGAATTACGATCTGCATTAAAAACGGCATTGTTAAATATGAAAGGTATGTTTCGATACTACTGACGATACCATCCTAAATGGCAAAAGGGTGTCAATGAGACAGGATAGTTTTGTTAACGGTTTATCAGATTGTTACGTTAGTATCTTGTGTATTTTTAGGATTCTCTTTCATTCGATTATTACGTTAGTATATCGCTCACTTTTAGGATTCTCTTATGTTAGATTGTTAAGTTAGTATCTCGCGCACTTTTAGGATTCTTTTTCATTAGATTGTTACGTTAGTATATCGCACACTTTTAGGATTCTTTTTCATTAGATTGTTACGTTAGTATCTCATACACTTTTAGGATTCTCTCTCATTCGATTGTTACGTTAGTATCTCGCGCACATTTATGATTCTCTCATTAAATTGTTACTTTAGATTATCATATAAACTACGGTGTTATATAAGGATTTCCAGCTCAGCGAAAAAGAATTACCATATTTTTCACGTGAGATTGATATCGCAAATCAGCTGCCGACACGTCACTCGTCTTAGGCGCCACCCGGTCAGGTTGATGAAAGAAGGGCAAAGCCTTCACCATTCCGCTCAATCCTTGATTTTTTGTTGGAATTTTCTCGGATTATGGCTGCTAAAACAGTGAAATATCCGTATTGCTTATAGAAAATGACATTAAACTTTTCTAGAAGGGGAAGGAAACCAAAATACGAAGAGAAAATCCGAAAGTTACGTATTCAGTGGCTTTGCTGATGGCATTTCGCGCGGCTGAGGACGAAAATCAACAACTAAAAGATTTGCCACAAGCCGATTTTGGCGGTGTACCTGAAAGATTTCTTCTGTCAGTAAGAACCAATTCAATAACTGAGAATTTTGTTGCATGGTTACTTGTAGATATGAAACTTTGTTATGTGGGTATCTCGCGCGCTTTTACGATTCTCTTTGATTTGACTGTTACCTTAGAGTCTCGCGCACTGCAAGAAACTCCTTCATTCGTGAGTTACTTAAGTATCTCGAGTACTTCTAAGATTCTCTTTCACTGGATTGTTACGTTTGCATCTCGCACACTTCTAGGATTCTCATCCATTCAATTGGAACGTTAGTCTTTTGCTTACTTTCACTATTTCAAACATAGATCGAAGATAAAAATGTCGTGGATTTTGAGGGAATCATTAATAATCTGGCTAAAACTGCCAGTGGTGATTTTTGTTATAAAAGGTATCGAAAGCTCTCAGGACACTCGACGCGATCTAAGCGTGATCTCAGTTGTGATCTTGTCGATGGACAGAAACAATGCGTAGTGGTGTGTACAAAGACAAGTCATCAATATAGTCAGCCATCTTTTAATATTATAGTATTAAATGAAATCTCAAGCGAAAATCGGTGAAAATGAGGATAAACTGAGCATTTTTGGTATTCTGAAGACCAGTTAACCATCCTAAAGATTCTTCCAGATCTTAAGCTGTTGTTAGCAAGCGACTGAAGTATACAAATTCTTTAAACCGTTTGACGGTTAATATTGATTTGCATTTTGGACAGTTGACCGTAAAAATCTATCCTCTTTGACTACTGACGGTTAAACTCCATCGAAATCCTCTTGCGAATGTTCATGTTACAGTTTGAATTTTATTTAGCGAACGCGTTATCGCTGCTATCGAATCACGACTTAAGATTACTCCATACAGAATCGTGAACTAATTTAAAAAAATGTTAAGCAATAAGAGGAGTGCAAAGGTGGTATTTTAAAGTAATCCATATAAAACCAAAATAATATTAACTATAGTAGACTGATAATGGTAAATATACATACGAAGAGGTAGTAAAATGACTTCGAGTGAAATTAGGTGTAAACAAGTACGAGTAAATTTTTCAAAGACAACAAAATTGCACGAGCTCGTGGGGTGAGTCCAAATTGCTGTCTTGAAAAATTTACAAACGCTCAGTTGCATCAAACTGCACCCAAAATTGTGTTATTACTTATTAATAATTAACATGAAAAAATCAATACAGAAAATCAAGGCCGACGAAATTTTTTGCCTTCGTGTTATAACTTTACACTCGTGTTACATGAAGAATGCACTCGTTTTCAGCTTATCAGAAGCGCGTAATTTTTTATGTGTATCATTATTTTACTCAGTATGTAATAAAACAGGATATAGTATTGCAAAAAAGATGATTTTGACTCATTTATTCCTGCAACCGTTAGTATACTTTCCAGTGCAATTCCCGTGGTGTTGGGAGGTGGATAGCAAAAGAAATCCTTCAATGATACACTCAAAAATACCACTTCTGCCCGCCTGTGCTTCTGTTATATTTTATTCAAATTGTTCAGGACTCTGTTAGTCTTACGTCGTGATTCGTTAGTTAAGTTAAATTCAAACCGTAACGCGAGCATTTGGAACTGAAGTGGGATGAACTGAAAGCAGTCACGTGACATACCTTATCATCATCTTGTCATATGTTTCACATCTACTTACTTGACTGTGAAGTCTCCTTTAATTATTAGTCACACTCGCTTATCCATCAGGAGCTAAAAGGTCAATTTAAATCTCGGCCTCGTTTTCGTGTTGAAATCTAGAGCGCGTGACAAAAAAGCCCTCTATTTTGAAAAGCATACCACAATTCAACTCTACAAACTGCCACACGTTGATCAGGAGGTATTAGTGACATTTAGCACCAGGGTTTTCGGCGGAAACCTCGAACGGCAAACCGGTGGAGGTCACGTGATCAGGCCCTGTGGTCACGTGATCAGGCCCTGTGGTCACGTTCGGAGTTCTCAACGCGCGAATGTTATGTAAACCAGTCTTTTTAGAGCAAGTTTAGATATATTTTTTAGCGAATGAATGAAAATAGGACTTCTTGTTGCCATTTGAAAATCAAACACTGCTGTTGTCTGAAAATTCAATTTCATGTTTTTTTCGAAGTTTTGTAGCTTAAGTGGTAGAAGCCATAAACGTCACACACCAAACGCCTAACCTGGAACTGCCGTTTCAGGTTTGCCGTTAATGCAAAAAACCTGGTGCTAAATGTCTCTATTATACCACCAGAAGTAAGTGTCAGACCTTTTCTTTGGCGATGGTTAAACGACTGAAACTTTTTTATTTCCCTATCTGCTCCCTCACGCTACACTTTGTTATTAGGTACGTGGAGAGAGAATTGAAGGAAAAAGAGGATACAATAGAAGCAAACAAAGAACAGTTAAAACTGGTGGAAGAGGAGTGAGAACACCTAAATTAATATCCTAATGAGTAAAATAGCTACGTTTAAGACCTATAAAATCGCCCTCTAAATTGCTATGGTTAGTGTTCCTCGAAACCAGCACTCCTTAGACTCATTTAACTGCCACTTACTTGTGGTGCTCCATAAATAGACGAAAAAAGTTTGTTGTACTCTTCGTCTCCACTGAGATAAGAAGTTCTGAGCTTCAAAAGAAGAGCAAAGATATGCTAAAGGTACAAGAGCGCAATTAAAGGTACATCAAAGTGGTTTAAAGAACGGGCAAAATCTTGAAAGAATGCAATTTGTAAAGATTTTCAATCTGAGTGTTGATATGCCTATGATATTACTAAGTCGTCACTGAATAATTCACGTAAATCAAATATCTTTCGACATTTTCAATGCATTGGTATATTTCCCAAGCGAAAGTGCCACTCTTGCAACCTCAAAGAAATTCAGAATTCTTGACTTGAAATGAAAATCTCCAATCTGATTTAGAGACATTTTTCTTTAAAATATGATTTAACGTGAAATTTTATCAAAACAAATCCATAACAGCAAAATGGCAAAGGGCAACACAACTGTTGCCAACAGATTTCCTGGCTTTAAATTAAAATTTCAGTTATTAATACAGTTATATTTTCCATAGATTATAAATGTATTTAAGTTACCCCCAAATTGCATCTCACAAATAAATTTGACGCGGCAAAAATTGTTAAGTTGAGGTGCTTTAGCTGATACTAATGTCAGAATGCCGAATAATTGCTTTCCAGAAATAAATGTTGGCAAAAACAATTTTGATGCTTTAGGATTTACTTAACAAAACACAATGTGAAGAGTGCTATTCAGTTGGTTTTAATCATAATTGTACGGTACATGAAGAAGCTCTTTCTTTTCTTAGGAATCTGAAACTCAAAGAAGAATTGAAGCAAAAGGATAAAGAGGCAAAGGACAAAATTACAAAGCAAGAGGAAAAGTAAATTCTCAAATTATATGATTTAAAATTTATTAACATTTTACTGTATTTTCATACCATCTCACTAGTATAGGTTGAATTTGAGACTGCACGGGAGCAGCGAGTCTAATCTTAACGGCCAAAAGAGTATGATCGTGACCGTGTTGGTTTCCCGCTGAAGACTAGAAGAGAAGCATGAAGATACGACGCAAAAAAACAATGGATCGAGCATTTTACAGAACCTTTCTTGTCACGTTTCCCTCTGTAACTTAGATGGAAGCGTCAAAAACTTAAAACTGTTGTGTGGTGTGTGGAAGGAAGTGATGTCCAAGTCAGCTAACGACTTCGAGTCTTGTTTTATGATTGTTTGTACGATCGATGAAGATGATGTTTTTTATGAAGGATGCAGGAGGCTTGTTGAAGAGCATAGACATATTGGATAATACGTTAATCGTGTTATTGCTCTTTTAAGTTACCGTTTGATCGTTTGAAGTTCTCACTTTCCTGTAAGCGTTTTGTAGAGCTTCAACTGCTGGTGCAGTGAACTTTCAATTTAAGCGAGAGACGAGAGACGAATGATGAAAGTTTTCAGAAAACAATTTTGACGCTTTAGGATTTACTTTACCAGACACAATGTGAAGAGTGCTATTTAGTTGGTTTTAATTATAATTGTACGGTGCATGAAGAAGCTCTTTCTTTTCTTAGGAATCTGAAACTCAAAGAAGAATTGAAGCAAAAGGAAAAAGAGGCAAAGGACAAAATTACAAAGCAAGAGGAAAGGTAAATTCCCAAATTATATAATTTAAAATTTGTTCACATTTCACTGTATTTTCATACCATCTCACTAGTATAAGTTGAATTTGAGAGAGCACGGGAGCAGCGAGTCTAATCTTAACGGCCAAAAGAGTATGAACGTGACTAAATCCTTCATATTGGCCCTCCACCAAACATTATCTCTTTGAATTTATTTAGCACTTTTTGTCACGTTCCAGACTTAACGTACTTTCCGAAATCAGACATATCTATGTACATCTGTTTGTTGCTAATAACCTTATTAGTCAATAGACTTGCAGTTGCTATATATCTGGTAGAACTTGTTGATCCTCGGAAACTTAACGTGGCTTTAAAATGATTATGTCACATGCAGTTTTGTAGCGCATTAGATAGCAGCACCCAACTTATACCCGGGAGTTACGGGTTCGAATCCTGTCGTAACTTAAATTTCTTCAGGCTTCTTTTCTTCAATTTCAATAATTGTAGCACATCTGCGAGGAATTTTTGTTTTCTTGAGTATAAGTCCAACATGATTGGGTGTTAAAAACCAACCAGTCAGTAGAGAGGCATTTTATAATTTTTTTGTTTGATGCGAGTAACCGCTGGTATGTGCCTGTGTTGGTTTCCCGCTGAAGATTAGAAGAGAACCAGGAAGATACGTCGCAAAACAACAATGGATCGAGTATTTGACAGAACCTCTCTTGTCATGTTTCCCTCTTTAACTTAGATGAAAGCGTCAAAGTCTTAAAATTGTTGTGTGGTGTGCGGAAGGAAGTGATGTCCAAGTCAGCTAACGACTTCGAGTCTTGTTTTATGATTGTTTGTACGATGGATGAAGATAATGTTTTTTATGAAGGATGCAGGAGGCTTGTTGAAGAGCATGGACATATTGGATAATACGTTAATCGTGTTATTGCTCTTTTAAGTTACCGTTTGATCGTTTGAAGTTCTCACTTTCCTGTAAGCGTTTTGTAGAGCTTCAACTGCTGGTGCAATGTACTTTCAATTTGAGCGGAAGACGAAGGACGAATGATGAAAGTTTTCAGAAAAGTTTTTTTTGGCATGAATCACAACCAGCGGGGCCGATTACCAAAATAAAGGTCAATGTCGAGTAAAGAAAAGTAAGATAACGTTTCTTCTACAGATATGGTCGTCAAATCAAAGGAGAGCTTGTTAGAAATGGAGGAATAATTATAGATTTATCAGAGTAAAGAAACCTTTTTTGAATCATTAGTCTCGGAAATATCATCGGTTATGGTCAATGATGCGACAAATGTCATCAAAATTTGATGACTTAATTTTGGTCAAACTAGCCCTGAGTCTCAACAGATGATCGAGTATTGCACCATGAGTGGAGAGGTGTGTACAAAGACAAGAGAGACCAGCCTGTTGCCCTATGAGCTCAAAAGTGAGACCAGTAATAATTAATTCAGTTAAGGCAAGTTGCGTGGAGAGAGCGAAAGACTGATAATTTAAACTGGTAGTGAGCTTCTGGTACTAATGAGAAACTTTTGAATACCAGCTTGCCATGGTAAATGTCACAGCTATCCGTTCTATCAATAATACCAACTCTATGTATTGGGTTCACGTCAAATCTATACACAGCAGAGAACATAAAAGTCAATTGCTATCATCAATCTCAATTAGTGAAGAAATAAGAATTGAAGGATCAAGACATTTCTTGCAAAGTGAAATGCAAGTCAAACTGGTTTGAATACATTTGAACCTGAATTTCGTTTTAAAATACGACAGAAATAGTATAGTCAAAAATTCCAAAGAATCAAAGAGTTGAAGCCCCTTGAGTTATTATCAATTTGTTATTCCTAGTCTCATATTTTCTTAGAAACAGAGAAAGTTTGATTATGTTAATCTGCGAGCTTCATTATGCACTTCGACTCAAAAGTCATTTCGCAAGACAGAAGCATTCTTCTGAAACAAACAAGACAGAATGAAAGTGACGCCATTTGTTTCGAGTAACACATGAACATAAAGAAAACGATACAAGTTTAAACTCATGAGACAAAGCCCGCGTATTTTTTTTGAGGTGAATAAACTGGTAAGACCGAAAGCTAAGTAAACAATGAACTGACAGTAGTGAGGGATTGGGGGCCATTTGATGAACAAGTTTTACCGAAATTATTCCTCTAGTTAGCACTTCAAGCCCAAATAGGCAATTAGAAAAACTCCCACCAGAACACAACAAAAAAATAATATAAAACCGGAGATGATGGGGGCATGACTATAACCGTCATTAAGACGCATGCCTACATACCATGTACAACAGACCCGGAGAGCTAAAAAGATCAAAGACGGTTGTGAGCCATTACTTGGAAAATCAACCTAAACCTCCCAAAAAAGAATTCGCCAAAGATTGTAGTAAGAGCAACTCAATCCTGAAGCGTTGTGTCCTATGTGACTACAAAGAGAAAGAAAAGAAGCTTGGGGGACACCTCGAACTTAACGCAATTTTATTTCAAAGTTGAAGTAAGATAAGATCAAATTCAAAATTATCTTCTTTCATGGTAACAAATTTCTCACGATCGTCTCCAAAATAATGTCGTGATTCATAGAAGTAAGACATCAACATCTTAAGACTTACTGTAAAGGTTTGTTGTCTCATGCGCACATCTTGATCTTCAGGAAACCAAATCTCAAACTTCAAGTTTTCGGCCTTTTTTTTTGCGTTTTGTTCACACTTTGTCCACAAAAGTATCCTCTTCCGAAGAGTCAGCAAACGCCACGAGTATCCACAGAGTTACAAATGGTTAAACTTGGTATATTCTTTCAGACCTCTTCAAAAATTATATGGTGAACAATGGTGGGTACAAAACCACACGAGATCAGAGTGAGTTGTTCTGGTTTTGAATCTCTTTTCACAGAATTGACACTCTTCTTAAGGAAAAGGAGGAGGAAATCGCGAAATATACTCAAATGTAAGTTAATAGACAAAATGTAACTCAACTTGTTTGAAGATGCCGTGCTCACCCCATGAATGTTAATACAAGAGAGATACTCTGTTCAATGTCCACGCAAAATCACTGTGCACTTTAGACAAACATTGATTTATGGCTGGAACTCTTGCCCCTGCAGCAATCGTTCTAATGTGTTTCTCTGAGGTCACATGACCGCCGTTCCACGTGAGCAAAGCGTAATTGAAGGTGGCGTGACATTCTTACTTTGTAGCATTTTTAGGCTTTTGTACACGTTTTTGTTTCCCCAATAAAAAACATTCAGATGCTCAGATTTGACCAATCATTGTGAACCTTTCGTTTCTATTAACCTTCTCTGGGTGTTAATTCGCGAAGAAAGGTATGAGCGTTGTGTGTTAGCCAAACAGTTTCATAAAAATCGCTCTCACGCTTGTTTCAGGACCTTTAAGAATAACTTACTAAAATGCAATGGCCTATAAATACAGGTGTATACTCCCCGGATAGGTGTGACAATTCAATAAATTCCGTCGGAAATTTAGGCAAGTTTTACAACAACCATTCGCAGAGTGCTGCTCACTGATTTAGTTTTGTTATCATTTCTTTAAATGGTGTCACATACGACCCATTTTTAATCGTGAATTGTATGCTATATGAATAAGCTCTTTCTTTTCTTAGGAATCTGAAACTCAAAGAAGAATTGAAGAAGAAGGAAGAAATGGCAAAAGACAAAATTAAAGAGCGAGAGGAGAGGTAAATTCTGAAATCATGTGGTTTAATTTTTTTTACATTTCTCACTGCTATAAATTGAATTTGAGACAGAACAGGAGCAACGAGTCTAATCTTAACAACCAAAAGAGTATGAACGTAATAGACTAAAATCCTCCATATTGGCCACCAAACATCATCTCTCTGAATTTATTTAACACTTTTAGTCACGTTCCAGACTTAACGTACTTTCCGAAATCAGACATATTTATGTACGTCTGTTTGGTGCTAATAACCTTATTAGTCGATAGACTTGCAGTTACTATATATCTTGTCGAACTTGTTGATTTTCAGAAACATAATGTGGCCTTAAAATAATTGTGATTATGGGTAAATATTATGTCGATCTGTGATCTCTTATCTGACTTTGATTTTCATCATATTCCTCCACGGGAACAAAGAACAGTTCAAAATTTTCGGTCTTTTTTTTCGCGTTTTGTTCGCACTTTGTCCACAAAAGTATCCTCATCCGAAGAGCCATCAAACGCCATGAGTATCTACAGAGTTATAAATGGTTAAACTTGATATATTCTTTCAGCCCTCTTCAAAAATTATAAGACAAAGTGACGATCGTTCAGTTGAAATACCGCGGAAGCACGCTGAAAACGCCAGAATCGAGAGACTCGGAGGTGAACAGGAGAAGAGTGAAAGGCGGATTATAGAAATAAAGAGAGAAGAAAAGGGAAAGTGAAAGTAAAAGCTAAACCTTGTTGGCGGGATTTTGAGCATTTTATAAGCTAAGGGTGACTCTGAAGCCCTTTCCAAAAGAGACGAGCTAATAATTTAGCACTAAATACTTACAGTACATGGGAGGATTTTCCGTGATGAAGGAATAGTTTAAGAGTCATTGATAATTTTTCGGTAAAATAATTTACCTACAAAGGATAATGGTAATTCTTAGGCAGCAGATAAGTACTGTATAGATGAAGTTGATTAATCTTTTTATGTCTTCTTTGGTTAACCTGTTATCAGTGGGTGATTTTTTTTTCCTAAAATGAGATCTTTAATTCTTTGTTGCTAGAACTGAAGGCCTGACAAATGAACATCAGAAGGAGGTCGATAAATTGTTACGCGAAATACAGACAATGAAAGAAAAGTAAGTCTATATCAACCGCCTGATTCAATCAGTAGAATCGGTTTGGAATAAACAAAAATTGAGTCTTGTATTCCAGTTCTAGCTTCCTATGTTAAGATCGATTTTACTTAACCGCTATCTCTAGAGTTGGACAGGGTTCTTGATGACAATTCTCTTCGACGAAGCTGTAGTCGTCCACCGCAAAAACTTGACACATTTAAGGTCAATTTGTGTTGAGTCTATTTAAAGCGGATCTTACATCAGATTTCACGCCTAAAAACAGGATTTCAATCATTTCTTGACTGATCTTAAAGTTTGTTGAAGGGAAGTGGCTATATCCAGAAAATGTATGAGGACTACAACAAGAATCTTGCAGGTCATAAATCCAGGCTTGAATGTCAAATTAGATGTTAAACAATTATTCCTAGCATTTTTCTTGCCACTGGTAAAAGCAAAGCAAAGTGAATACTGTTGAATATTGATCACTTTAAAATATCTATTGCTCCATGGGCAAATAATCGGAGTCATCTATTTTATTCAAGAGTCTGTGTTCAGCTAAAACATCGAAAGATGAGTTTCGATTGTTTCCGGGTGTAAATATGTAATTGGGTTGAAGAGAAATCTCGTCAGTGTGCATTTTGTACGCTTAGAATTAATTCTGGCAGAACAGAAAGGTTAAATTTTGGTAGGCAACTAAATCGAGAAAGGGTGAGTACATTTTAGCTTCTGCTCATCTGAGAGGGTTTCCATATCTATCGATAAAACTTACAAAAACACACGAGATCAGAGTGAGTTGTTTTGCTTTTGAATCTCTTCTCTCAGAAATGACACTCTTCTTAAGGAAAAGGAGGAGAAAATCACGAAATATACTCATATATAAGTTAATAGACAAAATTTAACTCACCTAGTTTTATAGATTCCATGCTCACCCCACGAATCTTAATACAAGAAAGAGACTGTCCAATGTCCATGCAAAATGACAGTGCACTTAAAACAAACATTGATTTGTTGCTGGAATTCTTGCCCCTGCCTACTGTGTATCTCTGGGGTCACATGACTGCCGTTTCACGTGAGCAGAGCGTAATTGAAGGTGTCATGACATTCTTTGTAGCATTTCTAGGCTTTTGTAAAGGCTTTTGTTTCCCCATAAAAGATATTCAGGTCCTCAGCTTTGGCTAATCATCGACTAGAAAGGCATGAGCACTTCATAACAATTGCTCTCACGCTTGTTTAAGGACCTTTAAGAACAACTTACTAAAATGCAATGGCTTATAAATACAGGTGTTTAGTGTTTACTTGTAGAACTCCCTGGAAAAGTCTATGAGAATTTGACAAATCGCGTCGGAAATTAAGTCAAGTTTTACAACAACTGTTTGCAGAGTGCTGCTCACTGGTTTAGTTTTATTACTATTTTTCAAATGGTGCCACATAAGACCCATTTTTATGAGTCAATGTGAAGAGTGCGGTTTCAATTGGTTTTTTAATCATAAGCTCTTTCTTTTCATAGGAATCTGAAACTCAAAGAAGAATCGAAGAAGAAGGAAGAAGAGGCAAAGGAGAAAATTAAAGAGCGAGAGGGAAGGTAAATTCTTAAATTATATGATTTAAACTTTTTTCACATTTCACTGTATTTTCCTTAAGTCTCACTGCTATGAATTGAATTTGACAGGACAGGGGCAACGAGTCATAATCTAAACGGCCAAAAGAGTATGAATGTAGTGGACTAAAATCCTCCATATTGGCCCTCCACTAAAAATCATCTCTCCTAATTTATTTAACACTTTTAGTCACTTTCTAGACTTAACGTACTTTCCGATTGCAATTACTATATATCTAGTAGAACTTGTTGACCTTCGGAGACTTAATGTGGCCTTAAAATTAATATGGTGATCTGTGATCTTTGATCTCTTGTCTGACTTTGATTTGATCAGATTCCTTCACGGGAACAAAGAACAGTTCAAACATTTGCAATACTCTCACATACAGTTTTCTTGTTAGCAGCACCCAACTAGGCTTCTTTTTCTCCGATTTCAATGATTGTAGCTCACCTGCGAGGATTTTTTTATTTACTTGAATATAAGTCCCACATGATTGGGTGTTAAAAACCAACCTGTCAGTAGAGAGGTATTTTGTCTGAGCATGTTTTGTACATTTTTTTGTTTGACGCGAGTAACCGCTGGTATGCGCCCGCGTCGGTTTCCCCTAAAGACTAGAAGAGAAGCTTAAGATACGTCGGAAAACAACAATAGATGGAGTATTTGACAGAACCTTTCTTGTTGTTTTTCCCTCTGTAACTTAGATTTAAGCGTCAAAGTCTTAAAATTGTTGTGAGGTGTGCGGAAGGAGGTGATTTTCAAAAAGCAAAAGAGTATGCAAACAACTTCGAGTCTTGTTTTATGATTGTTTGAGTGATCGATGTAAATGACGTTATTAATGAAGAATTCAAGAGGCTGTTCGAAGAGCATAGACGCATTGGATAGTACTTGTCATTATTATCTCAAGTTAGCGTTGATCATTTGAAGTACTCACTTTCCTGTGAGCTTTTTGTGGAGCTTCAACTGTAAGTGCAATGTACTTTCAATTCAAGCGAAGGATAAAAGTTTTCAGAAGTTTATGTTTAGTTTCAAAAGTCTCTTTTTTTGACATGAATCACAACTGGCGGGGCCGATTACCAAAACAAAAAAGGTCAATGTCGGGTAAAGAAAAGTAAGATAACGTTAGTTTTAGAGATATGGTCGTTACGTCAGAAGATAGCCTGTTAGAAAAAGAGGAATGATAATGGATTTCATTAGATTAAAGAAACTCATTTTCAATCATTAGTGAAGGATAAATCATCAGTTACGGTCAGCGATGCGACAAATTTCATCAAAATTTGAAGACTTAATTTTTGTCAAACTACCCCAAAGCCTCAATAGATGATCGAGTATTGCACCATGGGTGGAGAGGTGTGTACAAAGACAAGAGAGACCAGATATGTCACAGCTATCCGTTCTGTCAATAGTATCAAAAAACCTGAAAAGCAGAGAACATGAGAGTTTATTCTTATCATCAATCTCAATTAGTGAAGAAATAAAAATTGAAGGATCGAGACATTTCTAGCAAGGTGAAATGCAAGTCAAACTGGTTCCAATCTGATATTCGTTTTTAATTACGACAGAAATAGTGTAGTCAATATCCCAGAGAAAGTTTGATTATATTAATCTGCGAGCTTTATAGTGCACTTCGACTCAGAAGTCATTTCGCAAGACAGAAGCATTCTACTGAAATGAACCAGACTGAGTCAAGCTAATCCCATTTGTTTCGAACAACACACGAACATAAAGAAAACTCATGAAACAAAGCCTACGCATTTTTTTTGAGGTGAATGAACTAGTTAGACCGAAAGCTAAATAAACAATAAACTGACAGTGATGAGGAATTTGGGGACCGTGTGATAAATAATTTATACCGAAGTTTTACCTCTAGTTAGCACTTAATAATTATAACAATAATAATAAAAATAAAAAATAAAATACTAATAATAATGATAATTTCATCTTCAGCCATGGTAGGCCCGTCAGCAATTGCTGATATCAATGGGTGCCCTGGTAAATTATACAAAACAATACTGAAGTGAATAAAATAAATAAAACTAAAATATCAATCGTATTTTAAGATAATTATAAGAAAATCTAAATATGTACATATGATGACTAAAAATCATTAAAAAAATTCTCCTATTTTTGATTTAAATATTAATAATGACTTGATTTTAATTCCAGTGACAAATCATTGAATGCTTTGGCCCCAGCATACAAACCAACCCTTTTTTGCCACTTCTGTGCTAACCAAAGAAATTATAGTATCTATCATGGGGCAGAATGGGTGGACATCATGAATTATTCATAACCAAATTTGAAGGCGACCTGGAGCCCTAAATTGAGAAAGAATGGACCAAACTTGGCCAATGAGGCTTCGTAAAACTCACTTTTCTGATATTTGAAAGTGTTTGCTTCTAAATCAACGCTCGGCTTTTTGAAGATTAAAGATGTTTCTACAATTTGCACCTAAAATTAACGATTTTTACAAAGTAGAAGTATCATCCTTTTGAACTTGAAAATACACCAAATTCGGGTATTTTTAGTATGGAAGTCATTTTCCGATTATGAAAACCCTTAATACCCTTGAACAATCAACGTGCGGCAAATAAAAGATTAATCTTTAATCTCACAGAATCCGTTTTAACTTTGAAAATTGGCCGATGGGAATCTTTATCCATTTCAGTTTGAAAAATTGTAGTCGAAATTGCGTTCAAAAATGGCGCTTTTTAGGTGAGCGAGCCATTGTCTTTAGCCTAGCCATGAATAACAATACACCTGTCAAACTAAACAATGCCCATTGTTGAAACTCATTTGCTTGTAAAATTATTCACAGCTGCCGCAAATTTTAAAACTGCTATGTGTATCAGCTGTCAAACCTTCATTTAAGTTAAGTCATGATGGCGCGCGTTGACCAGCAATCTGTATGTGATCGGGAGCTCTTTTCAGAGCTCACTGAATCTCCCCGATCTCTCGGCAATTTGAATGCGACCGGGAACTCTCTTTAGAGCTCACTGAACCCCCGATCGTCCAACAATCGGATGCAGTTAGATGAGATAGCTATTGCGTGGAATGGGAATAAAGACCGCTAAATAATGTTCGGCTTGGGAACAAGTGTTTAGGCATCAAAAAAAGTATGCTGATGATCAGTTCCAGTCCAGGGATAGAATTATCATAAAAAGCTCGAAGGAAACTGTAATCCTAAAATAGCGCTCTACTTAGTAGGTTTTTTCCTTTCGTCGATTCGGAAAAACTTGCGTTAGAGCGATTCAAAGACTTTATTTCGTCCTTCATTTATGATATAAGTAATTTTTCGATGCGACAATCGAATCCTAAGCGATAAATAATAGAAACACCCGCTGTTTATCAAACTGTTGTAGGCTTGATATGAAGCGAAATGTATGTTGTTTAGATTGTAGCGAGAGATGAAAGTGTTATGGCTTTTGAAAAAATCAAACGTCAATGACTTTAAAAATACAACGCATAGCCAGTTTGAAATACACGCGCTTTAAGTGTGATATCAGAAACAATAGATGAAACGATAAGTTTCGAAGCCTTTGTTTCTTAGCTCCGCCTTGACAAGTTAATGAGCCTAGGCAGTACTCCCTTCGGAGGAAAGCGTGCGTGATCTTCGACCAATGAGAGCCTCTCTGTTCACGCTTCGCCGCTTATATTACAGATCTATAACATTTTCGCCACTGCAAGTAAATGTCGCGAGAACAATATAGGCATTCTGCCCAATGTGCCATTTCTTCGGGTAGCCTGAGAATGACTAGAGATACTATAGCAGTTCTTAAAAATTTCTGAAAACATACGTTAATCTATCTATCATGTATCGTGAATATAGGGTTTTCCAACCCATCTGTTGGTGCTAAATTATTCCATATAAAATCACAATAATCTAATTTAGGTGGTATCATTGATTTAAATATCCTCTCGGTAGTCTGAATAGAAAGGCTATCTCTAATCCTAGATAATAAGCCTTACTGGCTGGATACTTTGTGAAATAGCTTTGAAGAATGTTCTTTAAAAGGCAAATGTTCGTTCAAGTACACTCCAAGATATTTGTATGAAGATTTCTGCTCCAGCTCTTTATCACCAAGTAGAACATCGTTGTTGCTAGGGTCAGGATCACTTCAATTGAGTTTCTTTGCAGTTCCAAATGTTCTTTGGATGAACATACAGCTCATTGTTAGATGACCAGCTTGCCAGACGAGAATTCAAGACAGTAATTACTTGCGCAGAATTAGAGCTGCCATGAAAACTCACTGTGTCGTTCGCATACATCAGTACATCAGCGGTCTGAAACAGCCATGCAGATCCCTAAAATAAAGAGAGAACAAAATGGGCAATTAGAAAAATTTCCACCAGAACTCAGAAAAAAAAAATAAGCCAAAATCCGAGATGATTGAGGCGAGACTTTAGCCGTTGTTTTAACACATGCCTACTTACCATGTACAACAGACTTGGAGAGCTAAAAAAGCCAAAATGGTTTTGAGTCATATCTTGGAAAATCCACATAAACATCCCAAACACGGGTTCACCGAAGGCTGTAGTAAGACAAACGCAATCCTGAAGCTGGAACATTTTTTAAAGTCTTGTGTCCTATGTGACCACAAAGAGAAAAAAGACGATGTTATTTGAAATGATTTGAAGCTTGGGGGCCAAGTCAAACTTAACGCTGTTTTACTTTGAAGTTCAAGTAAAATATGATCAAATTCTAAATTATGTCCTTTTATCATAACAGATATCTCACGATCGTCTCCAAATTAAACTTCGTGATTCATAGAACATTGGCAGAAATATTGGACAAGATGGCGGCCGCGCTTGCGCATTTCGTCCATAATGGCGTCCAAATAATATAAGAAACTGTATGGAAATTTGTATAATTTCTAAAATATAACAATCACGAGCTCATGATCCCGTCTGCTCTCGATCGAGACATATTCAGTACTGATTCTGCTATCCATCAACCCTCACAGTGTCTTGATAAATAAAAACCACTTACTTCCCGAGCCAGTTCTTTTGTCATTGTTCATTGATCTAAGTCGCCATATAGTTCTTCAAAATCCGTCGTTCTCCATCCCAAACACTCGCCTATTACAGGAAAGTGCATCAATGAAGTCCACTGCTCTCGATCGAATTGACTGCTACTGAGTTCGAAGCGTCAAAATATCCTGTAAAATTGTCATTTCCTCTCATCAAAAAACTTCCCAACGCGCCAGAATATCCCTTATTTTCCATGTTGAGTAAGGCACGAGACGCCATGTTGAAAACTATGACTGAAATGGTTAAACACGAGCAACGCTGATCTGTGAATCATCGGCCATATTTGTTTATGTTCTTGCTGGGAAATAAATTAGTTCTTAGTTCCTTTTCGGAATAAAAATATGCAAGGGGTTAAATGCAAATTTAGTAGTCTTGGTGCCAAACTTTAATAAAGGCAAATCAAAATTCTGACATCAAGTCATCGCTCTGCCTCGAAAAATTCAAAATATTTACTTGCAGGTCTTCTTTTCTTTTTCTTTTCATCAAATAGAAGATCTGCGGTGCTCAAATTGTGTAAGTCATGGTACGAAACACGCTTCTTTGCAGGTCGAGCCATGATCGCCGCCGTATTGAATTCTCTTGATATTCTATTGTTCCGGAGTGTAATACGATATACCGCTGATAATTGTTAGCGGGCTCGAAATGTCCTTGATTTCTGGCGGTGAGTAAGACATCAACATCTCAAGACCAACTTTCAAGGTTTTGTTGTCTCATGTGCACATGTTGATCTCCACTAAATCAAATCTCAAACTTCTTTCATCCATCCTCAAAAATTATTAGAAAAAGGTGGCGATCGCTGAGTTAAAACCCGAGGCCCGCAAAATGGAAGGTGTAAAACAAAGTATCACGTATTGTTCTTTACAACGTTTTATGCCTCACTTGGCATATTTGTATTTTTTGAGCATTATTAGCACATTTAAATTAATCAGTTACATGTGTAGATAAAAAGTAAATTACTTGGATACGCACATGCGAATACAAACATGTTTGGCAGACCCTTACTAATGGAATGAAATGATGAACTCCTTGCAAATGTTGGGGAACAGAAACAGGAACTTGCACAGCAAGTAGAGAAATATAACTATATACCTTTGTGTGTTTTTTTAACTGAGAGAAAAAAGGAATATTGAATATAACAATACTGATATTGATGATGAAAATAGAATATTTATTATAATAGGCAATAACAATAATCAAAGTGATGATATGATAATGATACCGAATGAACCAAAAGTTACAGGTTAGGAGTGAAGTCAATCGCCCGGCAAGTGAAGTACCAGATTTAAGATTATGACAATGTTGAACTTCGAGTGAGGCCTAAAGCTCCCATCGAAAGAGACCTCAAAACATCCAGGCTTCGATAGAATCAATAGTTGTGTCTTTCAGAACATGTGCAGCTTGCATAACAATATTTCAAGCTGAAAGTATCATGAAGGTTAATGGAAATTCTTTTACTTTGACTACTTTAAATAACATTCCATCACCGGACAACAGTGGTTGGTGAACATGAAGATGTAGCGTAAATTGCAATAACATTTTCTCAAATTTTCTTTGAAAATTAATTTAAAAAATTTGGTCACACACAATATTCAGGGCGCTATCTACTCATGATAGGTGCTCTAAAAGGTTTTTCAGAAATTGTCTCATATTTTTCCTAGGAAAGTGTGACCAAGCTTAACATGCTCAAAAGGCTTCCTCCGCACCTCAAAACTTTCCCCAAAAAGGCACAATTATCCACTAAAACGAAAGCTAGTTCAAACTGAATTAAAGGGTAATTTTTTTGTTAATCAGAGAGTAAACATTTCCTTGTCTCTTTGTTCGTGGGTTTCCCTGAATCTTATTCCTAGAGTAGCTTTTCTTGAAAGAAACTTATATGACCTTAATATCAAAAGGTTAATTAGAAGGTACGACAATCGATTGACTCAATTTAACCGGCAACTCTTATTTTCAACAAGGCTTGCTACTTTGGGAGAGAGAATAGTCAACATGAACCAAAGAAGAACTGAAAGCACGTTGAGCCTAAACAGGCAGTCTGAGCTTCAGGCAGAATACAAGAACGACCTCAGAGATGGAAGACGCGTTGACGCAGTAGAGTTGATTGAAAAAAAGCTAAAGAGAGGCCGATCTCAACACCTGTCCGAAGAAGAACAATTAAAGGCGTACAGGCTCGCATGTTATATATTTGAGGTGATTTGTTTGTTCTGTAAAATGTCGTGGAGTTAAAATATAATTTTTTTCATTCATACTGTACGATATCAGATTCCATGGCTAAAGATTTATATTGCACATAGCCTGTGAAGATAAATTCGTTGCCCGTCATCTTGTACGCGATCAATGTACGAACAGTAATATTGTATACGTTATAGTGAAGGTTTAACCTGAGGGATGAACACTCAACAGATATTTTTTTTATCTACCTATTTCTTTATATTTCTTCATTACTTTTTCTTCTTCTCCTTGTTTTTCTACTTCTTCTCTATTTTTTTAATTTATATGAAATACATGCTCATTTTTATAACGCGCTTACCAACTGAAATTTTCCAGATCTACAAGATCTCTTTGTATGTCTTCACAAGATTCATTTACAAGTTTCTTTACTTTCTTTCAGTTATCTTACGAATGTGCAGTGGAGGCGAGAAGTGGCTTTTTATCCTATTACTCATCGCTTTTGGACACTTTAGTTACTGATGCACCTTGTGTCGGTTTAGGGGATGGTACATATAAGGTTTGTGATTTTTAGTGCTGTAATGTTTATCATTTTAACTAGCTCTTCTTTATTTGAGTTGTTTTTGTACATACTTTTCCAATCCATAATTATCAATTTCATACTACAGTAATGAGAAGGCGTGCGAATAAGTTTACTTTTGTTTTGACCTCGTTGGTTTGGCTTGTTTGTTAATTTGTTTGTTTGTTTGTTTGTGTCGTTGTTCTTTATTAAAAAAAAAAAAAAAGGACGGCGCAGAAGACGCCTGTGGCATGGAGTTTAATTTGTTATGATGAACAGGCGAATCATAATTCGTAGGAACGTCGTAAAACATTTAGAAAGGACTTGAAAAAAAAAAAAAAAAAAAAAAAGTAAGGATGTCCAATTGTACATACAGTTCGAAAAGTCAAACTGACAACTTTGAAACTGAGAGTTGTATTTGTAATGACATGAGATTAAGTATATCTGTTTCTATTCCTAAGCTCCCCGATGTCCTAATTGCGAAAAGATTGAAAGATGTTCCACAAGATTGCATAAGTGAAGTCATGGTCCTCGTTAAAGTGGCGGCTCAAAAGGAGAACCTTAATTTGGAAGGGCTTGTTAAGGCGAGATAACTTTCATTGACAATTTAAGTATGAAATATTGTCTTTGTTTTTATTTTGTGTGTGTGTGTTTTTGATCATTGGTTTTTTGGTTAAGTTTTGGAGCTGGGTTCGAAGTATTAGACTATATTGCTTATAGATACAGCATGTTATACATTTCGGTCGCATCCTCCCATTCATGGAGGTTACCAAACCGTTTGCTTTTTTATCTATAATTATTGAATAATGCAACTTAACAATGACACATGTAATACGTATTATTTTAATCCCTATAGGTTGTAAAGAGAGAATTGAAGGCAAAATGGAAGGAACATAAAAAGAAAGAGGAAATCCTTCCAAGCTTTGATAAAAGCCTCAAAAAGGAACTAGAAGGGTACATTGAGTACTGCACACGATTTTCGTGGCGGGCTGTTACCCAAATCCCTCCACTCAAAATCGATTACAATTCTTGGACTTTTAACCCATTACATCATGGTGAAAGCCAAGCTTTTCCGTCGTTAGCTAAGCCAAATGCGTCTCAACGGTGGGCTAGCACCCAAAAAGAAAAACGGATTTATTGTTACTTATGGCCGACACTTTTAGAAGGGGAAAAGAGAGTTATTGCCAAAGGGGATGTCGTTTTGACAGGGCGTAGCTCCGTTGGCTCCTATGTGTGACAAGCTATGTCTACCGGCATAATTGTGCCTCAGCTTAGAATGGAAGAAATGTCTCAGTACAAGTTTAACTGGAGTGACATTCACTCTTACTAGAATAAGAAAGATAGTAAATTAAAAAAAAAATTTGATTTGTTGATTTTTGGAAGGATTTCTCTTTGCCATTTCGATTTTACTTTTGAGACTAATTCTGTAAAACTCGTAAGTGGATAGGAACAAAAACTTATTGAATAAAAGTCAAGTTATTCTATGTGACTGTATAGCAAATAAGAACAACGTAAATAGTGGACTGAACACAGTTCTACCGATTTGAAAACGGCAGGAATATGAGCTGTGCATGAATTTTATTCTTTTGTCATTTTTCTGTAAATATCCGGCAATTTTAAACAAGTTCATCATGGCTGGAGCTAGTAAATTAGTTTTTTTACAGTATTATCTGAATAAATACATCGGTTTGGCTGGCTAATTTAGACTTTTCGCGAGCGCCCCTAGGCTATAGTTTTAGTGTGTATAGGTATCTTTTTCATAATAGGTTACCAAAGCGACTGTTTAGCTCTCTAAGACGCTAGCCCTTGATTTTTAAAATTAGTCGGAAAATTATCCACTTATTTCAAGATCAAACTCCGTTGACAAGAGCCTACGAAAAAAAAGTCGCATGCAGTGGTAATGCCAATTTTTAACCGACTGGCGTAGTCAAAACTGAACTTAAATGCAGTTTTGTTCGAGTTTGTAGTCTCACTCCTTTCTAAGAAATCAAGAATTTGCAATTCAGTGGATATCTTGACACTCCACTGGGTCTAAGTATTATAAGATTTCTAGCAATCTGGCGTTTCAATTATGTAATGAAGTTCAAAGACGCCTCAAAATGTCAGGTTTAGTTGCGACGGGGATTTATTCACAATGGACACCATACAAGGTGTCTACTTGATCCAGTGATAACAAATGTGGTGTCTCTTAAACGTTGTCAGGTTTGTCATATATTCACACGGGGACTTCAAGTCTTCTCCGGCGATTTTTGGTTTTTAATCCTTATTGCACAGGAAGTCGAGATAAACCGTGGCAGTGTTCCCACTGCTTCTGTCTATTGCAGTAGCTTTAATCTCAGTCCCACCAAACTCTATGGCCAAGTCAATCATTCGCTTGGTTCCTTTCGCAACGTCAGGCGATTCGACGACAGCCTCTCCTATCGGGTTGCTAACTGAAGCGTCTGTTGAATATTTGGCGTCAGGATCGGTCGAGGTGAAAAACTGAACCTTGCAGCTGTTTGACTTCCTTTCAGTAGGCGGTAATGAGCGAAGACTTTCTTTTCACCTGTCCTCACAATGTCATTCTCTTTAACAAGAACCTCAAAGCAATCTTTACAGTAGGCTACGCCGTCAACGAAGTGCTTCTTGTTAATTGGATGAAGACTGGGATCAAACGGGCGGTTAATCTTGAAGCCATAAGTCGTAGACATGATTCTGGAGTCGACAATGTCAGGTCTTTGGCCAAACATCACAGCACCTTGAACAACTGCAATGCTAGCGTTGCTTGGAACGAAAATTTTGCATCTGTGAATAGAGAAAAAAATCAAAGATGACAGTCTTTTTACGTGTCATGTTTTACACGAGAAGTCAATTGCTTTCAGCCATGCCACGTATCTCTCCTGGTTGCAAAGTACCCTTTGATTTGATGAATTTTAGGATAGCTTGCAATTAAGTACTTTGACCACGACCCTTTGCGCTGAAAGACTCGAAAAACATGTCAGTGCGTTTGGTTCGGATAATCCGACCTAGGTTAAGATTCTCCTCAGGTAGTATCCCAATCTCCAATGCATCCCGTTCAAACGTTTACGTCAAATTTGCCTTACCTCCGGTGAAAGTTCTTCTTTATTACATCCTGAAGTATCGCTGACTCGGCGAAACCTCCAACAAGGAAGAAAAAATTGTAGCCTACGGAGCGCACGATGCTTAAGAACGTTGTTCAAGTGCTTCACTATTCCATTCAGAACCGGTTCAAACAATTTTTTCATGGCCGCCGGTCCTATGCAGAAGTATTCATTTCTGACGAATTGGACATCGTCAGTTCTACAGGAACTTGCAAATCGACTTGCCAGATCAGGCCCACCTTGCTCTGAAACCAGTGCTGTAAAGGTTCGGGGAAGGCGAATTCTGGTTGTTTCACCCTCATGAGCACGGCGCCCTCGCTTCTTCATCTCAAATTCATTCATTATCTCCAGCCATTCTGCTGGGTGGTTTTCACGGAAGTTTTTCACCTGATAAGTTCCGAAAAACCTCTCAAGTAGGGAAACGAACTCCTCGTCAACTTTAGTTCCACCATAAGGTCCTCCGGTCACCTGGTGGATTTCTTTAATGTTCCCATTTGTTAAGATTTCATGAGCTGTGACGTCGAGAGTTCCGCCTTTATTAGAGTAACAAATGTAACACTAGTTAATTTACAGCTTCAGCCCATACATTCATATTGCACGAGTCCAACATAAAACGTATTACGAGAACGATCGATCACATTTAGTATATTTGTGCTGATAATGCTTGGGGCTGATGAAGCCCACTAAAGCTAAATCAGCTGTCCGTGGCCGTTTAATTTTTTTCTATTTTTGATTTTAAAGACCTAGTGTCATTAATGTTGTTGCCTACTTGCGAATTCATCAGCATTTTAGATTATTGACTATAGACTGATCCGTTTTTAACCAAGGAATTTTTCAAGTGTATTTAAAATTTCAGCGTCGTTTTCATTTGATTCGGTTTGAGAAAGAAGGTTATCACCACAAGCTATAAGCCAATACACTTTGGTCAGTATCAAATGAGTTACGACGATATCCCACCACTCCACTCAGTTCAATTACCATTACAAGTTTGCCACACGTTGCTAAAAAACCCTGTGTCTTTACAAACAAATGGAAGCTTTTAAATGATTTCAAGAAGACACTACTGTTTTTAAAAAATAAGAGAAGGTTTTGATATTTTGTAGTATGACATCGTCAAAACGGCCCATTTTTCTGAAAGTTCAATCATACCTCCGATATCAATAACAAGGTATTTTGACCCAGGTCGAGCAAAGACGTCGCGAATTCTCTCATCTTCATTTCTCTGCAGTGTATAGAGGCTGCTTCTGGTTCCAAGGCAATAAGCAGCTGTTCAGGGGCATTATTCGATACCATCTCCGCCTTCCAAAGTAGAAGCAAAAAAAGGAAGTAATTGAGGACAAAAAAGTTTCGTTAAGACAACACTGACTAATCTCAAACTTAAGTTTCTCGCTTTTTACGAACACTTCCAAGGAGAAAAAAAAAAACAAAACTTCCTACATTTGTGATAATAGTAGAATTTGTGACCATGTTAGTAACTGACAGCATCAGAGTGACCTGTATTCTAGCTCGTCCTGTATTTTCCTTTCCTTGTTTCATTTTCACCTCTTCACTCATCGTAGGGAGGGAAAAGCAAACTTATGTAACTTCTCTGTAATTACCTTGCAAGCGGCTTCTCTCATAAATTGCTTAGCAGCGGGTCTCCAAATGGCAGGCACTGTCATGACCCACCGAATGTCCTTTTCATTATACTTTTCGTCTCCAGTTCTCTCGCGAATAATTTCGATAGCTCGATCTTTGAGATACCTCAATGAGTGGGCAAAAACAACCAAAGCATCAATTTTTTTTCCATTTCGAGCCGTCAGCTTTGTATTTCTGTCTAATGTCTGTAATTGGAGAAGATAAATTTGACAAAGATTTTGTCTGATACTTTTGATGCGAATTAACTTCAGTGGAGAACTTATACAAAACCCGAAACGATGCGCACTATCTAGCTTAGTATTTAGGACCCTGAGAGACCCTCAGTCTCTGTTTTTACTGATCAAACTCAGATGGAGATGTTACCTAAAGATTACAGATCAAATGAAATCATGAACACTGTTGCCTTGGTTTGTTATGATCATTTTGCAATGAAGTGTTCATTGTTTTCAGTGCATTTATTGCATTCAATTCTTTCTCTCCGATTTGATCGCTCGGGCTCCTCTTCGACAACCGCATATTCCCGTGCTTGTTACTTTTACGGTGTTTGTCGAGACAATCAGCAGTAATTTAATCTTTTACCTCCTCCTATGACTATTTTTCGTGAATAAGTTTTATAGGTGTTTCGAATTGATTTCAAGGTTACAGTTAGTGATAGACAGTCCGTCTATGGCAGTTTCGCTCCAGGCGTGGCAAAAGGAAGGAAGAAAAGAAATGAATGAACTGTACCTCTGACTTGTGTAGTGCCATTTTGAAATGTTTGAAGTAAAGATAATCTCGATCTTCACCATCAAGGAAGTTGGCGTACTTTTCTTCCGCTTCGTATCCAAATGAATCAAAGCTACCATCAGGATGAAGAAGCAGAGAGGTGGGTGTTTTAAGAGTAGCAGTTCCCTGGTCATGACCCCAGGCTCTGTTCATATGGATGCCTCCTTCTCCCTTCTTGTGGTTGAAAGCAAAAGCAAAACCACTGTATGTGGTCCCAAAATCAATAGCAACCACGGCTATGTAGGATGAACTTGTAGAGAACAACAAACCTTCAGACGCTGAAGAGCAAAGATGAGCTTAGGAAAAGCGAATATTACCACCGGAAAACACGAACGGCATACATGACCCTAATTGATAAGTGGCTTTATTTAGGTTGAAAGGTAGGCTGAGAGTAAAACAGCTGGATCTCGCCTCTATACAGCGAAAATGACGGGTGTAGGTGCTCAAATAATTCGAAAAAATGATACAAGAACATCTACGAGAAAAATTAATGTCAATAATTACATCATGCCGAAGAATAAAGACATGCATTTTCTTTCTTAAGGAAAAAAACAAACTGTGTATTATAGTATTTATTTTGAAAAATCTGTTGATTAACAGAGAAGGTTTCCAGGCTTCTTCACTGGTCTGGTAATAATGCTCTCCAAACTGACCAAACTCCTTCCTCTTGTAATTCTTTGTTTAGTTCATTTACTCGTACGTTGAGGAAGATCATAGTTTCGCGCTTGTTTGATGATAACAAAATCCCTCTTGACGAATTTTACTTACTTCTCAGTCCGTGTATCAATTCTTTTACATAGTGGCATGTTTAAGTTCGAAGGTGAACAGGCCAGTTTGTATGATCTTACATCAACAGTCGATGCGTTCGATTGCAGAAACCGAAAGTAATTAACTTCCGGGCTAATATGTTTATCCTATCCTCATTTCAAACTCCTGTATCTTTTACGTCTTTTTCGATGATTCTTGTAAGCAATAATTGATACATATTTGTAACGAAATAGGAACAACTTACAATAATCGAATGCTTTGAAGAGTTGGATCCAGTTGTAAATCTAAGAAGTGTTCACTTGTTAACCTGTAGTAACGCTTTCTGTTGCATGATTTATGAATGCTATCACTGTACTTTTATAACTTAAATAAGGATTTTGATACGTACCACTCATGCCGCTTTCAATCCAATAGTTCCTTAAATGATGAAGAATCTTTATGTTGGATAGTGCGCGTCGTTCACACTAAAGAAAATGCTTATGTGCTTTACCATAAATTTTTCATTTCCCCTTTTTCCTAGAATTCCTTTCGTCGGAAATTTTAAACTGTTTCCGGTTCCGGTCGCACTGTTCCGGAAGTAATCATGTACAGGATTTTTCTGTCTGCTCGCTCATTATCTACTTTCGCAAAAAGATAGTGTAAGAAAAGTCTCTTTAATCAATAAGCAGTGGGAGCCATTATGTTGTAATTCAAGATTTCGCAAAGAAGTAGCTCTTTACTGACACACAGGCGTCCGTTTTTTATTCTGAAGGTTTAGAATTTTTGTGTTCATAAAAAACATGAATTTTTTAAGTAAAGATAGCTCGGTTACTTGATCATTGCGTGCCTTATCGTCAAACCAAATGGGAAAAATTAAAACCATTTGCAAATGTATTGGAAACAGAAATTATCCCACAGCATGAAAACTCCGGGTCAGTTGCAGTCATTTTCAAGTAAATAAGAGTACGATAAGCTTTATTAAAAACAATAGCAAAAAAAGTCTCATAAAATAGTCTTAGAATAATGAATTGTAATTTAGAAATTCATGAGGAATTTGAGAATATAATGGAGAAATTTTATGTGTCAATTATGGCCAGGTTGATCGATAGAAAATAGCAAATGAGGTTATAGATATTCATGAGAATCGACACAAGATAATCCGAAATCAAATTATCATCGAAAGTATCACATTCAGAACACAGTCTTTAGTATATGCAAAAGATCCAATATACAATTCAGTATCGGCAAGCGATAAAAATAAGACTGTACCACCTCAGATTAATGGTGATCATAAAAGGATGATCTGAATATTAATTTAATTTTAAAACGAATATTGAAGTTGATGGAATTACCATATGAAAGCATACTAATATCCAAATAAAAAATAACGGTAGCATTTTACAAGCGATATTGGTGTAAAACACTAATCTGTAATGATAGCAAAACAATTAGTCGGAGATAATTTTTTGTCAACCAAACGACACATTTCTTACACTATCATCACGAACCCTTAGCCGAGTCAAATAATTTTGATCGTCGTATGATTTGCCTCTCATAAAGGATTGCAAAACAACCAGTGTTTTTTCATATGATGTGTAAGCGAAACGACATAGCTCGATTTTTTTTCTTTTAATTTGTTATTTCACTATAAGTCTTTAGCTTAACACCTGCTCCAGATATAGGCCCTAATGCAATTGGTGTGGTGTATTCGACCGCAAGGGTCAAGAAAAAAAGGAGTCTTCTGTAGTCGGATTTATATGTATGTTGATTAAATATCGTTGCGTTCATATCAGAATGTATAAATTCATCGAAATAAACGAATAAACTGGAGAATATAGAATAATAAAGCACAACTAAAACCTAGCTCCCGAAACCCTTTATTTTTTGCGAAAATCACCTCTTCCTTCCATCAAACTTACCTGGTATTACTCAGAAGCGCTTCGGCATAAAATTATGATATCACATGATGTTAAATGACTTATTTCCGGTCTTTCCTAGAAATGCGAATTGAAACAAAATAAGCAGTGCAAATCGACAGCAGTTTTTCATTAATTTAATTCTTGAGGCGAAATAAGCTTGTAAGATCGGTAGTGAAAACAGAAATGACACAATGTCAGCCTGCTTAGTTTGGAGATCAAGCAACAAAGGAGGACACTCAGGCAAATTTGTAAGGCAGGTAATCGCTGTGCTTAGAGACAATCGAGAGGCCCAATGCCTGATCGAAATGCATCATACTCTTGTGGCAAAGTACGTCACAACAGAAACACCGGAGACAGCCAGGTAGAAAACGTAAATGTTCTTAACTTAAATTTTCATTTCATCAAAAGTTTGCTGATCAATGTCGAGGGTCTGACTGATGCATCGATAAAGTTCATGCTGCTAGATGTTAGTCAGATACAAACAGATGCTCCCATTGCTACCTTTGAATTTGACATGTTCCGTTTAATCTACGGATACTTTTACCCCTAAAACGCTCTTAATTTGTTTCACATGAAGTTATTAATCTTACAACCTCGCGTTTTTGTGTAACGTTTTACAGACTCGTTAATTCTACTATTTTACATTTGCAAGTCAACGACTCGTGGTGGGTGCAAATTATGGGGAGGGGTGGGAAGGATTTAAGCTTCCTTCTATTACGAATTAAATGCTGGCGTCGCTTTAATGAGTCAGGAGAACATATTCTTGAAACAAAGGCGGGAAAGTAGCCTTTTCCTCTACAGAATTAGTGCTATCAGAGGTAACAATGATCAGTTGCAAGTGTTTTTGATGGTACTTACAGCTTACATGTTTACGTCAAATAAAGGTAGTGATTGCAGCCACTTACTGTATGTTTTCCCACTCTTTCATTTTATTTTTCAGCTTACATGATAGAGTTTTATTTTTAATATACCCGAAAGTTGCTTTTGAGCGTTTGGGTTATGCCCAATGACAAAAATTATGACAAAATTAGCGGGCGCGTTTCGCAAATAAATCACACATCGCCGGTGTTATTCAGATCCATAATTCCTTATTGGAAACTGTAAAATATTTTTACCTCAGTTCATTTTAGATTTTTAGAGGTTTTTTTTTATTCATTTACAAATTTTTTGTACAGCTTTACAGGACTATTACATTTATAAAGATTGTATTCGGTTATCTTTTGTATTAGGTCGGTTTGCGGTAATACGCAAGACAGTTATTTCTTGTAACAAACATTTAACCTTCAAAATATTGTTTTAGAGACGAACGGAAGAATAAAAAATGGTAGGCCAGGTTGTTGGGGACCCTTTGGTTTGGAATTTATCAAATAAAAGGCCATTACTAAAGCAGACAAAGCATCAAAAGAATTCGCAGTAAAGTGTAGAAATTTGGCACAAGGCAACTGGGATGAGACCGAGTTTTACCGAGGTGAATTACCTCAGGGTAATTTTGTTTAATGGGGCGTTGGGTGCGCCAGGAGAACAAAAGGTTTTCCCAGCTACCCTAAAGCAACAGAGTGGGAAACTTGAAATCCCATGCAAAAGAACCAATCAGCGCTTGTTGGTGGGTACGTTAATGACAGATGTTGGTTTACATGACATGTTGTGAACCTCTTTTTAACTCATGTGATTTTAGGTAACGTGATCTTTTTCATGTCGCCGTATGATGGCGCGATTTAAAACTCTCATTTGATTAGAATTAGGTATTGCATCCCCAATCTTTGGGATACTCTACCATTTTCTTTCATTATCTGAAGTTTTTGTGATGTTTTCCTAATCCAAATACACAGTTTTGTCCTGTCCTATACCGCTATAAACTTGATATTCACCTTCACTAGCATAATTAGAATACAGACTTCAATCCCTTAAAATCTCTAAGTCTCTAACGACGACATAGCTCATTATGAAAAGCGATTCACTGCAAACAACTCGGAAAATGACTTAATCAAATTCCAAGAGGGGCGAAAAATCTTAAAAGTTTTTCTAAGCTTGATCTGCTCAAAAATTTCCAACAAATTCGAATAACTCTCCTTGTAATTAACTTTACATCGATCTCCGAAAAACATCACTAAATAGTGTTTATCCGGGTTACGAGACTTCAAGTTAATGTTTATGTAATGATAACAAATTGTCAACCATTTTCCTCTAATAGTTTTTATTACACAATAATAGATACCTGGACTCATGGAGGTTTGTACTCCACGATAAACATCAATCTTGATGTGTCTGATGACATCATATTTTACCTTTGTTTTCTACCTTTGCGTTCATTTCGCAGTTTAATTACCAATCTGTTGAACCCTCAGGTGTTTTGGAAGTGCCATTATTCAAAAATAGAACCAAAAGATGTTGAGCACTACTCATACCACCACTAATACTACTGCTGCTACTATTACCACCACCACTACTGCTACCACAACCACCATTACTACTACAACCGCCACTACC